AAAAACAAATCAGGTTTTGCAGAATTGGGGCGAGGAAAGAAGAGGGTGGAGTATTTTACACGATGAAGAAGGAAAGGTGCGCAATCTATTTAACACTGCTTGGAAAACGGATGCGAGATGTTGGTTGAAATGCAAAAATGCGCAATGTCTATTGTAATCGGAGAGGTGGGTATCACTAGGATGTGGGAACGGCGATGTCTAAGACAAGGCCATTAACCGTCTTCATCAACAACAACCCAGTCAAGACTTTTATCTGCCTCTCTGTCTGTTGTGCCCTCCAATGCTCAATAACATCATCTAACCCTTGCACCCTCCACACCCTCGAAAACCTGTCCAAACACCTTCATCCAAGCCTTTTGTCTCTCCGGCACCATAGCTCGTCCAGGTTGCTTGAACTCCCTGCCCAAAAACTCTTTGACCCTACTCCTTAGTACCTTGACCGCAAAACAAGTACGCCATGAATGCATTTTGAAGCGTAAACGATTACCATCGATAACCACCACGCCCGAGAAAAGATCGAATTTCGCATCTCCGGCTAACAGGACCAAAGCAAAGGGATCCACGGGAGCGGTTTCTTGCGCATTGGTGAAACGCGAATTGGACTGCATGATACTGTAAAAGGAAAGGTAGGATGGTGGTGGAATGGCTGGGGAGATTTTGTTGACGGATTGAGGGTGGAGTGATAACGACTGCGAATTCGCTACGTTGCGCCAACCTTTGCCCTCGCGGATGGCGAGTTTGGGGTAGAAAGACCATGCGGTAACGGCATTGAGAAGTGCATCGTTGGCGTCGAAGGAATTGTGGGAAGCAGGAACAGCAACAAAAGATCTAGGACCACGACCACTGTTACGGACGCGAGAAAGCGCACCGCGTTCGTTGGATGTGAGAGAGACAAACCCTGCATCCGACAGAGAAGCCAGGAGTTGTGACTTTAGGTCTTCGATGTTGGCGAGGTTGATAGGAGAGAGGAAGTTCTTGCGGCAAAATTGCTGTTCCGATATGCCAGGGGTGGTGCAGGCTTTGCGCCATGTGCTGTATGCGTTGTATGCTGTGAGTAGGTCTGAGTTGCCGCGCTTGAAGCCTAGACGGACTGTGTCGGCTTGCTTTTTGGCACCCATTGGGGCTACGAAAGGGGTCTTGGATGATAGGGTTGCAGCAACGCTAAGAGCGAAGTCGAGGCATCCGAATACGGATGAGAGAAGGATGAGTTTGCCCAATTGAGCATCGAGAGGGAGTTTGGCAAGCTGATTTCCTAACGGTGTCAGTTCCTCGGACGAAGTCAAGGCACCGACATCGATGAGTGCGTCAATGGCACGACGGATGTTCTTCAAAGAAGGAGGATCGAGTGCTTGAGATAGTGCTTGCTCGATATCGCCGAGTTTACAAATCTTCACACGCATGACCAGATCTTGCAGTGACAGTCTTAGCATTTCGGGTGTTTGTTGAGGTGCCATAATCTCGTCGTGGCGGTACTTGGTGAACAGGTGGAAGCAGACACCCTCTTGCACACGGCCAGCACGTCCGCGACGTTGCTTTGCGTTGGCGCGGGAGATGAAGGATTGAATCAGGCGCGAAAGTTGTCGACGCTCATCGAAGCGCATCTCCTTATGCTTACCGGTATCAATCACAGCTGTCACGTCTGGAATGGTGATACCAGTTTCGGCAATGTTGGTAGCCAGCACAATCTTTCTCATACCAGGTGGAGGTATCTTGAAAGCAGCTTGTTGCTCCTCACTGGAGAACGTTGAGTGTAGAGGGTAGACCAACCAGCCTCTGGAGAATGACGGATGTCCACCGAGGAAGTCGTTCAGCGCCCTGATCTCAGCAAGACCTGGAAGGAAGACCAAGACAGCCTGACTGAATTGTGTGTATGATGGGTCGTAAGCGATCTTTTCCAAAAGCTTCACGATTAATGTGTAATCAATTGCATATTCGTCGTATCCAGCAAGTGTTCTGACAGTCTTCGGGCTGTATCCAGTCAGCTGCTTAGCCGCTGCGATCGTTGCCTCTGAAGAACCAGCTTCGAGGTCATCCTCATCAGCGTCAGCGTTCTTCGGAGAGCCATCTTCAATAGTGTGCCCAGTCAGTTCGATCGCATCTTCAAGATACTTGGCCGCGACTGGGAAAGTACGACCCGGTACAGTTACGATAGGTGCGTTGTCAAGATAGCTCGAGAATCTCTGAGCATCGACGGTAGCACTCATTAAAACAACCTTTAAGTCTGGTCGGCGAATCATGAGAGCTCTCAACACAATCAATAAGAAGTCAGTATCGATACTGCGCTCATGAATCTCGTCGATGACCAAGTGAGTGACTTCATCGAAGCCTTTGGTGGACTCCAGCATGCGAAGAACAATACCAACAGTGGCGTATACAAGACGTGTTTGTGCTGTAGTCATTGACTCCAAGCGGATGGCATAACCAACAAGCGAACGGGAGGTACCAACTGCTTTCTTATCTTCACCCATCTCCTCGCTGACGCGCTGAGCCAACGAGATGGCAGAGATACGTCGGGGCTCTGTACAGTAGATTTTGCAGGGTCGGCCGAGCGACAGCTCGTGCTCGAGGATGAATGCAGGCATCTGTGTACTCTTGCCACATCCTGTCTCACCACAAAGAATGACGACCTGGTTCTTCTCCACGGCGTCAAGGGCGATGTCCCGAAACTGGAACATGGGAAGATTCGATCGAGCCATCAGCATCTCTTGGTATGCAGGTGTAGAGATCTTGCGAGCCCATAGATCTCTAAGGGCTTGCGACTCTTCGTTCTTTGTATTCTTCTCAATCTTCTCTCCAACAGGAGTGGAGACGCCGCTCATCGCCTTGTTACGGTTCCTGAAGCCAGCAGTGAGGATAACATCCTCGTCTGCTTCTTCTTCAGTCTGCCCCTTGACCATCTCTCTCAGCGATTTGACGGTCTCACGGTCCGTAGCATCCCGCTTTTCTTGGCGAGCATCGACGAGCTCCTGCCATAGATCTCTGAAGGTGGGAGGGAGGCGCAATGCAGACTTTTCTTCCTTGGGCGAGTTTGAGAAGAGCAGGAATAGGGCTACTGTGGACACATATCCTTCGCTTTGTAGTGTTTCTGGGCACGCGATATTGGTCATTGTTACGATGGTCCTCCGATCAGTTGACACGACGTTGACGTTAGGCGTGAAGGAGCCATCTATGATATCCTGATCTTTCGACCAATGTATGGTTACCGAATGGCGGCTGTTGTATGTTGTGGCAGAGACCATCTTGTAAGAGACTTTGGCCCCAGAGTCTCTCGATCGACATGCGTCCTCAAAGGTTCGTCGAGGGCTGATGCCGGTGATTTTGCCAAAGTTGCGAACCGTCAAGTTGGGATCGGCATTATCAGATTGTCCCGAGGCAGCATTGTCCGAGGCGCCTTCGGTAGCCTCACCAAACATGCCTCCAAGCAGTCCGTCCTCGTCTCCCATCTCTTCAAGGAGCTGCTGAGCAGCGGCTTCAGCCTCAGCCATAACGTCGTCGGTAGCAGTCTCTCTCGGTGTGCTGTCCGGGGATCCGTCTGACTCCTTCCTTTCCTCGGGCAGGTTGAACCTTTTTCTTTCGGTCTGGTTTTGGAGCAGCTGAACTCTTTCCTCGGCCCATTTCATGTCGGCGAGACCTTTATCGAATAAGACATCTGACTCGATGGATCTCAGTCTCTGTTGCAGCTTGGATTCTCCTGGCGTAGCTTTGTGCGGTGATGGTGCTGGCTTTCCGCGCTGACTCTTTGATTTTTTGCTCGAAGAGCTGGATTCATTGACGAGCGAGGGGTTGCGTTCGTAAAGTCGTAGTTTCGTACGGAGGTAGGTTGAGAGCATCTCATCGGGGTCGAGGTCGCTCTCGACATCGCTGACTTGTACGTCGTCGACGGGTGCGGGAGTAGTGGTGGTTTGTTGAATAGGTTTGGAGGGTGTAGGAGTAGCTCCCTTCGTTGCGTCTGCTTCGGAGCGTTTCGAGGGAGTAGGGGGCTCTGACAAATCATTGTCTGGGTTGATCAGAAAATGGTCCAGAGTTGTGCAGGACAATAAAGAAAGTGACAAACGCTTACCTTGGTCGAGTTGAGTATTAGGTAGTTGAGGTTTAGGCTTAACGGCATCATAATCAAGCAATTGACCAGGCGCACTATTTAAGGCAAGCCAGTCCAAGGCTTCAGACAGGCCCCAGATCAAACCACCGTTATCTTCAGATGGAGGACTGACAAGGATATACTCGAGCACTTTACGCACTTGATCCTCATCGATGTCTAGATCAGCAAGAGTAATACTAAGTTGCCACACTTTAGAGAGCAGTTCATCTTGGGAAAGACGCTTGTTCGCAGGAGTAAACGACGGCGCAGAAGTAGACAAAGAGTCATCTAAAGCAAGCTCAATGATCTGTTGCATCAACTCCTCTGGCAACCATTCACGGATGCTGAGCAAGTCGGCCTGGCCACGCAAGACGCGTCGATCCGTCCTCAAGCGAGTGACCTGACGCGCTGATTCCTTGCGCACTTTGGGGCCCTGCTGTTCAACGAAGGACTGCAGTTCAGACAATTCCAGCCGAGCTTCGAGCTCTTCCGGGCTCAGTTCATGTAGTTCTCTGTCTGCCTTGTTGTGTGATGCTTGCTGCTCTTGTTCCTGTGCTGGTTGACTGGATTGTGGTGACTTCTCAGCGGCGGCAGGTGTAGAAATGGTAGAGGGTTTCTCAGAAGCTTCATTGCTTGTGTCGGGGTCCTTCCTTTCAGGCTTGGGTTTACTGGCGATGGAAGTGGTCGCAAAGCCACGAGCAGGGTTAGATGCGACCTTCTTCTTGCCCTTCTTAGCCACCATGGTCGCGCACTGGAAAAAGAAATAGTGAAAGAGTGAAGGGGTTGAAATGTTTTTGGAAAGAGCAGTCGGCGCAGAATCATGCGGGATTCCACCCGCGTTGCAGTGACGATGCCAAGGCGCGTCTCAGTCGGTGTCGCAGTGCAGCGCTCCGGTGTTGGAGTCGCGAAAAACTGCCCGTCTTCGATTTATACCAGAAGCATATGAGTCTGCGGCGTTTTGAATAGCGCATCGCATATCATGGCAGAAGGAGAAGTCAATGGAGAGCAGACTCTGGACGCAGGCCGCCTGCGCCAGGTTGCCCTCTCCAGCTCGACCAAGAAGCGCTCCACCGAGCTGCTCTCTCTGCACGACAAGATTGTGAGCAAAGGTGTGCCCAACAACTGCCCTTTCCTCTTTTGCTCCAGCTCTCTGACACCGCCATGTAGAATATCCTATTGATCAAATACCCAATGCTCTCAATGTCCTCTTCGACACATACCCTCTCTACGTCGACACCCAATCACGACAGGCTGCTGAACAGTGCCTTGTCGCCATCTTCTCTACCGCCGACACCGAACCCCATGTGTCTACCTTCATCTCCGCCGTCGAAACAGAAACAAAGAAGGGCAGCCTTGCTCCTGCAAACGCCTTTGTCTTGATCCGCTGGTGCGCCCTCTTCCTCCAACAATTCGCCCTCCAAAGACCCCTCTGGGATACGTGGGGCCTCAAGATCATCCATGCTTTGGTGCGCGCCACATACACCTTTGAGAGCTCCAACCCTCGTCACAGTACCCATCAGACTGTCTTGCGTGTTACTCGCCGTGCTTTCAGAAAGCTGTTCAGCTCAGACTTTGGCGATGAAGCCTTGAACCAATCTGTTTCCGCTCTCACCGTAAAGGCTGCTGCTCCCACTCCTCAGAATGCCCTGGTCCTTGGAATAATTGCTGGAGTTAGCGCCCGTCTACCCAAGCGTGCCACCACCTTTGAGACCAAGAAATCTGACTACAATGCTTTCTTCCTTCGCGAATTTATCGGATCACGTACTGTTCTTCCCCAATTCATTGCGAACGCCTTGGTCGACTACTTCAACTCGTTTGTGACCCTGGAGGATCTGAAGAAGGACATAATACCCGCCATCGAGAAGGCCCTGCTGAGATCCCCTGAAATTGTCTTGAACGACCTTGTCACTCCCATGATCAATGCATTGCCTAAGGACTTGGATCTCTCAGATATTCTTGCCAACAACCTTTTGAAGCCCCTCGTCTCAAGCGCAAAATCAAGCAATGCTACCATCCGCGCAGGTGCCCTACGAACCTTCTCTGCAACCGCCCGCCGATCGCACGATGACAAGCTTATCGAGAAAGTCCTGGGCGAGATTCTGACCCCTTTGAAGACTGGAAAGGTCCCTTCAGCCGATCAGAAAATCATTTTTGCGCAGATGCTCGCCGCATTGAACAGCTCAGAAGCCTTGGCTGCCTCGATACCTCAAGGTCTTGCCCCGGTCGCAGCAAAAGAGCCAAATGAAGCAGCTGCAAGCGCAGAAATCGCAGCACTTTCGAAACACTTGAAGTTTGGTCTCGAAAAGGGCGTTGCTGTAAACGCCGCAGTCACTGATGCTTACGTCAAGGGAGTTGCCGAAAAACGACTCCCTTTCCGCAAGTTGTGGACTCTGAGCATTGCCGAGATTGTTTGGTCGCTCGAAGGAGAGGTTTTGAAACAGCCCGAAGTCGCAGGCCTTGTTGATGCAGTTGTCGGCAAGATGATCGACTCTTTCAACGAGGTCGTGTCTAACCCTGTTGTTGCTACCCAGAATGGCCAAGTCACAATAGCATGTGCTGTCACTGCTTTGTCATTAGCAAAGGTTCCCCAACTTGCAGAGCTGAAGAATGCATCTGTGTTGAAGAAAGCTTCTATACTGGATCGTGCGATTGCTCTCGAGCCCAAGCCTTCGTTCCTTCTCAACACACGTGTCTACACTAAACTTACCTCTCATGAGGATCTTGTGTGGCTGACAAGAGCGCTCGCTGCAACAAGCTCGGGCATTGCTTCTTCTCAACCAGAAATCCAAGATGCCTGGGCACAGACATTCATTTATCTCATCGTGGCTTCCGGTTTGCCAGCCACTGCTCGCTCCGAGACCATTGCTTCGCTGCGCACAGCTTACCTCGCCCAGCCCGAGGCAGTAGGAAAGACCGTCACCGATGCTTTGTCCCACTGGGCCGCCGATGTCGAGCTTGAAACCAAGGAGAGCGCTGCTGTGCTTGCTAAGACTGGCCGTCAAGAGCTTTACAAAGTTGTGCGTTGCATATGCCTTACCAAGGAAGAAGTTGCGGCCGGTCAAGCCACTATCGAACAGGCTGTTCTGGACCACCAATTGGTCAACTTGCTGATACTGTGCCGACCCGAATTGACTCCCAGATCTTCTTGGATCGAGACTTGTCTGAAGACTGGTACTGATCCCGGTGAGCTCGTTAAGAGAAACACTTCAAAATGTATGGACCAGATCATTCGTGTTTCCGAAGACAAGCTACTTGCCACTATCCCTGCATTCCAGCTTGCTGCTTTCCAAGCAACCGCAGACTTGGCCTTCGTGGCGCCGGAAGACCTGACGTCTGTTATCTTGGACCAGATTTGTAGCGATCTGGACCCCAAGCTTCTTCAGGACGTTGGCCCTACTGAGGCCGCAATCTTCCGCACACCGGAAGGCACCGCTTTCATTGATGTCCTTGCGAAGCAAACTCAAGCACAAGCTCCTAGCAAGAACAGCAAAGACTACGACACTTACAAGTGGGAGCAAGAGCTCAGAGATTCACTCGCCCAAAAGAAGGGCACTACCAAGAAGCTCACTGCCGACGAGCAAACCAAGGTGAACGCTCAACTTGCAAAGGAAGCCGAGATTCGTAGCCACGTGACGTCTGTAGTAGCAAAGCTGAGGAGAGGTATTGGCATGGTCACAGGTCTTGTTACTGGACCACCAACAGAGGCAGCTAACTGGTTCACTGTCACCACAGCACGCTTGTTCGAGGTGATCAATGCCGGAGCAGGCCTCGTCTTAGGCGATGCTGCTGTTCTTGCCTACCTCGAGTGCGCACAAAAGACGTCTTCCCGCCTGGGCGCCATGCGCTCGTTCGTTGGTGTCGCAGCACTGAGGGCTGCTGGACTGACCACTCTGCCCGAGTCTATGCAAGAGGAACCTCTTGGTGACTTGATCACCCGCGTACTCTACCGTCTTCGCTTCTTGGGCGAACAAAGACCTCTTGACGCCGTCACACTGAGTTACTGTCTTCCTCTTGCTTTCTTGGTCTTAGAACAAGGAGGTGTTGGCAAATCCGAAGAGGAAGAGGCCCAGGAGCAGATCATTCTTGCCGCTGAGTTCCTCAGCTTTCACGCCGACACCTGCAGTGAGCCTCGCTTGGCCAGAAAGGAGGTTCTCTCCGTCTTGGTCTCATCGCTACAGGCTTACCAGCAACATTTCCGTCTCTTCAAGGATTGCTTCACTGATGTCTGCAGAAGTGTTGCGCCCAACGCTACCGAAGCAGAGACCGATGTGGTGGTCAAAGCCACTATCGTGCCTGAATCTTCTGTACGAGAAGTGGCTCTTCAGGCTATCAGTGCCGAGTTCGAGCTCTCTGGAAAAGACTTCTATGACGAGATTTTCCTCGCCACGCATGATGATGTTCAGGAGAACGTCGAACTCGCACACGAAATTTGGGTCGAGAACGAACTCAAGACCTCGCCGGAATCCGCAACCTCTATTCTGAAGTACCTAGCTTCGCACGACATCCAGCTCCGCCGTGCCGCGGCAAGATCATTGGCAGCACTTGTCCAAGAGCATTCGAGCATCTCAGAGACTGTTATCTCTAACCTGCAGGACACATACAAGGAGGACGCAAAGCCCAGAGCTCCTCAGCGCGACAAGTACGGCATGCCTATTAAGATGGACTTGTCCGACCCTTGGCAATCCAGACAGGGTATCGCCCTGGCCTTCAACCAACTCACCCCCACTTATGGCAGCGAACAACTCGTACCCCTCATGCAGTTCATGGTTGCAGAAGGTCCTTTGGGAGATAAGAGCGCGTCTGTTCGCGACTCTATGCTTGACGCTACAACTGCTATCATCGCTGCTAAGGGTAACCTGCAAGTAGAGACTCTCATGAAGCTCTTCGAAAGTACACTCGAGGGAGGCTCTGGATCGCAGACTCAAGACGCGGTCAACGAAGCCGTTGTTATCCTGTATGGTGCTCTTGCCCGTCACTTGAAGGCTGGCGACAGCAGAGTACCCAAGGTTGTACAACGTCTTCTCACAACCCTTAACACCCCTTCGGAATCCGTTCAGTATGCTGTGGCTCAATGCTTGCCTCCATTGGTTCAGGCTTCCAACAAGGAAGCTGGGCAATACGTGCAGCAGATGATGGACACAGTGCTTACTGCCAAGAAGTACGCCGCCAAAAGAGGTGCCGCGTACGGTCTGGCTGGTATTGTCAAGGGAAGAGGCGTTTCCGCTCTTCGTGAGTTCCGTATCATGTCAAACTTGGTCAGCGCCATCGAGGACAAGAAGGATCCGTACAAACGCCAGGGTGCATTCCTCGCATACGAGCTCATGTCTCTCATCCTGGGCCGCGTTTTCGAGCCCTATGTCATCCAAGTCGTGCCGCAGCTATTGTCAGGCTTTGGTGATGCTATTGTCGATGTTCGCGAGGCCTGTCTCGATGCCGCAAAGACTTGCTTCGCCAGTCTGAGCTCGTATGGTGTCAAGCAAGTCCTTCCCACTTTGCTCGAGGGCCTCGACGAACAGCAATGGAGAAGTAAGAAGGGTGCTTGTGACTCCCTCGGTGCTATGGCATACTTGGACCCTGAGCAGCTGGCCGTCAGCTTGCCCGAGATCATCCCGCCGTTGACGGATGTCTTGAACGACAGTCACAAGGAGGTCAGAGCATCTGCCAATCGCAGTTTGCAACGCTTCGGTGATGTTATCAGCAACCCTGAGATCAAGAGTCAAGTCGACATCATCCTGAAGGCTTTGAGTGACCCCACCAAGTACACTGACGACGCCCTGGATGCTTTGATCAAGGTCAACTTCATTCATTACCTCGACGCTCCGTCATTGGCGCTGGTCGTTCGTGTCTTGGAACGTGGTCTGGGTGACCGTTCAGCAACAAAGAAGAAGGCTTCTCAAATTATTGGTAGCTTGGCACATCTTACTGAACGCAAGGATCTTATCACCCATCTTCCCATCTTGGTTGCTGGTCTGAGAGTTGCCATCGTCGATCCTGTCCCCACTACTCGTGCTACCGCTTCCAAGGCTCTTGGTTCAACAATCGAGAAGCTTGGCGAGGATGCTATGCCAGACCTCATCCCCAGTCTCATGGCTACTCTCAAGTCAGACACTGGTGCTGGTGACAGACTTGGTTCCGCACAAGCTCTTAGTGAAGTTCTTGCTGGTCTCGGTACCAGTCGTCTCGAAGAGACGCTACCCACCATCCTGCAAAACATCTCGAGTTCCAAGCCTGCAGTCCGCGAGGGCTTCATGTCATTGTTCATCTATCTGCCTGCTTGTTTCGGTAACAGTTTCTCGAACTACTTGTCTAAGATCATCCCCCCGATCTTGTCCGGTCTCGCTGACGACATTGATACTATTCGCGAGACTGCTCTGCGTGCTGGTAGATTGTTGGTCAAGAACTTCGCCACACGTGCAATTGATCTCCTGCTTCCCGAGCTCGAACGTGGTCTGGCTGATGACAGTTACCGCATTCGTCTCAGTTCCGTTGAGCTGGTTGGTGACCTGCTCTTCAACCTCTCCGGTATTAGTGGAACCGCAGAGCAAGAAGAGGCCGAGGAAGGTGCCAACGAAGCAGGCCAATCGCTTCTCGAGGTACTTGGAGAGGAGAAGCGCAACAAGGTTCTCTCTGCCTTGTACATCTGTCGCTGCGATACCTCTGGACTTGTTCGAACTGCATCTATCAACGTCTGGAAGGCATTGGTCGCTTCCCCCCGCACCCTTCGCGAGCTCATCCCTACCCTCACTCAACTCCTCATTCACCGTCTTGCAAGCTCCAACATGGAACAGAAGGAGATTGCTGGCAACGCTTTGGGCGAGCTTATCAGAAAGGCTGGAGAGGGTGTCCTCTCGACTCTGCTGCCTACTCTCGAGCAAGGTTTGCAGACAACCGATGTGGATGCCAAGCAGGGTATCTGTATCGCTTTGCGCGAGTTGATCGCGTCTGCTTCTCCCGACTCCCTCGAGGATCACGAGAAGACTCTCGTCTCTGTCGTCCGCATTGCGTTGGTCGATGGTGACGAGGACGTCAGAGAGGCAGCTGCGGAGGCGTTCGACTCTTTGCAAAAGGTCCTTGGCAAACGTGCTATCGACCAGGTCCTTCCTTACCTTCTCAACCTGCTCAGATCCGACGAGGATGCAGACAATGCTCTTTCCGCTCTGCTCACCTTGCTCACCGAGCAGACAAGATCGAACGTTATCCTGCCAAACCTCTTGCCTACCCTTCTCACTCCTCCCATCACTGCATTCAACGCCAAGGCTCTGGCTTCTCTTGCCCAGGTTGCAAGCTCTGCCATGACAAGAAGACTGCCGAATATCCTCAACGCACTTATGGACAGTGTTCTCGGCACCAAGGACGAAGAGCTCCGCGCCGATCTCGAGAACTCTTTCGACGCAGTGCTTTTGTCTATCGACGAATTCGATGGTCTTAACACTGCCATGAGCGCCATGCTCGCCCTGACCAAGCATGAGGATCACCACAGAAGAGCACGTGCGGACATGCATCTCGCCAAATTCTTCAAGACAACCGACCTTGACATCTCACGCTACTACCCTGACCTCATCCGCACACTACTCATCAGCTTCGATGACAGCGACGCTGAGGTTGTTAAGGCTGCATGGACTGCTCTTTCTGCACTGACTGGACGCCTGCGCAAGGAAGAGATGGAGTCGTTGGTCTTCTCTACCAGACAAACGCTCAACCAAGTTGGTGTTGCAGGCCACAGTCTGCCTGGTTTCTCATTGCCCAAGGGTATCAATGCTATCCTGCCTATCTTCCTGCAAGGTTTGATGAATGGGTCTGCCGAGCAACGTACAGCAGCAGCTTTGGCAATTTCCGACATCATCGACCGTACCAGTGCCGATGCTCTCAAGCCTTTCGTCACCCAGATCACTGGTCCTCTGATTCGTGTTGTGTCTGAGCGTTCAGTCGAAGTCAAGGCTGCTATCTTGTTCACTCTCAACAACCTGCTCGAGAAGATTCCTGCTTTTTTGAAGCCCTTCTTGCCTCAGCTGCAGCGTACCTTTGCGAAGTCACTTGCCGATACCTCGAGCGAGATTCTTCGTATCAGAGCCGCAAAGGCTCTCGGTACACTTATCACCCTCACTCCTCGTATCGATCCCCTTATCGCCGAGCTAATCACTGGTTCGAAGACTGCCGACGCTGGCGTGAGGAATGCTATGTTGAAGGCCTTGTACGACGTTGTTGTCAAATGCGGCTCTAGCATGAACGAGGCTTCACGAACTGGTATCCTGAGTCTGATTGACTCTGACACTGGTGATTCCGATGAGGCATCTGCCATTACCAACGCACGTCTGTTGGGTGCCTTGATCAAGGTCCTTCCTGAAGACGTCGGTGGCGGACTCGTCAAGGCACGTGTGCTCACTCCCGACCACACCTACTCTTCAGTTCTTGCCCTCAACTCGATCTTGGCCGAGGCCCCTGGATCACTGACCGGGCCCTTCGCTGACGTTCTGCCTTCCACCATCTGTCAAGGCATTAGCAGCAGCCAGCCAGCGATTGCAGACAACTGTGTTCTTGCAAGCGGAAAGTACTTGCTCACACCCACATCCGACACGTCCTTCGAGCCTGTCAAGCAGATCATGGAGGCTCTCGCCGCCGCTGTCGCACCCGGCAAGCCCGTCGACACCCGTCGTCTAGCATTGGTCGTGCTGCGCACTGTTTCACGCGAACAGAACGACCTTATCCGTCCTCACCTTGCTTTGCTCACGCCTGCCGTCTTCGGTAGCGTTCGTGACATGGTCATTCCCGTCAAGCTCGCTGCCGAAGCTGCCTTCCTGGCAATGTTCAGCGTCGTCGAGGAAGAAGACGCTATCTTTGCTAAGTACATGGCTGGACCTGGCGCCGAACTCGCTCCTGGCCCCAAGAGAAGTATCCAAGACTACTTCAAGCGTATTGCTACAAGATTGGGCGCGCAAGCCAGAGAGCGCAGAGAAGCCGAGGGTGGCCAGGGTGGTTTGGGCTTGTCAAGCGACGAGCAAGAGGATATGAAGGAGGTCTGGAGTGTTGGAAAGGTTGACGTTGAGAGCGGTGCTTTCAAGGATGAGTAAAGAAGTCATGTCATGCTGCATTAACATTGAAAAAAAAGCGTAAATTCTTTCGATTCGTAGATATACGTTTTCCTCTCATACAATTTTGTTTCTTGTTCAATTTGAGTCTGTTCCTTGTGACGCTTCGTAGAAGACAGTTGTGATCTCAAACTGTGGCATCCGTGCTCGGCTGGTGTTGCTTCTTTCAGCAGAATGAGCGAGCAAGCGTCGGTGACGTGATGACATGCCAATTCCACGACCACTTTCCAAACGATCATCTCTTGAACCTCGACACCTCATCAGCAATTCCTCAAAGAGAACGCACGCTCAGCATTCACTCATCATGTCTTGGATGGACTCATGTTCGTCTTCCGTACTATAGGTAGCTGCCATTTACCCATACTAACGATACTTGTCCAGGGTCACGGCCAAAGAAGAATGCTGCTACGCCTCCGCCTCTGTACTTGACATCGGATCAAGTGCGGTATTGCCATACTTGTGGCAGAGTCATCGGTAAGTTTCTAGTTTTGGAGTATCACTCAAGTGTATGCAAGATGCGCTGCAAAGTAGATGGACAGCGGAGGACTTCCATTGCCCCCCCAACACTATGACCATGAAGTCAGAGCACCGTGTCTTCCAGATTCGAACCGACGAATCTTACTTGACAAAAACTCTGAATTCTGAGTAACCTCCTCAATGAAGAAGCTGGCTCAATTATGCGGCACGGGCTCCGCTGGGATATCTAGTTTGCAGCACTATATCCTTGTTTGCGTGCCTAAATCGCAAGTTTAATACGCTAACGAAATGCTCAAGGCTCCAGAAAATCAAACTCTGCCAAAACAGCAGCCACAGAAGTAAAGTTCTGCTCCGACAGATGCAAACGGCACAAGCTCCGACCAGCAGACAAACGCATCGAAGCCGCATTTGCTGCTCTTCTCGACGGCCAGGATGCATCCCAATTCGCAGCTGTACAGGGAGATTCCGCGCCCGGAGACGAACTCACCAAAACCACTTCTAATCTTTCAATTCAAGCTGAGAAGCCACACGATAAATACGACTACGGCAAAAGCAACAGCAAGAAGAAGCAACAAAAAGTCAAAGGCGACCCTCGTATCTTGGTTTCTTGCAGCGAAGTGGAGACTCTGATCTATGGCTCTCGCGAAGACCCAGAAAAGACCTTTGGGCGCAAGAAGAACAGAGCTAGAAGAGGTGTGGCCGATGACGAAGTGTGGAAGAGTATCGACATGGTGGATTCCGACACCGACACCGGAACTGCGGAAACTGCTTCTGCAGATGAAGACACCATTGAGCATGGCAGCACAAAGGTCATGGACAACAGGGGTGTGCCTCTTGCCGAGGCCCTCGAGGACGATGCAGACGCAGATGCAGATGTGGTTAAGCTCAAGGGAAGAGTGAGACCTCCACAGTCGGAATCCGACGTCAATGGCTCAATAGGCGGAGAAAAGGGATGGGCCGAGCGTATCAACGAGACACCCGAGATGCTGCAAAAGCGAAGAGATGGACAAAGAAGAGCCGAAGAGAAGGAAATGGTCAAGTGCGCTGCCAGAAGGGCTGTTGTTTTCGGTCTGGAGAGCAGTAGGGTGCTTACTGGTGAGGGCAAGAAGGGAAAGAAAGGAAAGGATGATGATGATGGAGAGGCCAAGCAGCAAGGCAGAAGGATGTGTGAGGCGGTCATGCATGGTGCTGTTGTTGAGCCATCTTACGCCAAAGGAGACTGGTCTATCCGATGGAGAGAGGAGTAGAATTCCGAATGATCAGTGCAAGAGATGCTCGCACACTGCAGCAAGGCTTTATGCCAGCCACTCCAAATGCTAGATGTCATGCGAGCTCAACCATCAAACCAGACTAAATTCTTGAGAAGCTGAAGAGAGCCAATGAGAGATCGGGAAAGTGGGGTCCTCAGTGGACGGTCATTGGGTTGCCAGTAGGATCGTACATTCTAGTGACTACGCATAGTGGTCTCAAGAGTTACAGTTGCCTTGTATTTGTACATAGACCTCGCGTGCTTGACATCAGCTGCTTGGAGAATTGTATCGTTGATGTCAAAGCCTGACAGGGTTATACCCCTGACAAGCATCTCGACACTTGATCTTGTCTTTGTGCAGCCACTACGGTTGCATTGACCTTTGAAACGATATTGGGTGGTGCTTAATGCCTCTCTTGTTGATGTGTTCGCCCTGGAAGCACACCACTCTCGCTGATTCGGAGTTTGATCGCTTGGAAGCATTGGGAGACTCGATTTCAGACCAAGCGGAGTCAAACACGCATTCTGTCTTGACATTGTGTTCAACCTAGGATATTGACTACTCTTCAATCAGGCAGTATACATTTTATACCCTAGCTATACAACTAGACACTCTACTTTTTCGCGACTATGATATCAGGCAACTCGGTGATCTGGGTGGTCTCCCTCGTGTCTAGATCCACCACATGAACCGCAGCAAGGCCTACCAAGCCGGTTGACAATGTCAAGAACTCCAACTGTACATTATGACAAGCTCCCGGGGGTAGAGGACTAAACCGTTAGTTGATAGAATTTCAAGAGCATGCATGTTCAAACTTACCCGACTCGCACATCTGCATTCAAACACACGACCTCTGCCATCTGCGCCTCACGCTGATCCTGCATGTTGTATATCGTACGATCATCCAGAACTGCCTCGGCAGTGTGATGACTATCCTGGCGAGCAATGTTGGGAAATCGCAAGGTATGATGCGCAGTATTCGCTTTGGCAGACTTTGGGATAGCCACAATCGCAAGCCTCTTCCTCCTTGGGCTGCGATTCACGACGAATACATCGAGATGGAAAGTCTCGCCTTCGTTGACCCTTTCCGGTGCAGTGAATGCGAAAGTCACACCGGCAGACTCGATTTGGGTTGTGCCACTGAGAGGTCGAGTTATGGTCGAGCTCATCCGTTTGCTCAGTGGTCGTGACGAAGCAAGATCTTGAGGCGCTAGAGTCGAAGCCACACTTTGTGGTCGTAACGACATCCTTTTGGTTGGCTGCGAGGAAGGGAAGTTTACGTTCCCATGCCAGCGGGCCTGTATTTGCGCGCGACAGGTCTCACTGATCTGTGCGACAGCCCGAATTTGGAAGGTGACATTACTCGGTTTTGATGGATGGTGTGATAAAGCTCCAGTCGCATCCTTCTCGCGAGCCAGTTTGTACAGGAAAGTACTTCTATCTCCAGTCTGTAGCGTTGTGGGAAGACCGAGAGCAGCCAGGTCCGAAGAGAATGGTTGCACGTTGAGATTGTTCCCCTCGGCCTTGATCTCAATTACTTGTACTCCACCGTGTCCGGTATGGCGTGCAGATTCCAGATCCAGGCATAGCAACATGTCCGAGACCTGCTCGGGGGTGATATGAACCTTTACCGCTAGTGCTGAGAAAACAGGGAAGAGCCTCGAAGACGTCCTTAAAGGTCGAGCATCCTGAGTGGCAGGGGATGCTCGAGGGGCTACTTTGTGAATGCGGGAAGACGGAATACAAGGTTGGTCCGAAGTTGTCTGTGGGCTGTGCTGTAGAGACTGAAGCAGGTTCTCGGAAGTTGGTAATGCGCTAGTCATATATTCATCTTGAGATGTGTTCTTGGATATGACTGGTGCTTCGACAGCCCTCGAGACTGCTGATGCGGTCAGATGAATAGATGGCCGGTGAAGCTTCTGAGGTGGATATCGAAGGTAGAGAGTACTCTTCCAAACAGCATATGATCTGTTGTCATTATCGGGAAGATGGATCAAAATCGGCTTGTTCTCAGGTGAGATTGTGACCGAGTCCAAGGTTAGTTTTACGGGTTGTTGTGGAGGAGCCGGAGCACTATTTGATTGTAGGCGCGGAGGTGGCGAGGGCTGAGTTGCATGTGCAGTTATGTGTATTTCAACATCGCGTAGCACTTGTTGGAAGGAGGCTAGTGAGCTGCGAAGAATGACATATACAGGTAGCAGTTCCTCTAACAGATGTTAACAAAAAGTTTGAATCTCCAAGGAGGCACAGAATTGCATACCGAAAAGCAGATTATCTCTAGATACAAGTTGTGAATCGCTCTTCAAATATGCTTCGACATCAAAGTCGGATGAGTCTGGAATTAGAAGATCAAGGGTGGAAGCATCGGGGAAGAACAGCGATGGCTGTGATGCAGCGCCGGTGGAAGTTGTCATTGAACACTCTCCATGTAGATATTGTGAATTTCTCGGCAATCCTGAAGTGACTCGTGAAGTGAAGGTTCGACAAGAATTGAACAGATCAACAAAAGTAGATGTTACTGTTGGCCTTGACCATCACATGCAAAGCAATAGGAGTCGGAGGCCGAAAGCGGCAAGTGCCGAGCTTGGAGGTCTCCAGTCGCGCGCTGTGAGAGAAAGAAAGAACAAAGACAACTCGCTCCATCCAATTGTTAGCGGGCACAATGAGCGCCCTACAAAGCCATCCAGCATGGCAGATCCTGCTCGACAAGAAGACAAACAAGCCATATTACTACAATCGATCCGCCAACATCAACACATATACCGTGCCCGATGATCTTTTGACACCGGCGCAAGTGAGTAGATTTGCTCTTGGCTCCAGGTACACCAGAAACTGACTGTCTTTTTCACAGAAAGCTACCGGATGGGCTCAGACCACGGCTGATGGAGGTAGAGTCTACTTCTTCCGCAAGGACGACAAGACAAAGACATCATGGACACCACCCCCGGGCTGGGAAACCCCTGCTGCCGCTCCTGTTCAGGAAGCTCCGCAATTCGTGTCATCTAGCTTCCAGGCCCACCCTCCTGCACGCGAACAGAGAGGCCCTCGAGAGAGCAGACCCTTCCACGACCGTCGCGAGGAGAGCAATTACAGAGGACCCATCGCCGTCGCCGCCACTGGTCCCGAATATGCTTCCCGTGAAGAGGCCGAGGCAGCCTTTACCAAGCTGCTGAGAAAATCTGGCGTTCAACTAGGTTGGTCCTGGGAGCGCGCAATGCGTGCCACTATTCAGGATCCTCAATACCGTGCCATCAAGGAACCTAGCGAGAGAAAAGCCGCCTTCGAAAAATACCTCGACGATGTCGTGCGCGAAGACCAGGAGCGCGAGAAGGAACGCATCAAGAAGCTCCGTTCCGACTTCCGCTCAATGCTGCAGACACATCCTGAGATCAAGCATTACACACGCTGGAAGACTGCCCGCCCTATGCTTGAGAACGAAGCCATCTTCCGTGCTACTGACAACGAAGACGAGAAGCGCCGCCTATTTGACGATTATCTTATTGATCTCAGAAAGGCTGCTGAGGACAAGCGCCAGCGCGACTACGATGCTGCCATGACAGGCGTCGCTGACCTCTTGCAAGTCCTTGATCTCAATGCCAAATCGCAATGGATGGAAACCCGCGAACGCCTCCACTCCCACCCCGACTTTCAGGAAGACCCCAAGTACAAGATCCTATCACCCTCCGAGCCTTTACAAATCTTCGATCGCTACATGCGCAGACTTTGGAACGATGCCCACAACGAGAAGCAACGCACTGCTCAGCTCAAGGCTCGCGAACAGAGGAAGGCCAGAGAAGGCTTTGCTGCTCTCCTCGCCGAGCTAAGAGAAGCCGAAACCATCAAGCCCGGCACCATGTGGAAAGAGGTCTACCCTTTGATCGAGAACGAGCCGCGCTACATCAAGTTGATGGACAATCTAGGTCACAAAGACCGTATCGCTGACGGTTCCACTCCTCAGGACATCTTCTTCGACTTCCTGGACGACTTTGACAAGGAAGTCCACGACATCCGCCCTGCAGTCGAGGCCACCCTCAAGGAAGAGCACTTCCGTTTCGTTCCCTCGACCACCCTCGAAGAATTCTTGCACGCCATCAGACACGACCGCCGCATTTCATCCATGAACCCGCACCTTCTGGAAGAGGTATACAAGAGACTGCACAGAAACGCCCTCGACAGGGAGGAGGACATTGAACGTGACGCCAAACGTCAGCAGCGTAAGGCTGTTGATGCCTTGCGTTCTCGAATCAAGCATCTGGAACCACCAGTACTCATTGGCGATACATGGGAGCAGGTGCGTCCGCGTGTTGAGCGCAGCGAAGAGTATAAGGCCGTGACGAGCGATGAGGACCGCCAACTCGCCTATGACAAATTCATGAACAGGCTCAAGGAAGATGCTGCTGAACGGGAACGCCTGCGCCGCCATGACAGAGAACGCGAAAGAGACCGTGATAGACGCCGAGACCGAGAGCGCCGCCGTAGCCGTTCACCACCTTCCCGTGAGGTTGACGCATACGAAGCCGACCGCCGCCGCGCTGCCTCCGAACGTGAGCGCCAGTACCGCCACTCGAGCATTAGCGGGCTTTCGCCACCACCCCGTGAGCGTCCGAGAGTCCGCGACGACCGTTACGAAAGAGATGTGGGCGACCCAAGAAGAGAAAGACAAGTCAGTCTATCCATCTACGACCGCGAGAGACGAGAACGCGAGGCCGAACGTGAGAGATCGTACATTAGTCGTGCCGACCCGCGCACCAAGGCCAGCGAACTTGACTACGGTGATGGGGGAGACAGCCCCAAGCCTGAGAGCACCTCTGGTGGCAACAACAGCAACAAGAGATCTGCAGCTGGAAATGGGGACAGCGATGCAAAGAGGCAGGCCAAGCGCCCTCGTGTCGGTGAGCATACCTCTTCCCGCAATGTTACTCCCGCTCCCTCGACTGCAGAAAATGACGAGCCTGCGCTGCAGTCTGGCAGTGAAGAGGGCGAGATTGAAGAAGTCTAGACGATCGAACTGATCCAGAACGAGCGCAAATTGGAAACCAAGGCATTGCATGCGGTACGTTCTTCTTTCTCAAAGGATGACCTACTAGTTTTCAAGGCAGATTCCACGGGCCCAACTTGTTACCTACCTTCTCTACATCTACCGCCATGCCACAGGTGCGTCTTGTGCAACACAACTTCTGTCCTAACAATAGTTCTTTCATGTACCAAGAATAAAAGCAATTGAAACGAAAATTCAAAGTGAAAATTATCAAACTTTTGTGATTCCTTGTATACTCTCTACTCCTCTTTGTACCGTAGCTTGGTTCATCAAAATGTTCATGCAATGGCGCTCCATGGTTCCCTTTGTGCCGCACCTTGTTTTGTCCGAGCTACAGTTACATTGCAGCTTTGGAGACGCTTGTCCCAAGATGTTGTTCAGCTCCGACCAAAGTGTGTGATCAAACCAGATTGCCAATCACTTGCTCAACAGGCAGTCCTCGTCCTCGGTCTGATCACCCACTCCTGTGTGTTCTATCTTCTCGTCCGCACCGGATCGCGAGCATTGCTTGCGGCGGCGATAGGAGCGGTTGCGTCGGAGCAGAGCGGCGCGTGAGGAACCTTTCGCCGGGCGCCAAGGGGCCCAATATCGTGAGTTCAGAAAAACTCCCTTCAAGACTCTTCTTCCATGAAGAACTGTGTCGATTGTCAGTATTTGTATAATTTTTGAGTTGTACAGCGAGTCACTTACGTAGTTTCCTCCATTCTTCTGTTCCTGGTCGAGCTGGGAGTCCAGCTTGTTGATACGAGGACGGTATGAGTTGGGATCACGTCTGAAGGTAACGTCCAAGTTCTTCAAGAACTTGTTGCAACCGGTCAGAAGAGACTCGGGCTTGTTGGCACGAGCGTCAACGGACGGAATACCATCGAAGACAATGACACGGTCGGCAAGGTAGGTGGCCATGATGAAATCGTGCTCGACGATGAAGGCGGTCTTCTTCGAGTGCATGATGAAACGCTTGATGACACGGGCAGCAATGATACGCTGCTCGGAATCGAGGTAGGCACTAGGCTCGTCGATAAGGTAGATGTCGGCAGGGATACCAAGAGCCAAGACGATAGCGACACGCTGCAGTTCACCACCGGACAAGTTCTGGACTTCCTGGTCGATGAAGTCATCCATCTTCAGGGGCTTGTAGACATCGGTCTGGAACTGAGGGTTCAAGAAGGCGGCCTTGATCTTCTTGAAAAAGAGCTGACGGACGGTACCCTTGAATTTGGGAGTGATCTTCTGGGGCTTCATACTGATGTTCATGGGAGGAACACTCTTAGTGCCATCAGGCTTCTCGGCACCAGCGAGCATTCTACAGAAAGTGGTCTTTCCGGTACCGTTCTCTCCCATCATGACGAGGATCTCGGAGTCGGTGAACTCACCGGGCTCAATCTTCAGCTTGAAACCGGAGGCGGGTTGTGTCTTGTTCATGGCAGGGTAGCCATATTGGCGAGATTGGTCGACGAGGAACTCCTCTCCAGCTTCACCGATACGGAACTGCAAAGATTCCTCTCTGAAACGCAAGTTCTCGCTGGGAATATGACCGTCGAGGAAAATGTTGATACCCTCACGGACCGAGGAAGGCAGGGTGACGACACCGTAGACGGCAGGCTTACCGTAAAGCAAACAGATGAAGTCGGACAGGTAGTCGAGAATGGACAAATCGTGCTCGACGACAATGACGTACGAGGTAGGGCCGAGCAGACTGCGGATCAGACGACCGGCGGCCAGACGCTGCTTGACATCCAAGAAGGATGAAGGCTCGTCGAACATGTAGACGTCGGCCTTTTGCACACAGACGATGGCAATGGCGAAACGTTGCAGCTCACCACCGGAAAGGAGATCAATGTCACGGTCGAGAATGGCGTCAAGCTCGAGCGTCTTGATGATCTCCTCGACTCTTGCTTCGTCAACCTCGGCGCGTTGCTTGACGAGGAAGCCAACGGTTCTGTTCTCGCCCTTGACGGCTCTGGGGATCTGGTCGACGTATTGAGGCTTGACGACAGCCTTGAGGTTGTCCTCGAGGACCTTTGTGAAGTAGTTTTGCAGCTCAGAACCACGGAAGTACTTGAGAATCTCCTCCCAATCAGGAGGGTTGTCGTAGCGGCCGAGGTTAGGCTTCAGCTTTCCGCTCAGAATCTTCAGGGCAGTACTCTTTCCGGTACCGTTACCACCAACAAGACCGAGGACCTGACCGGGTCTGGGCATGGGAAGTCTGTGGAGCTTGAAGCTGTTGGCCGAGTAGCGGTGAGTAACTTGCGACTCGAGGTTGGTGGGCAAGTTGATAATGTTGATGGCATCGAAGGGGCATTTCTTAGGGCAGATACCGCAACCGATACAGAGACGTTCTGAAATGAAGGCAATTTTGGACTCGTTGGTGACTTCAATACAGAGCTTGCCGGTACGGACGACAGGACAGGACTTCTTGCACTCCTGGCGACATTTCTTCGGAGCTAGTCAGATTGTGTTTTTCTACTCGTACCAGGTTGCGTAGGATGGATCGGATTTACCTTGGGCTTGCACTGTAATGCTTGTCAGTAAGTTGATCTCTTCGCAGTCAAAGCAGCAAACGTACCTTGTCGCTGTTGACAATAGCAATACTGCATAGGTCAAGTTAGAAATGAAAGGCCAGAATTTTCTCGCTCGCGCGCGCGGCGGTGGCAGCGACATACCGAGTCAACTTGTCCGACATGATGGGCTATTGTGTAGTGTCGCAAGAGCTGACAGCGGCTTGCAAGACTTTGGAGAGCCAAACGAGAAGGGCAAACGGAGAGTTGGGCACAAAGACAGCGGCGCTCTGGTGGAAAGCGAAGAACAATGGTGTGGCTTATTACCACGCGCCTGATTGGTGCGGAGTCTTGGCACGAAATAGCGGGCTGCGGGCAGTCGCTACTCGCGCTCTCTCTCGTCCGTCTGTCAGAGCGTCGTTCAGTCTCAAGCAAGAAGTCGCAATCCCATCCACCACCCAGCACCCCCAACCGACCGAGCACTATTCCCACTCGTCTGGACATGGTCTCACATGGCCGGTAAGCTCGCTCTCTCGTTTCCGTCCTTTTCTCTGCACTCTGCCTCGGCCACGTCGGTCTTGGCATTTCCTTCATCTCTGGATCCGATCGCCTATACCAGTCTATATCGACCTCTGTCGTCGCCTGTATCGCTCAAATCGCCTTCGGAGTACCCTTCCCACCTTCTCCAGCTGCCGTTGCACGTCTCCGACTCCTCTTCTGCCCTCCGTCAGAGCCACATCGCGTCAACCGACCATTCGACACTCGCGTCTGCCCTCGATCTAATTCATCCATATTCCATCTCGATCCACTTTCTACGACTTCCACGAGACCTACCGCTCCGTCTTTGGGGGGAATCCGGTCGCCTAACCAAGGCGCTCATCTTCCCAAATCCACACCTCCGTCCGACTACCGTGTCTTAAGCAATCTTGCTGACTGCTCACCCTTACAGCCGGCCAGACATCTCTGCTACCTACCCATCTACCTCCTTCCACCATGTCTTTTGAGAACGGCCACCTGTCGCCCACTGATGAGCCGACTTACGCGACTCTGGACACCAAACCTTCCCACAGCGAGAGCGAACTTTCAGATGTCAATGATATTCCCGACCAGACTGTCCCCGAGTCCATCGACCATGTCATGCAAGATGCCGCAAGTCCGAGGTCAGATGAAGACGAGGACGCCGATGGTTCTGATGATGCCGATTACGACGCGCCATCCCCTCCCTCAAGAGCCAGCGTCGACTCCCGCCATAGTAGCGTATCCTCAGAAGCCTCGTCGCTGCCCCGCAAGCGCAAGGCCGAGCCAGATGTAGATGACGAACAATACATGCAAGAGAATCCAGAGCTGTATGGCCTTCGCCGAAGCGTGAGTCGACTTCTCGTCCTATTCATCTTGCTTCTGCTGACTGTCACCAGGGTCGCGCCCGTCCTACTCGCCGAATCGTGTGTCTCACTATGCGTTGCGATAGCGCGGATTATACTAACTTGCAACTGTAGATCGAAAGCAGCGACGAAGAGCAAGACGACAACGACTCTGGTTCAGACGTCAACCCCGGCCGGGCCCGTAAGCGTTTACGGCCGGCCACCTCTCGCAATGGTATCACAGCTCCGACCCCTCGTTTTTTCGTGGTCACTGACATACATGTTCTTCTAGTCTCCGCTCGTCAGACCGATTCAGAATCTGGGACAGACAGCGACACTTATGGTGGCGCACGTGGTCGTGAGTTCGCGAAAAGGCACCGCCGCAGGTTGCAAGGAGCCTCATCCCGTTCCGCGTCAGGGCTTGCAGGAGACCTTCGCTTCTCTACCCGACAAGCTGGCAAAGTCACAACTTACAACGAGGAAGATGGCGACGACTTCAGTGAGGAGGACACCGAGAACCTGACACCCAATTACTGGGCCGCCGCGGAAGATGACTCTCCTGGCATCGACGTGGTTCTCAACCACAGAATTGCCGACGGCAAAGGTGAGGCCTGCTGTATACTATCTTTCTCAAGTTTGTGCTGACGATTCTCATCTACAGACACCGAATACCCAGAGAAGACCGACTACGAATTCTTTGTTAGTATCTTACCTTGATTGGCACGTACTCATACTAACACCACTCCAGATCAAATGGCAAGGCAAAGCACACTACCATGCTACATGGGAGCCCTGGACCGAGCTTACTTCAGTTCGCGGATTCCGTCGTCTAGAGAACTACTACCGCAAGACCGTCGAGGCCGAGCAATTTTTGGCTCAAGACCCTGATGTTGCCCCTGAAGAGCGCGAGAAGTACACGCTCGATCGCGAAACATACCTCGATGCTCTGGACGACTACATGAAGGTCGAAAGAGTCATTGGAGAACAAATTGGCAACGATGGCCGGGAGTACTACGTGAAATGGAAGTCGCTTGCATACGATTTCTGCACATGGGAACCAGAGTCTCTTGTTAGCGAGCTAGCACAGAACGAGATCGATCGCTACCTCGACCGCTCGTCTCGACTGCCCACCTCCGACAAGCGCGAGTCAAACTTATCCACTCGCTCGCCATACAAGCCTTTCCGCACACAACCTGACTACGTCAAGTTTGGTCAGCTGAGAGATTTCCAGTTGGCAGGTATCAACTTCCTCGCCCACAACTGGTGCAAGGGAAACAATGTCATCCTTGCAGACGAGATGGGCCTGGGAAAGACCGTCCAGTCCGTGTCGTTCATGAGTTGGCTGATTCACGATCGTCGTCAAGAAGGACCTTTCTTGGTTGTCGTACCGCTATCAACCATGCCTGCTTGGGCCGACACTTTTAACAACTGGACGCCGGACATCAACTACATTGTTTACAACGGTAATGAGGCTTCACGCAAGATTCTTCGCGAACACGAACTTCTTGTGGACGGTAACCCGAAGAAGACGAAGTTCAATGTCATGCTCACGACTTACGAATACATTCTCCTCGACTCGGCCTTCCTTTCCCAAATGAAGTGGCAATTTATGGCTGTTGATGAGGCACATCGGCTGAAGAACCGAGATTCACAACTCTACGTCAAGCTGATGGACTTTGGCGCACCCAGTCGACTACTGATCACGGGTACACCTCTGCAAAACGAGCTGAAAGAGCTATCTGCTCTCATGGACTTCCTCATGCCAGGCCTGATCAACATTAACGATGACATTCCGATCGACGACTCTGAAGCTACCAGACAAGCCCTCGACGAACTGATGAAGGCAATCTCACCGTACATGATTCGACGTGTCAAAGAAAATGTCACGAGTGATCTACCAGGCAAGACCGAGAAGATCATCCGAGTCGAGCTGTCAGACGTTCAATTGGAGTACTACAAGAACATTCTCACCCGCAACTATGCAGCTTTGAACTCTGGCACCAAGGGTCAAAAGCAGTCATTGCTAAACATCATGATGGAACTCAAGAAAGCCAGCAATCATCCCTTCATGTTCCCCAATGCAGAGGATCGCATCTTGGAGGGCAAAACCGGCAGGGAAGACCAACTTAAGGCTCTTGTAACGAGCAGTGGAAAGATGATGCTTCTTGATCGTCTATTGACCAGACTCAAGGCCGATGGTCATCGCGTCCTCATCTTCAGTCAAATGGTCAAGATGCTTGACATCGTAGGCGATTACCTGCACCTTCGTGGGCACCAGTATCAGCGTCTCGATGGTACAATTGCAGCTGGTCCCAGACGTCAGGCCATTGATCATTTCAACGCTCCTGACAGCAAAGACTTCTGTTTTATTCTTTCCACTCGTGCAGGTGGTCTCGGTATCAACCTTATGACTGCAGACACTGTCATCCTCTTCGATTCTGATTGGAACCCTCAAGCAGATCTTCAGGCCATGGCGCGTGCTCACCGCATCGGTCAGAAGAACCCTGTCACAATCTACCGCTTCGTGTCAAAAGACACAGTCGAAGAAGAGGTCTTGGAACGTGCTCGTAACAAGCTCATCCTAGAGCACATCACCATTCACCAAGCCATGACAGAGAAGGAGGCCAAGGCACTCAGAAGCAAGCTTGATTCTGCTGGCGTTTCCACTGCCGAACCAGTCGCACATGATGACCTTTCTCGTATCCTCAAGCGCCGCGGACAGAAGATGTTCGAGCAATCTGGTAACCAGAGGAAGCTTGAAGAACTCGATATTGATGCTGTTCTCGAAAATGCTGAGATCCATCAGACCGAACAGGCAGGTGCTGGCATTACAGCAAGCGGAGGCGCAGACTTCTTGAAGAGTTTCGAGTACACCGATGTCAAGCTTGATCTCGAATGGGACGAAATCATCCCAAAGGAGCACCTCGAGGCCATCAAGGCCGAAGAGAAAGCCAAGGACGAAGCACAATATCTCGAGTCTGTCATTGAAGAGAATCAACCGAGAGGCGCGAAGCGCAAGTCCAAGGATGAAAACGACCGAGAACAGCGTGCCGCTAAGAAGAGAGCTCGAGACTTGGCTGCCCAAGCAGCTGCCGATATCGAGTCTGACAACGAATCCAACGTTGGCGCCGATCCCCAGCGGCCCATGAGTGAGAAGGATATTCGCAACTTGATTCGCGCATACGAGAAGTATGGTTCGATCGATGAGCGTCAGAACGAGGTCGTCAAAGAAGCCAGACTAGTTGGTCGTAACATCGACCTTCTCAAGGCTACTCTTGACGACGTTGTAGGCATCAGCAAGAAGCTCCTCCAGGACGAGCAGGACCGCGTCTTGGCTCTTGAGCGCGAGACTAACAAGCCCATCACCAAGAAAGACAAGAAGGCCGTACTGTTCGATTACAAGGGTGTCAAGCGCCTGAACGCCGAGACTTTGACCGAGCGTCCTCTCGAAATGCGCATGCTTCGGGATGTCGAAAAGTCACTTGGAGACAACTGGCGTACTTTCCGCATTCCAGAGGCTTCCAAGCCTGCTCACTACACGTGCCCTTGGGGAGCTCGTGAAGATGGTATGCTGTGCATTGGCATCGCAAAACATGGATACGGCGCCTGGGTAGCCATTCGTGACGACCCCGACCTTGGTATGACCGACAAGTTCTACCTTGAGGAACACCGTGTGGGTACCAAGGAAGAGCGAACCAAAGCCGACGAGAAGAACGCCAAATCTCCTGGTGCTGTTCATCTAGTGAGACGCGCAAATTACCTTCTCAGTGTCTTGAAGGACAAGACAAGCAATGGCACCAACCTCGCGGCCAAGAGAGCACTCGAAAACCACCACCGTAACAACAAGAAGGCTCTCGGTTCAAGCGGTCGTCGCCCTACGAGTGTATCCGCAAGCCCAGCTCCTGGTGCGGCTCGTAAGATGAACCGCGAGGACTCTTACCGCTCGCGTCTTCACAACGACCACCGTGGCTCCTCTGATCGTCGCCAATCATCTAACAACGTCGGACACAGAGCATCACCCGGTGGAGCTGAGCGTGTTGATAGAAACAGACACCACCGTGATTCGGAACCACGAAAGCTGCCGCGTCACGCTGGCTCTCCTCTCGCTGCTCCCAACGGCGACCGACCCGCAGGGGAAGATCACATGAGACGGATTGTGGAACCTATTCGTGATTGTTTGGGACGCATCAGGAAGGCTACCAAGAGCCACATTCCTGATGATAAGGAACGTGCAAATAGCTTGAAGGAATCACTGCAGACAGCAGGCAAATTTTTCAAGCAGAAGGCAGCTGAGAAGGGAAAGACGGTTGAGGATAAACTATGGTAAGTTCTGATCCATCGATTGTATCGACGACCGTCGCTAACAACTGACAGGGATTACCTTGCCGAGACGTGGTGGCCGCAGGCTAAGAACAAAGACAAACGCACGTCAGGCCAGAAGCTGCGAACGCTGTACGAGAAGATCGCAGCCTCGGCCAAGCCCACTTAAGAGTTGTGCCTGGCCTCAAGCTATGATCGATCAACGTACGTGACTACGAAGATCAAAAGGATGAAACGAATTCTGTGGATGAAGAAAAGTCAAGAAGCATGATTTCGAGATCACGACACATTTGTGCATTGAGGGATACTGTGAGTGTCCACGGTGGAGCATTGGATTATTGAAGCTGTTCTTTTTGCGACAGGCGTTAAAATTCGACAATGGGTCGAAGGGACAAAATCTCAGCATGGGTCGGCCAGCAGGCGTTATGTTGCTACAATCGCTATTGTCTTTCTTGTGCATTACCGCTCGCTCAAAGCGTGCCACACAGAGTTCTGAGAATCAGATGCTATATGATAGTACTACTCTAGCTCCAAAACATATTACAATAATGAAGAGATTGATGAGTCTCGCTAAGCGCGCGTGTGTGTCACTGAAATATGCTGTCTGAAATACTCGTAAAACACTTTGAGACGAGGCGACTGTGCAACGATATCAGCTCAAGAGTGGATGGCTTGAAGTTTCGCGGCAATCCATCCTCTCGGATGCCACGGCCGGCGACCCAAGAGGCGCGGGATGCAACGCGCTGATCGATGGTGACTGACGATAGCCGGAAGACCTAGACCCCTCCTTCAACACACCCAGTCGTTGGTTATATACAACATCTTCCTGCTTTCTATCATCCTAAGGAGCTTTGTCAGTGGAATTGCTCGATATCTCACGAACCACTGAACGTCTTCGGCGGCGACGATAAGAAGAGCCCAGTCGCGTGTGCCCCACTGCAGCTGACCTTGATCCCGATCGAGGGCTTCCAATCGACGTCACTTTCACTGGGTCTCAGGGAGAGTGCGGGCGTCATTCTACTTTTTCCTTTGGACGAATAAGTTATGCCTTCCTTCAAAAGTATTCGCAGGCAGGTCCTGTGGAATTTGAACTCGAGATATATTTACGGACGCTATGTGAGTCTCGCTCGCCCTCCACCACACTCGTAGATGACCTAGTAGCTGACCCGTTTGCTCGCGCGACAGCCTCTCCTACACACCTTAGTATTCATCGCCGAGTTAATCATGGTTTCTTTCCTGGTATCCAAGTTTAACAGCTACTATGCTGCGAGACCAGGTATGGTTGACCCATTTCGTTAGCAGGCGACTGCACGCTGACCTCAATACCAGTGCTCACGACCATGGTCACCAACGCCGTAAGCCCATTGAAGACCGGAACCACGTATACTCTCTAACGCGTCATTAAGATTCTTGGTGGTGTAGCCGACACTGTCGCTCAATCTCTCACAGCAGTCAGAGAACGCGCTGTTCGCAAACCTGGCGGTCCCGACCCCAACTCCGATCAAATCGCTATTGAGATCCACGAGGTTGATCGCAGAATCCACTGGCCCGAGGAGGAGCTTATCCCAGACTCCAAGGTGCTGCCTCCACCATTTGACTTTGAGAGGTACAAAGAACCAAGAGCAGATACAATAGTTCGCGAGTGTTGACAAGCTCGACAGATTGACAAGATTCATGGCATACGGTTTTATCATGGCCCCCATCCAGCACAAGTGGTTCGGCTTCCTCAGCCGCATTTTCCCTCTTACCAAGACTTCTGGCACCGTAGCAGCAGCTAAGAGAACTGCGTTTGATCAATTGATCTTCGCACCCGTCGGTCTCGGAGCCTTCTTCACTTTCATGACAGTGGCCGAAGGAGGTGGTCGCAAGCAGATCCAGAAGAAGTTCCAGGACATCTACATTCCATCGTTGAAGGCCAACTACTTGGTCTGGCCTGCTGTCCAGTTGATCAACTTCAGATTGATGCCTCGTCAATTCCAGATTGTAAGTGCAAACAAAATCGAACGACAGAGTGATAGCTAATGATTACACAGCCATTTGTCTCTACTATTGGTATTGCATGGACCGCGTACCTTTCCTTGACCAACTCCGCAGAGGAGGCTTAGAAAGCCATACATGAGCAACGGGCTGGAAGAATGTGTTGATTATCTACAAGCATTGATAAACGGGATGGATTTGGCGTTCTGGCATGGAACTTTACGGGCCGATCTGATAGTAGTCGATCAGTGCAAGGCGTTTTGAATGACACAGCAATTGAGAAGACATGCGAGAAGGGAATGAGAGGGTGTCATGCCACATGAAGTGCAGCAGGTGATTTATCCAGTGCCTGAACATCTAACGGACCTATCATGAGTTGTATCAAGTTGGTTGTATGGTGGAAAGATGGCGGAACACGCCAGGGCTTTTCGGAAGCACATCGGGCATGACGCAGAGTTTTGAGAAGCTGCCCCTCGTCGGGCGGCCGAAAGCTGTTGGGGAAAGATTCAAGCCCCTCACACCACAACACTCCATCCTCCACTGTTGTATATAACTCTGTACGCTCCTCTCGCTACCACTTCTTAGGTTCAATTCTCTAACAAATCTCTTTCAGTCACAATGTCGCTCTCCAACAAGCTTTCCATCTCCGATGTCGACCTCAAGGGCAAGCGTGTCTTGATCCGCGTATGTTTCTCTTGGGCATGAAGCTTCAATTCTAGTCGAGTTCTAACATAGCCCAGGTTGACTTCAACGTCCCTCTCGACGCCGACAAGAACATCACCAACAACCAGCGCATTGCCGGTGCCATTCCCACCATCAAGTACGCCGTCGACAATGGCGCCAAGGCTGTTATCCTCATGTCCCACTTGGGCCGTCCCGACGGCAAGGTCAACGCCAAGTACTCCCTGAAGCCCGTTGTCGCTGAGCTCGAGAAGCTCGTCGGCAAGAAGGTCACCTTCACCAACGACTGTGTCGGCCCCGAGGTCGAGAAGACCGTCAACGGCACCTCCGACGGTGGCATCATTCTCCTCGAGAACCTGCGTTTCCACGCCGAGGAGGAGGGCAGCAGCAAGGATGCCGAGGGCAAGAAGGTCAAGGCTGACAAGGCCAAGGTTGAGGAGTTCCGCAAGGGCCTCACCGCTCTTGGTGATGTCTACATCAGTGAGTCGAAACCAATCAATACAACTATTACGTGCGTCCTATATGCTAACAAACACTCCCAGACGACGCTTTCGGTACCGCTCACCGCGCCCACAGCTCCATGGTCGGTGTCGACCTCCCCCAGAAGGCTTCCGGTTTCCTCGTCAAGAAGGAGCTCGACTACTTCGCTCAGGCTCTTGAGAAGCCCCAGCGCCCCTTCCTTGCCATCCTCGGTGGTGCCAAGGTCTCGGACAAGATCCAGCTCATTGACAACCTCCTCGGCAAGGTCGACAGCCTCATCGTTTGCGGTGGTATGGCCTTTACCTTCAAGAAGACTCTTGAGAACATGAAGATCGGTAACTCGCTCTTCGACGAGGCTGGCAGCAAGACCGTCAAGGACCTTGTCGAGAAGGCCAAGAAGAACAACGTCAAGATTGTCCTCCCCGTTGACTTCATCACCGCCGACAAGTTCGACAAGGACGCCAACACTGGCAAGGCCACCGACAAGGAGGGTATCCCCGACGGCTGGCAGGGTCTCGACTGTGGTGAGGAGTCGATCAAGCTCTTCAAGGAGGCCATTGACGAGGCCAAGACCATTCTGTGGAACGGCCCCGCCGGTGTCTTCGAGTTTGAGAAGTTCGCCCACGGCACCAAGGCCACCCTTGACAACGCCGTTGCCGCTGCTCAGAACGGCAAGGTCGTCATCATCGGTGGTGGTGACACTGCCACTGTTGCCGCCAAGTACGGTGTTGAGGACAAGCTCAGCCACGTCTCGACCGGTGGTGGTGCTTCGCTGGAGCTCCTCGAGGGTAAGGAGCTCCCCGGTGTTACTGCTCTCTCGAGTAAGTAAAAGTCAAAAGACGAATATTTGTTTTCAAGTCGCAAATGGGAGATATCCGGGATCTGATTTATACCACGGGCAAGGCAAACAGAGCGAGTCTTTGAGAAATGTCCGAAATGCATAATGTTACGTTTCAAAATATCCATGTTCGCTCCATGTTCGTGACGGGCTGTTTAGGGAAATGGGCATGATTCCATTGCTTGTATACGCTTCCTCCTTCCTTTCTTGATGATGGTGTATTCAGTACTCCGAGACGCCGTGCCATGCCGTTTCCGCGTCGAGCCTTCGATTCGAGCCACTGTCTTTTGTGGTGTGGGTGAAATGTGGGCTAATTGCTTTGATGGTGTAAAAAAAGATGGGCTCAACCGCGCTTCTCCATCTTCTTGAGCTCGTTCCTGGTCATGTGGTCAGAACAGTGGTTGAGATTGGGCGTGATTTCGGGCGTTCACATACTGAAGCTGAACCGAGAACTCGTCGCTTGTGTCATCGTCATCCCAGCTCTCCTCCCAGAGATGTGTAGTGCCTGCGCCGGCGCCAGAAGAGCCGAGCTCCTCCTCTGCGGGCCAGTCTGTTCAAGAAACGATTAGTCCCATGTCCTCTTTGGTTCAACGGCGCGAGAGTGCTAAGAAGACGCACCTTCTACGGGGAAGTCTTCAAACTCGTCATCCTCTTCGAGCTGAGCGGCCTGCTTCTGGGGAGCCAGTGGTTGCGAGTCGTCCTTGCGGTCTGAAACTACGGCCTTTGTGGTGTTGGCGTCTCCTTGTGCTGCGCCGGACATGATTGCGTTGTTTGTGTGTGTGTGTTGAGGTTTACGAGAGGTTGGAGGTGATTTGTATGCGATCGGAATATGGAGTTAGGGTTGATGTTGACAAGCGGCGATGTGTGATGGTCGATGGTTGCTGCTTCGGGTGCAGCTCGTTGCTCTCAGTCGGACTGTTGCCATCATTGAAGCAAACCGAGCAAACAGCGGTGCAGCCAACCACCGAGCTCCCGTCGGTCCTCCGCAAAAAGGAAGCCATACGAGCTATATACGAAACGATGATCTCACTGTTGTGCGCCATGGCAGTGCATGTCCGTAATGCTCCACATGTAACAGGCGGCCTTGATGAGCAGTCGATTGATTAGGATAACTCTCCCTCTTGCTTCTCTGCAGATGTTCTGATATATCTTGATATTTCTTGCCAGATCCATTCACGACTAGATACACGGCAAGATGAAGAAATGGCTCGGAGCTGCAAAGCACAGTGCGACGAGCTCGACGCATTCGCTGAGTGCTCTTGAAGAGCCTCAGGCACGTATGTAAACTTTGACTGCATATACCATGGCACGTGTGCTGATCAATATGGCCAGTTGAAAATGCCATGGCTGCAGTGTCACATATACTCAACGACGGTACTGTACCACGATATCTTATACGTGAACATAAGCTTATCCATGTTTAGATGTCGAGACGGCAGAAGCGGAGTTGAGTAAGGGCAACTCGCCTTTCCACAAGGTGTGTCTATTCATCCTACTATAGCTCAGTCGGGCAGACGACTTACTGCATGCCTGAAGTAGTTGGGCCAAGGTGTCGTAGCCTTCTTGCGAGCGACTCTCGGCTTCGAACAGGACATAATGCGAGAGGCTTCTGAACGCCTAGGGCAAGCCGAATCTGCCGCCTACGACCACCAACGCCGTGCCGATAAGGATGCCTATCACTCCAAGATCTACCCTCCTGGAAGCGAATACGCCCTCTGTCTTGCCGAGTCTCAACTTATGAGCGCCGTCGTCGCCGTTTTGAACGAAAGTCTTTCCGAGAGTATCAAAGGCTTCTATAAGCTGAGGAAGGCCTACGTCGCTCTGCAAGAGATTGCGGATGCTGAAAAGAGATATCTGAAGGGAAGAAGCTCGACTTCTGTGGGCAGCACGAGTACAAAGTCTACAGTCAACTCGGCTCCATCCGTTGCCTCTACATCAAACGCACCCTCAGTGTCAGGTCAAACCCTTGTCGCTCAGGACGAAGATGATGATGACGATTTCGTGGATGCCGATGAGAGCATTGCCGCTGCTGCCACCCCGACAACATATCAAGGCCACCTGGAGTCGAAGGAACTAGAGTCAAAGCTGGGAAACCTATCGATTAGACCTGCATCGTCATCCACCCAGGTTCCTGCAGCACCAGTCATAGAAGAGGACGACTTTAGTGAATTCAGCAACCACCCTGTCGACCTCTTCATTCATTCTGGTTCCAACCTCTGCTTTGGCCTTTTACAATTGATGCTATCCTTGATCCCACCAGCCTTTTCGAAGCTATTGTATATCATCGGTTTCAAGGGTGACCGCGAGCTCGGTATCCAGATGCTGTGGCGGGCAACACAGTATTCCAACGTCAATGGAGCCATGGCAGGTCTGATTGCACTCGGTTACTACAACGTCACTGTTGGCTTCTGCGACATCACTACTTCCGATGCTTATCCCAAGGAGCGTTTGACCACCTTGCTGTTCCAGATGCGCAAGCGCTATCCCGAGTCCCGTCTATGGAGGCTCGAAGAAGCGAGAATGATGGCTGCCGACAAGCAGCTAGAAGATGCTGTCAAGATGTGCGGTACCGACGAAAAGTCTCCACTCAAACAAGTCGAAGCTCTACAGTGGTTCGAGAAGAGTCTGAACTGCATGTATCTGCACAGATACGAAGAATGTGCTACTTCCTTCTTGACAGTAAGTTTTCTACCAGAACACGACCAACGGTGACCAGCTGACATATGAACCAGTGCGTGGAACTTAACAACTGGTCCCATGGCCTATACTACTACATTGCCGGCGCATGCTACGTCGAACTCTACCGCGAAGCCAAATCCGTCGATGCAGGTAGAGCAAAACGCTACGCCGATCGCGCCACAGAACTCCTACGCAAAGTCCCCGTCCACGCGGGCAAGAAACGCTTCATGGCCCGCCAACTGCCCTTCGACGCCTTTGTAACCCGCAAAATCAACAAGTGGGAAGAACGCTCAAAGACGCGTGGTATCGCTTTCGTGGACGCCGTGGGTGTTGCGCCAGTAGAGGAGATCATCTACTTCTGGGCTGGGTTCAAGAGGATGAGAAAGGAACATCTCGTGCACAGTCTCGAGCGCTTGGCTTGGAGCGAGCAAAACGGCTGTCATGATAATGCTGTCGATGAGTTGGCTACGTTATCGCTTCTTCGCGCTACAGTCACCAGATGGCTCGGGGACACAGCAACCGCTCGACAAATCCTGGAAACACAAGTGTTGAACCACGAATGGAGTGAGTTCAAAGGCGGAAACAAAGACAATTGGTCGCTACCAGTGGCGCATTACGAGATGTCTGTCATTGAATGGATAGATGCTGGTGGTGAGAGAGGCAACAAACAGCAGTTGGAAATCTGCTCGAGATGGGTGGAGAAGGCTGCGAAATGGGAGGCCTATGATTTGGATGCCAGGTGAGTTTGTGGCCCCCCTCCACTCCTTTACTCCTTCCCCCTACCCTTACCTAATCCTTGGGTTCGCTACACACCCTCTCCCTTGCACTTGAGGGTTTCGAAACGGCCTTTCCCAAGAACCTGGTTTCGGTCTTTTCCGCTCCCATCCCTACCCACCATTCTCCAAGAAAAATCTTCGGTCGATCATATTGCTAATCCATCTTTCGTACCACGCAGAGTCGGTCTCAAAGTCACCACAGCAAGGGAGACGTTGAAGAAATGCGGCATCACTAGCGTCACTGCTTGAACATGTTTTGTCTCTGCATCGAGCCGCACGCATGCATGGGGAAAAAACTTGAAACGGCATTTTTTTTTTGCATTTCTTGCATATTTCAAGAGGATCTGGGGTTTAAAAGGATTTGGGTGCGGATCTTGGAGTGTAAGGTGGAGATTTAGTGTGGACTGTCTGAGCGAGTGAGTGGTGCTTTGTGAATTAGATCTAGCGGTGGAGCGGTGGTATACCTTGTCTCCTCTTTATGCATTCACTTCTCTTGTATCTCCTACCGTGATATTTGGTATTTGGTGTTTCATGTTTCCTACACTCAACCGTAGTCGTCCGCGCCCATGATAGCGGTGAAAGAGTTTGCATCATCCTACCAACCATTGTCTAAGCCATCCATCCCTCCTTGCTCCCCCCACCCTTGCTCCCCCCACGAAACCCAGGTATCGAACTCATGCCTGCATCTGCCTACCAACTACCACCTCCCATTGGTACCTTCCCTCAGTCACCACACTTCCTGTCCCTTCAAACCGGGTTTGTCGATTGACGTTATGATCATCAATCTTCCAATTACTTGGTCGTACCCCCTTTTTTCCCCACTCTGTTGGGTCAAGCATTCGGCACAGAGTTGCAACTGCCGTTTTCTGCTTGCGCAGCGTCCTTGTCTTTTCTATTTTGTGTCCAAATCGCTGCTTTTCCGCCCGTTTGTGGGCTTGTTGGCTGGGGTTGTTGCTTTTCCTCTTAGACGATCCCCTTCTTTGCTGTGGTTCAAGGTGTGTTGTTTCCGTTCCCTGATACACTTGGTTCGCTACGGCTTGAGTGTTGATCTGTCTGCCTCGTAGAAGAGCGCCGTCGGAAGATAACGAGTTAATCACTGCTGCAAGCATGGCCCCTGTAGCTCATCCATCACATGATGCAAAGCTGCAAAGCGTTGTGTTTTTGAAAAGAAAAAAAGTGTTACGAGCAATTTAGGTAGTTGAAAAGTAAAACAGAGAAGGTCAAAAGGTGTGAAAAGAAGTACGCAACAGTACAGAGGTAGTTAAAATAAAAAAAGAATCAAACAAAAAGGGGGTATTGTTCCAGGTTTCATCAAAAGCCGCCAGTAGTAGTAGTAGTAGTCAGACCCAATGTTCTCCACCGACTAACATCCAGACAAAGCAACCAGCAGCCAGTTTTAACCAAACGCATTCTTCTTCTTCTTCGTGGTGAGGTGTCTTGGTATAATGGGGACCCATATCATGAGAGGACAGGAAAGGAAATAAAAAGCAGGAATAGAAAGGTATAAAGCGGAGTGCAGAAAAACAACAAATCCGAGAAGAACGCCTGGGGCAAAGGGGGTTGTTTAGGGTTATGGGGAATATCGTGAGGTGAGTGAGCAAACAATGGGGTTGGGTAATAGGTGCAGGGCAAATGCAGTGATGCATTGAGGGGGAATCCACGAGCAATGAGATAAACGGCAAAAGAAATGGAAAAACAAAGATATGAGAGAGCAAATATATCGACTCCACCGAAACAAGCGCCGACAGTGTCCGTCCATGAGTGATGATTGATATGCTGATCCTCTATCGTTTCGGGGGTTGTGATCCGTCGCTGGAGTAGCTTGGCTCTTAGAGGACATTTGTCCTTGCCAGATGTATGCTTGAGCCTAATCCTTCGTGAGGAAGCTGTCACACAGCTTCAAAGCCGTTTGTTTCGGTCGCATTCCAAGTTCTACTGGTAGCGTTGCCAGTCCTGAGGTGTCATGCCGGTGGCCGAGCCGGTGGATGGAGGCGCCCAACCATGCATGTTCTGCTGCTGAGGCACAGGAGTCGCCTGCTGCTGCTGCTGTTGTTGCTGTTGTTGCTGCTGCATGGCAAAGTGCTGAGGGCTTGGGCTGGCTTGATACATGTTACGGTTCATACTGGCAAAGGCTCCGGCGGCACCCATCGGGTGGTTCATGGAAGAATATCCACCCATAGCGGCCATCTGAGATGGAGGATGCATGGGTGACTGTTGCGGGGGTTGCTGGAATTGAGCCATACTGTGGGCCTGAGACAGAGGAGAGGGCTGGGGCTGCGAGGGCGGCCACATTTGACCCTGCTGGTAACCGTAAGAGGGCGTCTGCTGGCGCATAGAAGCCATAGCCATGGCTGGGGAAGTCTGGTGCATCTGCGATGAGGGAAGCTGCTGGTGCATGGATCTGACGGGTGACTGCATAGGATTTTGTTGATTGGGCTGATGGAACTGAGCAGGCATCATGTGAGCGGCAGCTTGCTGGTGACCCATCATGGAAGGCTGCGAGATAGAAGGCAGACGACTTTGAGGTGACTGCAGGTTGTGAGGGGCGACGGTGCCGAGGTCTGAGGCATCAGGCATGTGAGGCTGCGGCGGAGGGGTCGGAGGTTCATGGGGACGCTTCCAATAGTCCTCGTAGTATTGACTACGCACGACGCGCTGTTGGGTCAAAGCCTTGTTGAACTCGGCGGCCTGGTTTGCTTGGTTGAAGACTTCTTGAGGGTTGCTGGGCTGAGTCCGGTCTTGATAAGCAGGTCCTGTAAGTTCTTGTCTCGGACGAGCGATGCCACGGAAATCGGCAACTCTGGGGTCATCAGATGGCATGTTAATCATGCTGAGAGGAGCCAGCGTAACGGGGTGGATGCCCGGCGGAACCTGTGGATGGCCTTCGAGTCCAGGTCCGTTCGTATAAATGATATCGGTATGGGGCATGGCAGTGAGGGCAGTCGTGTTAGTGCTGGCTTCGGCGGCTGCGGCTTCCCTCTGCTTGGCGGCACCAGGACGCTTTTCTCCAGCTGCATCTTCTTCGGTGAAGCCTTGGCTTCTTGCCTTTGATTCCCAGTAATCATCGCGAACTCGTCTTCCATTGTTGATGACGCGACTGCCGAACTGACGGAACATGGATCGCGCCGTGACAATTGCTATTTGTCTGGAACGGTATGAGTAAGGAAGGATCTCCTGGTGAATAAGATTGTCCTTTTCCGGTTGGTTTGCGATGATCTTGAAGAGTGATCGATTCTTGTTAAAAAGCAGATATGAATCACGGTAGCCCAATGCGCGCGCGCATTCTGTGGCCAGCATGAATAGTTTTTCGCCTCTGTTGGGCACGGTGAATGTCCTGATGCGGTACTCGCGACCTTCGAGCGGATAGCCATTGCCTGATACCTTCTTCTCGCCGGCTTCGTCGATTTCGCGTGGGATATATTCATCACCTTCGGCGCCGAGTTGGTCTGTAGTATGGTCTCTAACAGTGGGCAGGGCCTTGACAACGGTCGTCTTTTGGCCCGACGCTGGTGTCTGTCGTTGGGGTGAAGCCTGCGATGGTGAGGATTGGTTTCCACCTTGCTTGATTTGGGGAGTCTGTACAGCAAGCGGCGACGACAGGTGGACCGGATGGGATGCCATTTGGGGGCTGTCGGCAGTCTTCTGCTTGGGAGGGCGACCGCGCTTTCGTGGTTTAAAGTCGTCTAACACGTCAGCATTTGGACGCGCAAAGTGGGTGTGGACGTTGGACGCCGACGTACCGGTGTCGACGGGTTCGGCCGGGGAGCGGCTGCGCTTCACGCCTCGATTGTTATATGCCGAGTTGTCGAGGGCTATGCGACGTGGTCAGTGGGAGTGTCTCGGCGGGCACGAGCGGACGCGGCGACGTACTTGAGTTGAGCGCAGCAGGGTTGATTGTGCCATGGCCGTCCATGGTACGGTAGCATAACCCCTTGAGGGTCTAGGTGGTGGAAGTGTTTGCGGCCTGGCGCAGGGAGCGGTGAATGCAAACAAGCCCGTGTTACTTTTTCGTGCAGAGTCACAGACTCATTGCGCGCGCGAAACAGGTCGGCGGAGTCGCTTGAACCCAGGGATTCCAGATAAGCTTGCTTGCCGGATCCTGCGTGTCGGGAAGCGGACCAAGATCTGACGATGGTTGGATGGGCGCAATGCAAGGAGGCAGCGCGTCTTTGTGTCTGCGTCGCTGGCGGGTGCTAGCGGACGAGGGTGATGCGATGAGGGCCAGGTCGAGGAGTCAAATGGGCATGCGACTGAAGATTCTGGCTCGAGCTTTGTCGGCTGCAAGAGTCAGCACCAAGCAAAGAACGCAAAGACTTGGACGTGCAAAGCACAGGAAGCAACGCGAAACAGAAACGCAATAAACAGCACGCCCAACTGTCGCCACTCGCGACTCCAACCAATGAAACAGCGTTAAACTCACTTTCTCCGAATCGCCTTGGAATGTATGTCAGCTCGAGAGTCGAGACGTCAAGCAAGGGATGGCGACCGAGGCAGCGTATTTGGGTAAGCGAGCTTAACTTAGAAGCGACAGATACAGCAACAGATGGTCGGGCGAAACACTGCGGCCGACGCGGACACGGGTAGCACAGAAACTCGACCAGGAAGCAACCTCTCAGAGTGACTGAAAAGAGATCAATCAGAGTCTTAAGGACCAGATGCGCCCGTCATGAAGCGACAAAACCGTGTCTAATGTCGATCTCGCTGCCTGCGGCCATGCCCGAGCCAACCAGACCTCGCCGCCGCGCTTGCCACACGTCATGTGCTCCTTCTCTGTCTGCACGAACTTTCAGCCAGAGTACACCCAAGCGATTCATTCTTCCCGAGAAAGCGGTCCGCGGTTTCGATGCTGCAATTGCTGTCGAGTACTTCTTTCCGTCACGCGCACTCTTGATGACATTTAAACACTATCTCCATCATCTATCTGCTCCGGAATCTTCTCCGTCGTTGACATGCCTTCTGTCTTCGCAAGCCGTCGTATGGTCTAAAGAGAAACGCCGTCAATGGCGCGTATGCACCAGCCTCGTAAGTCTTTTCACATTGCCAACTCCGATCCTTCAATGGCCCTAGTCGCAACTTGGAGTCTCCTCAATGTCCGTCGCGTTTTTCCATCAGCTCAAGATCTTCCGCACTCTATTAGCATTGCCCGTTCAAGCCTCCGTTCTCAATGCTCTTCGATGTTCTTTTCCTCTTCATTCCCATTCAACAAGCGTCAGACGCCTCCACAAGGATCTGCTGCACGTATCCGCTGCGCTCTCTGCGTGGCTCGACACACGCCAGGTTGCGCAGTGCCATGTGTTCCTCCACTGTCTTCACGAGGGTACCAGCAGTTTTCGTAGACCTTACCTGCTTCCATAGGCCATCTACTTATGGCCGTCCTCAGGTCTGGACATCGGTTTGTTCAAGTCTCCATGTTGCATTTCAATTCATCCATCAGACCAAGATTAGCTGACCAAGCCTGATATTGCCAAATCAGGCTTGGCCAACGCTCATGCAGCCATGCACCTGAGCTCCGAGCTGGTCATGAACCCCAAATTTCTGCACCTAACGCGCGAAGATCGCGTGCATGACGCGTACTGCTGTGTCCTACGCCGACTCACGTTTTCTGGTGAGCGAACTGCCAGTTCAACATCTTGTTCTCGGCCGACCTTTCGAGGCACGGAAAACCAAAATCAATCGTTGCAACTTCCTCGGTCAAAAAGAAACTTTGTTCAGAGCAGAAAGCTGGTTGGCAACAACTGTGCCTTACACGTACGTGTACTGGTGTCGATGGATACCTTACTCATCTCCAAGCCATCAGCTTAACCGAGAGCTGACGGTCACTAATATCTGATCTTCTCCTTGCATTATCTGGTAAGTTTCCACATGAGCCTCCATCAGCCACCCGGCCCCGCAAAATGCTTCGGTACCCTGTAAGCATCCTTTATCGAATATTCATGATTGGATACAATTCACTTCTTACCCTAGCCAAACAACAAAGGCGAAGGGCAGAGTTCTTGTCGGCATTCTTTCGTCGAACTCAACGACTCACACCGCTGTTGTGACATGAACGGAAGCTTTCTGCTCCGAAGCCGAGAAGATATCCGACGGCATGGCATTAAACCCGGAGCTTGCTCATATCGGACCTCATATAGAAGACCACTACAAGAAAGGAGATTTACCCCAGTCGACTCTCTTTCTGCCGAATCGAGCAGGTAAGGTCTGCTCTGAGGTGTCTTCGGACCAACATGCTACACGGAGGAAATAGGGTGAGAATGTATCATTCCACATAGAAAGCCATTCGCTCGTCGGGCATCATCTTTAGAGTGTGTCTCTAGATGTACACTTCTTCCATTATTCAGGTAACAACAGTACAGCCCTCACAGTACTGTATGGACGAATCTACTCTATACAGAATTGGGCAGGAATAAAGGAACCTAAGAGTGGACCATCTATGGACGACACTTAAATTGACGAGTACTTGTGTATCGAAACTGAGGAACACTTACTTCTCAGAAATACGAAAATCGACATGAAAGGCAGACTCAATATTCAGAGGTTGTGCCCAACGAGAGCACATCAACTAGCTTTATGTCACAAGACATTATTAGTCACTTCGATTGCTTGGGCATCTCTTCAGTCCACGTGTCTCTGCACACGATCGCGAGAGAAGGACGAAAGTGTTGATATCTTGTTTATGAAGAGGTGTCAAAAATGATGCTGGCAATCTGCTCTTCCAATCTTCCTATAACTCCATGGCGCTAGCCTAGAAGTTTGATGAACCCAGTCTTGTCCGGCCGTAAAACTCCTGCAATATGCTGTGATGTATTTTGTCGCATCCACTCCTTCAGAAAGGCCACTGTTTCTTCGGAGCAGCGGGTTTGTATCCACCGCCATATCCACTTTTGCCACCATAACCATGGTTGTGTTGTTGTGCAATCTGTTCGGCCTGGCTCTTGTAGTGTTCCAGCTCGCCCTTCCACAGCCTGATCCAATAGCCCACATCTTCTGCCGCGCCATCAACGCCTCTTTGCGATAGCCAGAATGCCAGAACAACGAGACCGCCCCAGAAAGTGATGCGGAAAGCGAGTCGCACCCAGAAGAGCACGCTTTGGACCAGCATGTTGACGAGTTTGAGTGAGATGTAGAGGATGAGCAGCATCAGGGCAATCTTGGTGAGGTCGGGCTTCTCGAGCAGCGACTGGAAGGTGGGGAGGAGAGATTTGTGGTAGATGTTGTTCAGAGTGGACACGGGACCAAAGAGGCCAGGGGTGAGATAGCCATTGCGAAAGAGGTAGCCTGCCCAGTCTGTGTTGGTTTCTTGTTAGTCGTGGTCGAACGGATTCACATGTGATCGTGTGCCTTGCCTTGTATGTAATCCATGTCGGCGACTTTACTGAATAATGTAAATGTTGTCCTGTATTGAGGTGGAGAGTGATGGACAGGAGAAGTGTAAGTTGCTCTGGTGAATTGGGAAAGAGCGATGACGATTTTATGGAGTTGGAGAGTTGTAAACACTTGGAGAGCTCGACTGAGACAGACCCCAAGCTTTCACGAACAAGACACGCATCGCCGGAACCGGTCAGGCAGCAGGTTTCGCACGTTTCAATGTACGAAACTCAGACAGTGCCTTCAAAAATACTGCAAAGCGAAGCAATGACTCGAATCGAACATCAGTCTGGCGCTCTTCGAGGTAAGTGACGGCCTGTTCTTACCAGGTCTTGACATGAGAATCTCACCATCTTGTGATCGTAGGCGTTGATCGGCGTTTTGCAAACTATGTTGGTACTAACCACTTGAAATTTCAGCCAATAGCCGCTTTAGCTCATCTGGGAGAGCGCCAGACTGAAGTTCAACTTGAGTCATTGCACGATGTGCAGTATTTCTGGAGGCACTGTGTTCGATCCACAGAAGCGGCATTCCTTTTGTTCGAGCCCTATGCACCTGGGCTTTTGCTATTGTTCCTTCCTGTCTGTACAAAGAGAGCAAGTCTGGATTGCTTTTGTTCCACTTGTGTGAAAACACTTGGGGTGGGTTGTTGTGGGTCTCTTTGGAAGGCTCAAAATTTCTCCTCTCAGAGAATTGTGAGACTGTCCAACTTCTCGCATCTGCACGCCATTTTCAAAACACAACTGAACTCCATATCTCCGACATCCTAATTCACTGGTCTGCACATTCGAAGACAGAGGTATGTAAGTAAGTTGGTAAATTTTTCTTTGCTTCCATTCTCCGTGAAACCGAGGCTTTCGTGCGTACCTCTCTGCAAGTCGGTCAACCGTCGCAAGAACGGAACCACCTAAAGAAAGAAAATGGAGATAATCGCTCAGCAAAGTCAAACTCTCACTGGAACGAGCACGTGCTCAACTCGAGGCCTCTCAAAGGGAGATGGTGGGCTTGACAGCCATAGGCGCGTTGAGGAGGTTGAGGTGTAGCCAATAAAAGACGCGGAGAGAGCGCACGAGGGCAGGTCGACGTCTTCTTGGGCACACGACACAGCAAGTCGTGCCCCTCGTGCACTGGTTGATAGGGAAAAGTGCCATTCTGCAAGTATTCACGCCTGCGACAAATATGTCGTCGTTTCCTTGTCTCCGATTCCTTTTCCTCGTCCATTCCCTTGCTTTGACTTGAAGCCTTTCGTGCTGTAACACCATCAGGGTGCCACTTCTGTCATAGCTCTTTACCACACAAATGGCTTCTTCACATCTTCCACCAACCCCGGCCTCCTCGACCGACATCCGGGGAAAGGAGAAGCTCGTGCCTCTTGCCTCAGCATTCACCCTCCCTCCGTCAGCATACGCAGACGGCAGTGATAGAGCTACCTCATCTCCTCTGTCGAGCCATGGCTCGGACTCGTCGTACCACCCTCACTCGCCCGTTTCATTGAACAATGGGAGACGCAAGTCTACTGCTGCCCAATCGAGCTCTTCCAAAGCAGATGACACATTCGCTCTTCCCCCACCGCCTACACGCAACCGCAAGATCATCCAGATGAAACCAAAGACTGCAGCTAGCGAGAAACAAAAGGAGGAGGAAGTCGAGGCAGCACCAGCCAAGGGTGCTGGAGGCAGGAAGAAGGGTGCCAACGCGAGCAGTACAGCTGCTAGTCGCAAGGTGGCTCGTAAGACAGCACACAGCTTGATCGAAAGGCGAAGACGTTCAAAGATGAATGAAGAGTTCGGTGTGCTGAAGGATATGATACCTGCCTGTCATGGCCAGGAAATGCACAAATTAGCAATCCTACAGGTTGGTCACTCTGCACAAAGCGTGAGTCGATACAAATACTGACACTCATCAAGGCAAGCATCGATTACCTTCGCTACCTCGAGCGTTGCATTACCGACCTTAAGGCCGACAACACTGCAGTGAGGCAGAACTCGACATCACAACCTTCCGCTCCTGTTGTGCCTGCACCACAGCCTGCCGCTGCCGTCGACGAGCCCATGGAGCCCGAGGAAGATGACGACGATCAAGAGATGTCGGACACGCATCATTCTACTGGAGCCTCAACGCCCAACGGACCACTTCTTGCACACACACAATTCCGAGAGTCTATTCCTTCTCTAGCCTCTCTGCCTTCAATGTCTCACTTCACCAACATGTCACCCGCCATTGCACCTTCCGAGGCTTCTTCATCCCGACACTACAGCATCTCCTCCACCTCTGCTCCTTCATTCTCTCCTTACATCCACTCACAACAAGCATCACCCTTCTTCGCCCCCACCGCAGGGCAACACGAACCCGCTCCTTTCGCCCTCACGAGTCCTGCACTGCGAGCTCAAGACTCATCAATGCATAGACCTGGTGTCGTAAACGAGGACGCACGACTCCGTGAGCGCAGAGAGAAGGAATTGGATCACGAGGCTATGGCTGCTTTGTTGATGTTGAACACGGACAGAAGAACCTATAAAGATCGATCTGGTCGGGGTATGAGCGTGCAAGATCTTTTGAGTAATTGAGCTGCATAAGGGAAGGATGATCATGGTAATGAAATTGATGATAAGCGGTGTACAGAACGTGATAACGTCTTTGAGTAATCAGGCATAAAAGGCATTTCTTTTTCGACTCTGTACTTGTTCCCGTTCTCACCTGTCTCTAATAAATCGTTCTGCTCACCTTGTCGCCTATAGAGAACAGGATTGTTCCGGACATCATCTGGTTGGTCTCTCCACATCACCAAAGGTCAATGCATGACTTTCAAAAGGCACGAAGTTCTTGCTCAAGAACGTGCCTCCCTATGAGCGACAGCTTCACGGTCTGAGTTCAGATCAACGCTGAGGTCGATCGAACGAATCTGAAGTGTCCATACGATAATACCGATCGGTACCAGTTTGGCAGTTCTAAGATACAACATGTTCTGCTAACAGGGTGGCCCTGATGACAGCTGTTTCTGTTCAAGTGAAAGGACAAGCAAAGGTCCGGAGACAGAAGCTGGCGAAACGTGACCGATTGAGACGGAGACTACAGTGATTGTAATGGTGATGTCAATGATAAACGAAGAAGCGTTGGATGGAAATAGTACAGAGTCATCGGAAATTAGGTGTTGGGATGCAGCTGAGAACGGCACCTGAGTGATGGGGAATTTCACGATGTCGAGAAATTTTAAGTAACCTCGAGTACAAGAAAGAAACATCTAGTCATCACAAAAAGAAGGAACTATCAAGCAGCTTTATAGGATAAATCCAATTCTCGAAACTTTTTCTAAGCACACAGTCTAAGGTATCAAAATGTACAAAGATATGCAGAAAAGATGCCGCACAATCTCTTCAAAATCAAACCGACCTATATTAACAAGAAGTGCGTACTGTATGCCGTCTAGAATTATCCCCATGCCGCTTAAACGCCGAAAGAAATGTCATCATTAGTGTTCATGTGCCTCATCCAGTCCATGTCCATAAAGCCGCCGTCCGTCGAGTCGAAAGCTGGCATGGTGGGGAAAGTGCCGTCGTCAAATGTGAAAGATTCACCCGCTGCGTCCAGGTTGATCAAGGTGTCAAAATCAGTGTCCAGAGCCGGGATGTTGAAAGCAGCCGCTGTGGTATCATCGATCTGGCTGTCGGTCGTATGCTCAGAGCCTGGAGGTGTCGATGCAAGGAAGTTGTTAAGGTGCTGGGCCAAGTCATTCTCTGAGACCTGTGGTTCTCCTTGGTCGACTTGTTGGCGAGATTGTGTCTGCTGCTCGTTGTTCACACTTGCAGCAAGTTCTGGCGGCGGCGTTAAGCGGCTGACATTTCCGATACTTGACCTTGCTGCCTTCATCATATTGGACATATTGGCCACGTGCGTAGGACGAGGCGGCGGGCCCATCTTGGGAGGGGGAAGTGTGATTTCTGCTTTGCGGATCGCTGCTTCCAGGAATGCAGTCGAGTAATCTGCAGCTGCGTAGATATCACGCAGCTTGTTGAGGATTTGCATGCACTGGCAGAAACCTTGCAAGCTGGCGCGGCGAGTTGTCTCATCAGGTGCCTTGATGTCGAGCAAATGGATAATGATGGCCGGCAAAAGGACGGTAATACCTGAGGTGGGCAAACAGCGAATCAAGTCAAGCTCATTCAGGTTTTGAGCAACGGCAGTAAGCCTGTTGGCTGCAAAACGGACAGTTCTGCGAGAGGTATCCAAGACCTCGGAAGCCATCTTCCGAGATGGGGCAGCGGTTGATGGGAGAACTTGCGGCCTGTGCAAAGCTGAAAGTGTAGCCAAGTATATCATGTGCAGCAGAGAGCGATGGAGTGCAACAGTTCCTTTGCCGGCTGTAAGATCAAACAATGAAGAAGGCTTATACTTTGCTTCAGGTGCAATTGAGGCTTTCCACTGCTTAAGCTCCTCATCGCAAGCTTTCACGGAGCACTTTTCAGGGTCGTCCTTGCGTGCTACGAGCATCATAGTGGTGCGCGTAGTCCCTTCGTGGCTTTGTACACCATGGTTGTTGTGGAGTACCGAGTATTGGGTTGACAAGACATGGCTGATGCAAATGCACAATTTGGCCTTTTCGATACACATAATGGCCAACTCTTTTTGCATAGATGTGTCCTGCATGATTTTGCAGCTTGGCGGAATGCAGGACGATTGACTCGACAGGCTGGCAAATTCGAAGTCGTCTATCGTCAGCATAGGCACGTCGAAATCCTCGTTCTTTATCCTTGTTGGGCGGCGCATTCCTAGAGCAATAAGACGATCGCGCATGTATGTTGCCCACCAAATGCGCTTCCATAGACGTCGCTGTTTGGGGATCATGCTGGAGCGCTCGGGATTGCGATGAAGTCCGATAGTATGGGAAAGAGAAACAGCAATACCCATCCAGTGATGGCTATCCTTTTGGTCATCCGGTGTTTCGTACCAGAAGGTCATGAGAAGCAAAGATTGGATCAAGGAGATTCGGTCCGCTTCGTAGTCGAAATCGTAAAGAAGCTATATCGATGTTAGTATTGAGACTATACGCAATCGAAAGTCGCATCTCACTCTAGTCTTCTGGAAGAAATCGCGTCTCGCAGCCCTTCTGTTTGTGTATCCGGCGGTGTGTAGATATGCCATATCCACGGAAGCTACACCTGCAAACATGATTGCCTGGAACAGTAAGAGACTGATGGCAGAGTTGGCATCGTTGTTGTCCACAGTATTGATGAGCTCGTGGATGTCCAACAGAGGCATATATGGGTGAATGTTCTCCACAAAGCATCTCAATAATGCAGCTCGTAAGCCGGGTGGAGGTATTGTGAGAGCGCCCTTCTTAGCCAAGTATGACAGGTCTTCTGGACCAAAAGTCGAAGGGAAAGTCCTGATGAATGCAGGAAGTGCCTGGTGGGGTGGAGGGGTATGTGCTTGTAGTCCAAACAGAGAGTTCGGGTCAACTCCTGAGAGCGAGATGCTATCTGAGGGGTCGTGTGGGATAGAAATTGATCTCGCCAGACTTTGACGGCGAGCAGGATCAAAAGTCTGAGGATCCAAATCTTGATCTAGACTCGGGAATCAGTTGATTGTGGTGAGGCTTCATATTGGAAGGAACGAACACAACGAATGAGGCAGGTGCCCTGGTGAGTCATGGAAACTGAGACTGGGCTGCTGTATCGAGGTAGAAAGGGAAGGAGAGCAGCCTCCTGCCGCGTGTCCCTCTTCATCGGCCTTGGTCCATTTCCTTCGAATCATTAGTATGGAATATCTTGATTTCACAATTGATACTGGTACTGACTTCTTGCGCTTGCTTTCTGAGACTATGCACTCGACCTCGTCGAGTCTGCAGTTGGTACAGGGACTCTGCTCGACGACATTGCAGCGTACTTTGCGAGCTCTGCAAGACTGGCAGGCTTTTGACGCACGTCTCTTGACACTTTTGTGGATCCTGGTGCCGGTAGCCGGCAGGCCGGCGTCGCTGGCTTTCCTCTTCGAATTGGGAGAGCTGGATTGCCTGGCAGGAGCAAGGAAGTCTCCATTGACAGATGAGTCCGACATGATGGGTTGGTCGAGATATGGGAAAGCGCTCGCGCGAGAGGTCCGGGGGAGGTGCTGACCTTTGTATTTAATCTACGCAGCGGCCACCAATGCATTTCTGGTTAATCAGCCCTTCTAACCTCTCCCCCATGATCCACCGCCCCACACTCTTTTGCTTCCAAGGAGAAAACCCTCGCTCGCTCCGCACTGAGCCCGCAGTTTACTCCACGACGAACCTCTGCACGGTTGACCAAAGCCACGCATCAAGTTTGCCAAGCAGAACTCCGCGCCTGTCCCGTTTCTCTCGCGCCAATAGCCATTCAGGGATGGCGCGAACTTACACTCGTTAGGTTGTCCTGCTGATTCGCCAATGTGTCATTCTCTACCGATCGTCGGTCCAGCGGCTCTACGGTAGAGTACAACATGTTCTGAACTCCACGAGGTCACGGCAGCAATCACAAGATCGCCATGCTGTCGAAGATTCAGAGAACCCCACGGCATGCATCCCGCATGAACTGAAGGATCACAAATCTTATCAAGCCGTCGAGGGGAAGAACCCGCTGGCTTACCACTTACGGCCACCCCGTCTGGGGCATTCTAGATTACAAACGGGCGCGAGCGAGTACGACTGTGGAGGACTCGAGCGCCGTTCCGATCTATACCGAGTCGGGCATCTCTCGCGAGTCTTTCTCGGAATTCGGGAGCATGTGAACTGGTTTCACTTACGAAGATGATGCGTCTGCACAGCCGACTCCTCCACAGGCACGGCAACTGTCTCGGTAGACCCGGGCCACCCTATCCGCAGTATCCGCCCATCATATTATTTGAGAAAGACTTGCGCAGTTTTGGAAGGTCACACTGTTCAAGTAGCAGGTTTAAGAGGGACGCTAGCCATGTCGACCAGCACAGAGGAGAGGTATTTGTTCGAGCTTCTAATGAGATGTAGAATGGTACTCTTGTACGACAGATATAATGTGGTCTCTACCTCTGGTTCCACTGTATTACGAACTGGAAATGATTTCCGAGGGTTCCGCCGAGCACTCTTTTGGGCCCAAGGGCGTATCAAACACAACGGAGACAGATCTAGTTTGCGGGATTCCAGTAATCTGTGAATTGAGGATCTCATGAGAAGGTACGCAAACCAGCTAATCTCGAGGAACGTCTCTATCTTCAAAGTACAAAGCGATGATGTTACTCACCAGGGAGACGTTGTTCAATGAAGAAGAATGCTCACTTGTTGTGTGGTGTGACACTGACACATCTATCCTTCTCGACTTGTCTCTCAGTCTAGCTTCGCTTCTTTAACAGAAGCTGTCTAGTCTAATTGTAAACATGTCTTTTCGGAACCGAACATCTCAACCTTGTCAACGCTACGCTGCAGATTCATCTATTCATACAGGATAACAGCGGAAGAAAATCTTTATATAAAGGCTGACAATGAGAGAGTAACGTGGATCTTGTGGAAGAAAAACCGCACTGCAACCAGCCGTACGCCGAGACTGGACATCGAACTAGCCATCAAAAGGCAATATAATTTTGATGATTGGGCAAAGGTCCATCGAGAGCGAGTAATTCTAGGTGCCCTCATTGTACGATGAAACCAATCATCAAAGTCTTGCAATCTGATAGCCTTTCAGAAGACGTGCAAGGGGGGTGGCCTTCGGTTCTGGTGCAGTTCCTTTGCAGCTACATCCAGGTCACATCGTCATCAATCTAGATGTCCTTTCTGGCGTGCTTACTGTACTTCTTACGGAGAGTCTCGCCGTACTGCGGAGTTGGCAGCAAGGTTAATACGAGCAAGACATGATCAGACTTACGAAGTAAAGTGCAAACGGAATAGGAATAAATGCGATAGCCAGGAATCCAAGAGTCGAGGACGCCCAATTAACACCCAAATCGTTATACATCGCTCGGGCAAAAAGAGGGAACCCAGCTCCGAAGGCGGATCTCATGAAGTCATTGCCCGCAAGTACCGACGCAGCGTACTCCGGATAAGCATCGGGCAAGTAGTTGAGAACCGAGTTGAACAGCAAAACTGATCCCATCGAGAAGAAGGCCGAGCCAATGATAGGCATGATCCAATGAATGTCGGCTCTCGCACTCCACCCAAACTATAGCAGGAGTCAGCAACTGATGTCACCATTCTTGGGTCGAGAAGGGTGTTTGAACATACCCAGAAGAGACAAGTGGGAATCATGAAGGCGCCGACACATGCTGGAGGCAAACGCTTCTCTGGCTTTAAATCTCCCTTGTCATCGAATTGAGGCTCGAGGATCTTGTAGAGATTCAAGAAGAAGGGGGGAAGAATAGCGAATGCACCAATCAGAATACCCAAGTATGCCAGGCCCTCCTCTCCAAGGTTGAACCCATAAATGTCGATGAAGACGATGACGAACGACTCGAACCAGACATAAAGCAGACCGTAGATCAAGGCGATATAAAGATTGAGAGCGAACACGATCCCAGGTTTTTGGATGGTCAGTACGCAAGCAACAGACAGAGAGCGACTATCAACCTACCTTCTGTGAAGTTTAGGGTGAACGGTCTGACAAGAGACATGATAGCAATATCCTTGGTGGACATGCCCTCTCCCATGAGCTCCGCCTCACATCGCAGATTCTGGTTACCGGTGAGCTTCCTCAGTCTCTTAGTACGACGGACCAGCAAGTTGTTTCCGCTGGTCTCAGGCAGACAAAACATAAGGACGACCCAGCAGAATCCACTGAGCCAGACGAGCTCCCAGATCGGCCATGTCCAGTCTTCATGCTGGGCAGCGAACCCACCAACGAGTGGTCCAAGAACAGGTCCACAGATTGCCGATATACCCCTATTGTCGTATTAGTCCTGATATTCAGTGAAATGCTCGTCAACAACTGACCAGATTGCAATAGCGTATGCTCTCTTCCTCGGCACGTACATGTCCGCAAGTGAGGCACCACCTGTGGCTAAAACTGGACTTCCAAAAAAGCCTGTTAGAAAACGGAAAGCAAATAACATGCCAATGTTGACAGCATCTACGAATTACGGTCAGTGTTAAGACATTGATACACCATCCAGCAACCTTCAATCTGTGGTGTCGTATCCTGAAGAGACTCACAAATTACGCCGAAGTTTAAGAACACGAATGCAAAGAGTGTACTCATGTAAATTGGATTCCTGCCAATTTGTGGAATCTCAGACATTGGTGACCAGATCATTGGTCCCAGACCATATCTATAAGCCTATTAGCATGCCATCGACAAATGTAGGTGGTTCACAGGCCCCGTTCAAAAACTACAGGACGTCTCGGTGTGTTCTGGATTAAGCTTACCCAGCAACAAAGAGTGTCAGACCAATGGTCGCAACAACTGTTGATACACCAAACACCATTGTGATTTGCTGCTCACCAGCCGAGTAGATGGAAGAACCAATGTAGATACTGGTCGTCAACAGACAGATGAGGAACGTCACAAAGAACTTCTTCCCTTGGCTCCAATTCGTTGGACATTCCGGGTCGTTAGGTCCCCACCAGTCAACCAAGTTGACGTCTTTGCCCTTCTCTGGGTCTACAGCTTTCCCGCTGGCTGAATTCAATGGCGTGCCCTCTCCTCGTAATGTCGGGTCAGATGATTCAGAGTTGTGTCGTGAACAGTCCTGGTTGTCATCCTGCTTCTCTTCCTTCTCCTCATCTTTCGGTGGATTTGGTTGACCATATCTTGCCATGTTTCCAGACTTCTCACGATTGATGAACTTTCCATACATTGATGTATCCTTTTCCTCGGGATATTGCAGGTACTTGTTCTTGGTCATCCAGCGAATCATCTGCCCCACTGGGGCATCTCGAAATAAATCCGACATCGTTTTGGTGTTGAATAGTTTCAGGGCCCGCTCGAAGAACCAAGCAAGATGGCGTTGCTTGGTATTCTAGTGCCAGAGGAGACAGCCCTCACGAATATAAGGATTACCGGTGTGTTCAGAGAGTTACTTCATCAGTCAAGAAGGTTGATAGTATGCAGCGTCATAGATGTTGATTTCCCTCCTCGGACAAGGAAAGCACGACAAATTTACACGGAAGGAAAGGCTCACCGGCCGAAGATGCTCCTCACATCAACACTTGCAACCATCATCATACTGTACAACTACCTATTGAGGACACCAAAAATCCGATGATTCGGTACCGCATTAGATAGTTGTGATGTCACGGAGCCTCAAGCCGCAGAGCCGCAAACACTTAGCCAAGATATGGACCAATCAGGAAGTTCATCACTGATTAGCTTCGATCTCAGATCTTGCGTGCGTCGAGCTCTCATTTTCTGTGTCGCATCGCCTTGATATGCACTCGTACGAGTGAAGTAGAAGGATGGGGTTTCAGGCCTGGAAAGTCTCTCGATCTAGAGCCTGAGGCAGCTGTCTCCATGGTGATCTCCCTGGTGGGATCACGCGGTCGACTCTAGTCACCCATGCGATGAGTTTGTCGCTGGACCGTGGTCATCTTTGGACATTCTGGAAAACATTCATATCAGCACCAGAATCACATTGCAAAGGCTTGTTCGCGGGCGATAACTCTAGCAATCGCACAACAATCTTCGAGCACTTAGGACTTCCTACGACTCATCCAGCCAAGCTTCACTAAGCAGGTTCGCCTGGACCCTTCTGATTGAGACAGTGGTTCTTCTCATTCTCGGAGTCTGGTCAATGAACACCGCACTGTCCTTGATATGCTCTAATGCTAGATCTGGTATGTTCAATTCTGTTTCAAACACCGTGCTTGGGTTGTGAGCCGTAAGACAGCATGGTTTCTTCTAAGATAGCATCGTGTGCAGGTGAGAGCGTACCAAGCAGCTGTTTCCAAGAGGAGGTCCTGCTAATTATCAAACATTTTGCATGCTAACGATGTGGGAATGAGGACAAGCAGGCACGTGGGCTGCACTTTACGATTGCACCATCTGACCATCAAGGTATTGAAACAACAAAGCATTGGCGTTCCTCCCCACCATCATCATTCCATCAAGGTATTGTGAAATCCACCCATTTTCGTTGAAGAATATGATGGCCTTATAACCTTAGCATGCCTTCTTGAGCACGTATCTTTCGCGTCTTCATCGTTTGTTCGAATCTCTTGTCTTGATCATGACTTCTCTTTCACAGCAACCATCATTACTTCTTTCTCTACCTCCAGAGCTCATTCTCGAGTCTCTCGCTCAGGTAGACTATACACCGGGTCATCTCGATCAACTCAGGCTCGTATGCCATGACTTCAACGACCTCCTACAGCAATACGAGCACAGTCTATCATTAGAGATCATTCGTCTACAGTTCCCACTGAACATTCTGGCCAAATATCCTGGTCTTCACACTCCTGGCTCAAGTCTCGGTTTCAAAACACTAGATGAGCTATACATGCGATTTAACACCTTGTTCCGGATAGAGAGGAATTGTCACAACATCCGAAGACGAGAGGGTAAAGAAGCAGCTTGGATGCGACCCGAATGGGTAAATTTGCAACAGGCAGGAATGCACTTGCTATACCGTATTCATGACTCTAGTAAGCCCTTAAGGACCTATCCTTACACAGACACGATGCTAACGCAATCAGAGAGCCACGAGAACAAAGCTCAAATCATCAAATCACTACCCCCGACATCCCTTGCAATCCTCCTCCTAACTCTTCACCTCTGCGTCCACCAACTACGCTCTGACGGCCCTTGTATCCTCATACCAACCTCTCCCCTGCTTCATGGCATGCTACGCTTCGAAGTCGAACTCTGTACCCAAGAACTCATCCTCCACCACGGTCCTAGCTACCAAGATGCCCTCCTCTGTCACTGTCCCCACGCGATATCTCTCCTCGAAACAGAAGTCAGAAACATGGAGACCAGACAATTACCTTCTGAAGATGGGAAAGATGCACAAAGAACATTAATTGCAGAGTGCAGATGCAGGCTAGCAGAGACTCTCGGGTCAGATGTCGAGCACAACAGAAAGGACATGTGGAGTATACTAGAAAGGATCGGAAGTTTGACCGAAGAGGACGTCGTCAAAATCATCAGAGGAGAAGAACTCATCACCAGAAAACGACAAGATTCCGGTGTTGGTCTATAATCCACGATAATCATAGTCATCTTTCCACCAAACCAGCCATATTTGCCAATCACCTTTTAACCACCAAATCCATCCACACGCACTTGTTTCGTCGCATCCAAAAATACCCCCCCTGTGATCCGTTGAGCCTCCAACTTCCCTTTAGCAAGAAACCCACATCTCCTCGGACCGACCACACATCAAAGATAACCTTTCCCGCCCCGTGAGCTCACTATGAAACAAGAAAACCAACCACCAGCACGAATAATCTAGCAACTTGCAAGCAGCAACATAAAAAAAAAAAGTGATCGACTCTTTTTGCTGGAGCACTTTATCTTACTTTTGTACTAAGCTGACTCGTGGGGATTTGTCGGGGATACACGTACCCTCGTGGCCGGGTAATTGATAGGCAGGCTATGATTTTAGTTGGATTGATTGCCCTTGAGGGGTTCGCTGGTTAGGAAAAAGAGATTGAAGATCTGGCTGCCCGCTGTATGAGGGTTTGCAGGGGGGAGGATGGGTGCGGTCGTGAGGAGTCGCGGTTTTTCGAGTCGGAGCAGCTCTTTCGGTGGTAAGGTTGCTTTATGGGGTTTGGATTCTGGTTTGCGATAGACGACTATGTGTGTCGACCTGGGGGCTGGAGATCAGACTGAGTATGAGGAGGAGGCCGTTGGTGCTCGAAACTTGTGTCGTGAGATATGTAAATTGTTTGATGTAGATATAGACAGGGTGACCCCAAAATGTACATGAACGATGAAGCAAACTTCTTACGATCATCCTTCTTCTTTCCTCATTCGCTCTCCTCCGCCTCTTCCTTCCACCCTAGCTTTTCCTCCTCTTCCTCTTTCGTCTCCTTCCGCATACCGTTGTCCCAATGTAACAATTGATAGGCAAGCCATGTTGCCGGCGGCCCTGCGGCGTCGAAGGAAGACGACTCAGTAAACTTTCTCTGCTCGAGGAGAAAACGAAAATCCAACTCGTATCGTCAAAGCTTAAAAAATTTGTGATGCGAATACATAGCGAGTGGAGTGTAGCGCTCTTGTAAAGCTCTGAGATAACCGTCAGTCAGCGTGCCTGTGTTTAGGGTTGTGTCGATTGGCCCTAGTCGTCCCGAGATGTTCGTGGGCGATGTGCTTGTCAGACGGGCAACTGCTGCGATGGTTGACAGATTAAAGCGAGTGTGATAGGTGGGGTTGGGACTGTTGTGCCACTGATATCCACCACGTGTTGTTAGCTCCGGTACTGTTCTTCGGAGGGTATCGCTGTGTGTTTGACCTAAGGAATCAAGATGTGTTGTATCCTTGGTCGATGGTTGAGGTGTGAGGGTGATTGACTTTGTCGTCGAAGCCGGGATGCAAGGATGTGATCATCTCACCGCTCCTGCAATGTACCATCGTCCGTTGTCGTAGATCCACTGACCTCCACCAGCAGCGCCAGACCCATTGTGTGTATCTCCGTCCTGAACCTCCGAGCCAAAGTAGAATTCCCCCTCATAAGGCTTGTCGTCAATCTTCTTAGGCACAGAGTTGTAGGTGGGTATGTCGCCGGCGAACTCTGGGTATGCGGCAATGAAGGCAGCATCGATACGCCAACAACTCAGGTTGTAGAAGCGTTTGATCAGCTCATCTGAGAATTGAAAGAGCTGCTTGTCGTTCTGCACGAAAGCAGTAGAGAAGTCGGAGTTCCACATGAAGCGGGTACTGGAATTGAAGAGAGCGAGGAAGGTGTCATCGTCGTACTTGGGACCTTCGAAAACGAAACGTTCACGTACTCCAGGCCTGGGAGCAAGTCACTGTTAGCTGATACAATACACGGTGCTGTGAATCTGTCTTACCAAGGGAAATAATCGCCGTTCGGGATGTGTGGAACATGAAGCTGAGACGGACGCGGTCGCATGAACTTTGGCTCTATTGTAGCCATGGCTTGAGGGCCCATAGCCATACCCTTCATCATACGGCGGAAGGACAGCATACCAACCATGCGATCTACCTTCCTCCATTGTGAACAGGCAGATCCGTCTATCTGGCGCAAGAGCATCCACAGAGGGTCAAGTGGCATGTATGCTTGAACAGCATCCCAGCCATGAATCAAGACCATGATGATGATGTGTTGATCGAACGACTCATCCGTGTAAGCTGCTGCAGTGCCTGGTACCGCGGACATGGCGTCCGTGATTGTGCTGATCCGGTCGTTTTTGGGTGGTGATGATGGCACAGCGCCAGTTTGCATGATGGGTTGTGTTTGAGGCATGCTGACAGGAATCGTCATGGGGTACTGAGATGCTAGCATGGCAGGATTGTTCATGGGCATGATCATCGACGTTGCTGCAGCTGTAGACACAGGTGCGCTCTGCACAGTCGTGTACATGGGCATGCTCGAAGCCGCCGAAGAGACACTTGCCACGGGCTGCATGGTCTCCTTGACATCAGGCTTCGCATCCACGACACTATCGTTGGGGGTTGATGATGATGCCTCGGTTCCAATGTCGGTCAAAGAAGTCCGGATGAGGGATTCGATCTGGCGTAGGCGGTCCGCTTGACGATTCAACCTCTCCTGGTCTTGTTCGTGGCGTAGAATCAAGTCAAGGACGACTTTAGGTTCGTCCGGGTTTTGCAATCCATTCAATCGAGCTTCGAGTCGTCGCAGGTTTTCGCGGTCCTTTTCTCTCTTCCGTCGCTGGCAAAGTCGGTCTTGTTCTCTCTTCCTGGCCTTTTTGATTTCCACATCGTCCTGTTGTGTTGGTGTCTCGCTGCTCCTCGAGACGGTTGATCGATTCCTCGACGCCTCGGCGCCGTCGTTTCCGTATTGAGACGCCATATTCCTAGAAAAGTTGGGGTTTCCCTCTCTGCACTCTCTGCGGCAAAGAGATATATTTATTTTCCTGCAGACCAGGCCCTCGGAGCATACAAGTGTACTTAGTGTTGAGGACAGAAGGCCTTAGCGATAACAAAGTGACACCCCCCGTGCGCCATTCGACGGCTGTAATATCACGGCATCCAACTGAGCTTAAAGAAGTCAGGTTCCCCTCGCACTGTCAAGTAAGTTTAGGAGCGCAGGATCAGATTGAGGCCCGCACTGGTCGATCGGACAGACTCTTGTCACTCAACACGGCGAAAAGCTCTGTGATGTAGCATGGATTAATAATGCCTCTTCCCCGTCCCTGCGTAAAAGTCTCACGCACGGCTGCTGCTCCGCCGGCTCTTGACGGCAGCAGCGCTAAACAAAACAGACGACCGGCAACTCCCCTTCATCTATATGACTCGTGGACTCGCCGCAAACGGGCATTCGGAATGCGACCCGTGGTTTAGGTGGGCGTAGGCCAACGGGCGAGTTCGGGCAGCACTTTTGGCCCACTTGGCAATGGAACGTCGTTGATGTCGTTCAGACAAATGCTGCTTAAGCTTTGATGATCTCTGATACAACCATGAGATGCTCTCAAATCAAATCACAGCCTCTCTAGTACGCTCCGCACATGAGGCCAGTGGCTGGTGCGCTTCATGCTCATCATCTGCATCAGGCTGCCCGTTTGGCCTAACTACTGTCCATCTCCGCTTGTTCGACATGACACCATGGCACCATTCTTTTGGGCGCCGGCATGATTGCGATGGCTGAATCTGGCTAGATGCTGTCGATGTTTTGTTATTTTGGGCGCGTTCACGGCACTTCTTTTGGATGCGACCCTGAGGGCTCTCAAGGTTCTTCTTCTGATAGGTATTCTATACGTCTAGCCACGTGATATGGCCGGTCTGTGGAAGTGAGCTTTGAAGCTTGCTTGAAATCTTTGTTAGGCGCCTGTCTGCGTGCAAGGTACGAATTAAATACATACACAGCGGGCTGCTTGTCATGTGTCCGGCACCGGCAATGGACGCAATGCTGCCTGGGTATCTGCCGCCGCTTCTTCATCCCATGGTGCCGGTCGACCTCGTTCCGCCGCGGATTGCGCTGTGGCCGTGATCGTGACCTTGATGTACCGTCCCGGATGCCCAGTGGTCTGATTCGATCTTGTGTTGGCCATAGCAGCCTCTCCTTGTGGCCTTGATTTTCTTTTTCGTCGTCATGCCCTGCCGGCAGAGGCTTCTCTCACACGTGCTTTGTAGATCCAATAACCTCTCCCCGGACCTTTGTCCAGTCGATGCTGGAATCCATGGCCTCATCGACCAAGCCGCAGACCACCACGTTGTCGCCTCGAATCATGTACAGTCCATGCGGTGTCTCTGAGCTCTCTTCCGGGTCGTCTTGTGGCCGGATGACGCGCTCAATGGTGTCTTTGAGGACGAGGTTGGTGACTTGATCGCAAGACACAAGCGTGCCCATCAGTGTGCGTCCATCGACTGTGATGATGAGAATTTTCTCTGCAAAGACAGTCAGCTGGCCGCCATGACCTGAGTATCATCTCTCAACTCACTGTTCATGTATTGATTGAGCGACATGGTGGTGGCAGATGGCCGAAGCGCGTTTGCGCCTGGCTATGTCTTTGTTTCGAGTTCGATGCGCGTATTGATGAAGGTGGGGGCTCGTAGACGTAAGAGCGTGAACAGGGGTCCGGCAGTCCAGAGTCGAGCGAATGTGTGATGCGTAGTGAATTGTTTGGTGTAATAGTTAGCTCTTCTGGCAGTTTGGAAAGCTCTTGGAGATCATCGCAAGAGTGATTTGTGGTCTGTGCACATTTTCACCTCTCCACCAAAGGAGACACCCTGTCAATAGCTATGCGACAGGCTACGTGACGCCCATCGAGCTAACATGTCTTAGAGTAATATCGAAGCGCGTGGATTTATATTGTCGGAACACTGGAACGCTTCGGCTCACTTTCCAGCTAATTTCCAAGGAAGTACACTGTTGGGGAAGTGATTGATAAAAGCTGCAGTATTTTCTACGCCAAACTCCTCCCAATGACCAAATGATACACGTGAGTAAATGCTCCACCTAACACCATAGCCTGATAGTTCCATCAGCACCTGCACTAACCAACCAAGGCTCGCGGGGATGCCACTCCACATCCAACACACCCAACTCTCCGGTAACCTTGTGTCCCTTGAGCACCTTCAGAGGCACGATCAGCGCGTTCTCTAGACTGTCACCCACAACCTTTCCGTGGAAGATCTGCAAGCTACCATCGTCACTGGCGTCTGCAAACAGCGGGTATTGGCCAGAGTTGGGGTGGTAGCGCACACTTCTGATGGCCTTTTGATGGTATCTGAGAGTCTTGTAAGGGGTAGCAGCGAGATCCATATCGTGCCACAACAGTCTTCTGTCGTAAGAACCAACCAACAAATTGTCTCCACCAGGGTGTACGTCAATGGAACTGATCCAGCGAGCACCAGGCTTCAGCTCCTTGTCAAGCTTCTGCTGTTGTAGGTCGTAGAGACGGATAGATTGTCTTGTGGCGACGAAGAACAAAGGCTTGGTAGGATGGAATGAACAAGTTTGAGCAATACCCTTCAAGCGGCGGAAGGGGTGTTGTGTGAGGTGCTTGGTAAGGGTGTGGATGGCTACAGCAGTCGAAGTAGCGGCAGGCGAGACTGTGCTGAGGTAGTCACCACGGCGGTGCCAGTTGATGACCTTGATTGTAGCACGCATAGTGCAAGTGAGCAGAACGCCCTGATCTTGCAGCTTCTGTGACTCCGGTCTTGACCAGACCGAGGAAGGGATCTTTCTCTCGGCGCCAGCATTAGTAGTGGCAGGCTTGGCGGCATAACCGAATCCAGCATCAATAACATCCTTGCTGGCTTGCTCAATTTCAGGCGAGCAAAGAGCCAAAGGAGTAATGAAGTAGACAGTCTCACCAGCAGCTGCAGCAATGATGAGTGTGTCGCGGGTGGGTCTCCACTTGACGGCGTTGACAGCTTCCTCGGAGGAAAGCTTGACGCTGTAGAGTTGACGACCAGAAAGCAATTCCCAGACTCTGACAGTTCCATCGTCACCACCACTGGCAATAAATGTACCAGTAGGACTAACCGAAACGCAGCGTACACGACCTTGGTGGCCTCTGTACAGAGTAGCGCATACAGTTGGGAAGGGTCTGAGATCATCTGGAGAAGGAAGCTTGGGCAAGAGTGATTCGGGGTCGATGTTGAGCTTGCTTCTGCGAACACGAGGAGCAAGGTACAAGTCCAGACAGCGCTCAAATCTCTCCTTAATGAACTTTTCGTAACCAGGTACTCTGCGGAGGGCGGAATGATCGGTAGGCAGATACTCTCTTTCACGGTCTTCCTCATCAGCCTGCTCCCAGGCCTTTCTCTCCAGTGCGTCGGGAAGGTACTCCGGTGGAGGGTGGTAAGACTCGGCGTATCCTGGTGGCGGCAGTTTGGGAGCGGGCATGTTCATGGCGTGGTCGGCTCTGGGAGTCTCGTCGGCCCAGACATCGTATCTTTGTACATCGTCGTCCTGTTGGTCTTCCTCACTGGGCTCCTTCCATGGCTTGATTCTGCCTTCTTTGATGGCTCTAACGATCTTCATGACGCGCTTGGCCTCGTGTTTACTGGGTACGAATCTTCTCTTCGGCTCAGGAGCAGCACTCAAGGGCATGATCTCGGTCTTGCTGGAGAACCATTCTACCATATCGGGGTAAGGGTCGTAGCCCTCGCCAGGCGCTTCGTTCCTTGTCAATTTTCTCAGAACCTCCAGCTCGTCTCTGCTAAGCTCCAGAGGCTTGCCGGTCTGAGGGTCGGTCAGACCAGTCCAGCCCTCGGGAAGCTCAATGCTGTCGAGCAGAGCATCCAAAGCCTCACCCTTGGCAGGGCGCATAATCTTCTTTCCGTTGATATCGTAGCCAATGTGAGGGTAAGAGTCGTAGAAGGAAAGCGGAATGTCTCCGATTGTGTTTTTGGCATCGCCAGCATCTGAATCGTCCGAGTCGTAGACGGGATCAATTTCGCGGTAGACGTATCGTTCATTACCGTTTGCGTCTGTGGTGACGGTGTAGTTGGGCTTGAGGTCTTCGTCGTCTTCGTCGGCGCCAGCGTTCGTTGATCGTTTTGAGTCGGTGGTTTTGAGATTGCGTAGTTGGTCGCGAATGTCCTGCTCATCGTCCTCGGAAGGGATCTCGTCGCTGTCTAGCTCCTCCTCCTCATCCTCGTCGTCCTCTTCGTCTTCATCTTCTCCGTCAAATTCCACCTCTTCACTGTCGTCGGACTCGTCGCCTTCAGACAAGATACCTTCGAGATTGCCATTTGCAAGCTCTTCACGCGGAGGGAGAGCAGGCTCCTCACGCGAAGCAGCCTTGCGTTTGCGGTCCTGAGTGGCAAGAACCATGTTGATTGTTTGCGACAAGAAAATGTGCTAAACTTGTGTTTTGCGGCCCGGACTTTCGAGAAAAAGTTCCTTTCCACTTGAGACGCTTATCTGATCTGATCTTATCTACAGCTAAGCCCAAAACTGTCTAGCTCCCTTGGTCCGCTCTCCACCTCTGCTGTTCTGCCTCGACTCGATGCGATGAACATCAAGGATGAGCGACATGGAGCGTAGAAGAGTTGCCTGTGATGAATGCAGTATGATCTGATACATAATTTGGCAAGATCGAAGTACTAACTCTCCAGGATCTCGTAAACTCAAATGTCCTGGAGAACGCCCTGTGTGCTCACGATGTATCGACGACAATATCACTTGTTTGTACTCTATGCAGAAAGCCATGGGAAGACCAAGGAAACGGAAGCTCGATAGTAGAGATCAGTCGACTAGTGATCCGATCAGGGGAACACGAGAACAAACATCTCTCCTCGAGCCCAACCTCTTCGACAGCGTGACCGAGAGATTAGACAAGGCTCCTGATCAGATGAATCCGTCCGACATTGACTTGTCACATATAAATACAACCAACGAGATCAACCTTCTCACCTCGTCTATTCAAGATATCCCTTCGGACCAGTCATGCGCATGTCTATCCTCGATGTATTTGACGCTGGACAACATCCGATCTATGAAGAGTTTCAGCTTCCCTAGCAGCCTACACTGCCTTCGGGATGCGCTAGGCACGGCGGAACTATGTATTGATTGTCGAGTTTGCCCAAATCAGTACCTTACGGCAACGCAAAATGCACAGCTGCTTGGTACTCTGCTGCTCTCCATGTCCGAACGCTACAACAGGATCCTCAAGACCATAGAATCGGACACAATAGAGGCTGAAGATGTGCGCCAAACCAAAACGCTTCAGATTGGCAGTACTGGGATGGTTGAGCCTAGACACGAGCACATTGGCAGCATGGCAGGGTCGAGCGAGCCCCTAGTACTTGAGCTGCCACCTTCTGAATGGAAAAGACTGGCTAAGAAAGTAGTAAATGCAGAAGTTCACGGAACTTCTGACCCAAGCCGTGCTAGCTTCATGTCAATCCTGGCGACTCTGGAAGAAAGACAAGCTCGTTGGCATATGATGGAACCAACTGATGATTGTCCAAACCCGGAGCGAAGAAGACATGATATGCATGATCACAACAATAACCCCATGTGCCTGATGTTGGCGAGAGAGGCGAAAAAGCTTGTGGACCTCTTCGACTTCAGTTGAGAATCATGATTCGTCGTCGTCCGGCCCTCTTCCGGAATTTCTCCAATGCCGATCAACACGATTCCTGGTTGAGGATTCGGATAATAGCGATAATGTGTTCTCGTTCTAGAATTCCACAAGCTCTAGACAGGCGAATGCACTGCTGTTCCTTCAGCATTGAGATGGAGGAAAGGTCGATGCTTCATGTCTGTCTCAGTCTAGCCAGCGCAGCCATCATTCCCTCACTAAGGTTCTCTTCGGGCTGCGGTTTGTTGGCGGGCGGAGGAGCTTGTTTAGGTGCAGCAGATGTTCGTGCAGGAGGCGCAAAAGCTTCTGCCATGGCCTCTTCCTCATCAGCGCCAGGTTCATAATCATCGGCGAGTCTGACATCTGGTCTCCTGTCTGCGTCCGAAACGCCACCGGAAGTGCTGGGCCCAGCGGGATTCTCGACAAAGGGAAGGGAAGCACCAATCCCAAGTCGTGCAGCCACACGACTGTCTTGTTCAATGTTGTTGTTTTGCGCAGGTCTTGAATCTTCTCGTCCAACACGGCGCTTGGCTTTGGTCACACGGAAAGGCTCGCGGACTGATTGGCACCACATCTTGACCTTCTTGTCACCCCAACCGGCGATATGAGATAGATCCTCCGGACGAGCGTTAACCGAGGTACGCACACTGCCAAAGTTGGAAACAAGACCAACAGCGTCCGTCTTGTTGATGCTGCGAGGAACAGTGATAAACTCAACAAGATTGTCGGCAAAGGTGGCAGCTTTCTGGGCCTTAATACCAGTCGGAGCAGCGTTTTCGCATGACTTGAACAGTTCCAAATAGCGGCCAGCCTCGTTTGCACTCCATGTGAGGATCAGAGTGACATTGTTGATGAGTGAAATCTTGGACAATTCTTTTAAAGGATCTTGGTGATTTTCGATATCTACCATGACCAGAACAACTCGAAGAAGGTACTTCTGACCGAGTTGGCGAATTCGCGAATATATGTACTCAGGATGTAGGCGATGGTATTTGAGGGACAGGAACAAGGCGCATGTTGTCTGACCAAGAACAAAGTCGGCAGGGATATCTGAATATTCCCATGGCAAAGACTTGATACTGTTCAGAATAGGATTGCCTTTCTGACGTGGAGAGACGAGAATGGATGAGGCTGATTTGCGAGCGGGTAGAGCTTGTGGTGTAGGCTGGACTACTTTGCGCGCGTTGTCGGGAGCAGGTGGAGGTGGGCGAGGATTGGGAGCAGTTGTACGATCAGCGATCTCGAACAAGTCGGACTCGTCGCCGTACTCGTCGGGCATGTTGATGTGTGTTGAATGTCTAATGGGCAAATATATGTGGCAGGAGCAAGACTAGAAGCTCAGTAGAAGAAGCACGAACACGCGAATGTGAATGGATCGGCATGATGACGCTGCGTCTCGACCGGTCGTTCCTTCCCTCTCACGGAAGTCTTGGCGGATTCCCATCGGCCGCGGTTTCCTCCTCGGCCAAGGCGCTCACGGCAGTCTTGTGAGTGAAATCGTCCGTCACATCGACAGCCACGACGCACCCTCACCACGCCATCCACACGCTCGAATATACGGATCCGCCGGTCGGTACAGCGCATGAAACGTCGGGCGTAAAACAAAGCAGGCTTTCACTAGCACTCATACGAACCGCCCCACGAGCAAACAAAGACGCCGGCAATCACCCTCCTTTGACCACCGCCCTGCATCCACATCCACATCCATAGTCGCATCATCACCATCGCCATCTCATCGTCCTCCCCCAGCGACATCACCCATCGACTCGCCCGTCGCCCGTATGCCGACGTCGCCTGCCTCGCCGCCTTATTACTACCAGAACCAGCCCGTGATTCACAAAGCAGCGCCTGTCTCAGTCGCACCACACACTCCGCCCTCGCCTGCGTCGGTGCGCATGTCTTCGTCGGCTCATAATGGCAAAGACCAATCTTTCCCTACGCCGCCGTCGTCCTACGTCCCGACAAGCTCGCATTCGTTCGCCGGCATGAACACTCACAACTCGACCCCACAACACTCCATGGACACAGACATGCCCGATGCTGAGGCTCCGCAAGCGCGGCCAACGCTGCCGCTGCTCTGTCAATCCCGTAAGGCTTGATCCTTGTTGTTTGTTCTCATGTGCTTTATTTGGTTAACACAAGTCTGCCGGATAGCTCACCCTATCTCGCGGCCTCACCCAAATGAAAACCTCATCAATTTATACGGCCTGCAAAGCATCGCCAACTCGGTCCGCCGAACAGACCCCATTACGGGCGAGAAGATCAACAAGCTGCGCAAGTCTTACGAGGGTAAGGTCAAGAATTTCGGTCTCACCGGAAAGAACAAGCCCACCGACCTCAACGAAGAGCTGAGAGGCCTTCTGCAATGGGACCCCGAATCGTGGTATGATCAGCGCGTTCACGGCAGAGAACTTGACAAGGCCGAGTCGTCCCCTCTCATGGCTACATTGGGCCGCGCCTTGACTATGAACCCTGGCACACTTCCTGCCGATGAACACAACAAGTGGAAATCCATACTAGGCCTCGATGATGGCAACAAGACACCTTCTCAGCCTGCCTCCAAGATCCCCGCTCACTCTCAGATGCTCAAGGCCCAGGCCTCTTCCATGCGCGCATCCGCACCCGCCTCGCCACGTGCTTCGAACCCGAACGGTATCCGTCCAGATCGCTCAAACAAGAAGCGCCGATACGACGAGAGTAGCTACACTGGTTACAACGAGAGTTACCAAGAAGACGATGGCTACTCGACTGGTGGCTTGGATGACAAGCGAAACTCTGCAACCAAGAAGCGCCGAAAAGTATGACCTACCCCTCATAATAGTCCTCCCGACTTTTGCTGATTCTCCTGAAAAGGAATTTCCCACAAACTTCGACGCTTCTGGAGGCTCGTCAGCCTTCAACAATGGGATGCTAGGTGTTGGTGTCAAAAGCTCATGATCCAAGCAACCACACTGCTCCCCCCATTAACATTCGCATGAATGCCCCTGATACCACACGGCGAATGGCCTTGTCCTTTGCTCTTTCTTTACTTTCTTTACGGTCCACTTTGCTGTACCAACAAAATCTCCTGTGCATACCCCAACTCTAGTTCTGCTGGTTTTTTTGCTTTTTCTTTTACGCTGGCGTTATTACAAAAATGGATGCTTCGTGCTGGGGTTGTTTCTAGCAGGCGTCACTAATCAACGAGGGAACTTGGAAGGGGGTGGTTTACGGGGGAAAGAAACACGACCGATCTTAAGAGAGACCAATCATCCCTCTTGCACGCATCGGGACACATATCAGGCAGGACAAAACAGAGGAACGTACACGACGAATGCGGTTGTACATTGACTTCATTCAATATTCAGTCTACGATATAAAGATCTTCAAAAAATGGAAAAAAATCACAACATCGCGAATCCGTACACTCGCATCTGTGACATGGGGAGAATGAATCACTTAGAACCCGATTCCATCTTGGCCTCCAAGGCGACGGCTGGCCAACAATATAGCTATCGAATTGCATGACGGTTTTGATGTGCATGTGGTTGACCGAAGAGAGCAAGAGAGGAGGTGGATAGTGCAGGAATATCACTCAGTGGGCATTGTGTCTGTCAGGAAGATTCTCAATCTTGGAAGTCGTTTCGTGGAACGATGCAAGGCCACAAAGACGACTGAGATCAGTTCTAGTACAAGAAGTTTACAGTCAATATATACACTAATATCACGCGTGGCAAGGCCCAAGGAGTCACGTAGGGGGGAAAAGTGTAAAAAGGGTCAGGTTGGACAAAAAGTATATTGAATCTTTTGAAAACAAGAGTCGATCGAGGCCATCATCACCTTACAAAGTGAAGAGTGTGTTTTGCTAACACCATCCAGTGGTATAGCATTATTTCTAGTCGAACAAATTGTTCAAACAAGTAGAAGCACCTCTTCTGCTATCCCACCTTTGTCTCTCGTCTATTGCGAATCTAGCTCTTTCTTCAATCTCACTGGCCCATGCTTCCATTTGTTCCTCTTCCATCTCGTTGCTCAGGTACCTGCCATCATTTCCTTCCAACAGCTCTGCGGGTAGAACCTTTTTCAGGAAACTGTTGGGGAATTGGCCATATCTACCAGAGATTAGTTTTTGTGTTATACGAGCAGAGATGCCAGAGCGGCAGGTTTGGGAAAGACGGGTGCTTTCGACCTGGGTGGTTAGAGGGGTAAGAATATCCGGGGCTTGGGAGGTAGTAGCTGTGTTGAAGAAATTGGTCGCATAGTCAGGGGTTAGCAGGACGGAGGTATAGTGTCTAATAGTCGAGTCAGCAGCATTAACCAATCTAGCAATGTCAACAAGAGTGACATCAGCATTATCCCACTGAGTTTCAATCCAAGCTGTCAAAGTTGTGGTAGAAGTGTTCTCGCAGTAAACAGTAAGTCTGCACAACAGATCTATCCAGGCGCAAATCTCAACCACATCTAGCGTGCCAGTATGCAATCGAAACTCGATCGTCTTCTTTGGCAGCGATCCTGGCCAACCGCCTGGGGAATTGTTTTGGGGAGCCAGATGTTGGAGGTTCACACTTGATTGATGGGGATGACTGTATTCACAAAGTTCAGCCATCGTACGACAAGAGTAGATATGATGAATCCACATGGGAATAGAAGCACCATACTTAACCGCATTGGTGAAATCACTGACATCGCTCTTGTCGTAGGCGATCATGACACTATTGGCCAGGCTTTCGAATTGGCGAACTGACATGGGGCTGGTATAGTTGAAACCTTTGGACGGTATCCAGGGCTGTATGGCAGTAGTGTTAGCGGAGATCAGAGAGGGTAGAGGAAAACGGTCGTCTTCATAAGCGCCGATTCTGTCGATGGGGAGGATGGCGTCGAAGCAGCGTTCGAGGGCTGTGAACATACCCATGACATTCTTTGTGGTGTCGAGGTTGAATCCGAGATCGTGGCGACCGACGTGGAGATGAAGACCGCAAGTTCCGTTGGCGAAGACTCTGAAGCCAGGTCTGTTGAAACCTTGCTTTAGAGCGTTGATCATGGTAGTAATTTCATCACGCCAGTTCCAGGTTAGAGGCTGACCATTACAGGGCCAGGCTTGATTGTGAGGGCAAGGGGTAGGATTGAAGAAGTCCAGAATACGGCATTGGAGCTCGACATCGCTGGAAACGGACTCGTTTGGGTAGAAGGGCTTTTCATCGTCGGAAAGACGGACACTGCAGTCTCTGCCAACGACCCAGGTGTTGTACTCGTTGTCGTCGTCATGGTGTTGCCAGTAGGAAGGTGGCTGGTTGTCAACGGGAAGTCTAAGTTCGTGATGGCCTTGTGGACAATTGTAGGGGCAGGGAAGCGAGATGGGCTTTCTGAGGACTTCCCAGACGGTGTCATGGGCTGTGAACTCAGAATTGTCTGGAACAACAGCGACAAACTCCAATTCTACACCAAGAGTGCATGGCTGTTTGGGGGAAGCCGAGGTTGCTTTAGAAGTGTGAGCAGATGGGCAATACATGTTTGTAGTTGGTTGTTTACCGATCGATTTTTGTTTATGGATCTGAAAGTGGACAAGAGAGGGGTTGGAGACGAGGGGACATTTATAACAACTGATAGACCGGACTCCATGACGTTACAAACAGCACGCAGATGAAGAGGACAAGGACCAACAACAAGGAATAAAGAAAGGCATTTCATTCATTCGTCGTAACTCAAAGAACATCTATCAAAGGAAGACATTGACGTCTTTGTGGCTTTGTTGTTCGTACAGCGAGCGGGCTCACTCATTCTTGACTCTCTTGGCCTCAGGGGCATGTTCGGTAACCTAGCAGTATGTTAGAACAATTGTTTTGAACGCATGTCGGTAAATAAAGAACGAACCTCCTCGAGACCCTTTCTCTTGGTGATGGTTGGCAGCACACCTTGAGTCTTGTATCCGACGACGTTGTTGTTGCCAGTGACAGTGATGCCGCAGTTGATGGTAAGGTTGACTTGCAAGATAGGAGTCTTGGAACCGGGCTTGGTGGCAGCAGTCTTTGCAGCGCTGAGACTTTGAACTGCAGCGAGCAAGAGTGCAGATAGGCGAGTTGCGTCTGCGAGTGGTGGTGTTGCAATCATGTTACCCGTCCCGTGGACTTGTGAGGAGGTGTTGAGGACGAGGGTGATGGGAGATGGGTCTTCATCCTCTTCGTCCTCGTCTTCTGAGTCGGTGAGGGTGTCTTCGGCGGTGTAGGCTGGTGGGAGATCGGTGATGTCTTGAGGATGTTGCTGGCCGTTGGCTGCAGCGGCTCTCTCAAGCAAAATCTTTTGACAGGAGTGCATGAAGGAGTCCATGGTAGTAGTTGTGTAGGATGACTCTTGCGAGCGAGAGTGGAAGGTTCCAATGAAGGATTTCTGGAGGAGAGGTATGCTGTCTTGAGGTAGGCTGAGAAGGTGCGACACAGTGTTGCCAGAAAGGATAGAAGAAGCTTCTGGACGGGAAGAGAGTAGTAGAAGGAAGATGGACCGTGATAGAAAGGAGGTTGTAGGAGGAACTTCTGAAAGTCTTGTTCGTAAGAAGATAATGGAACCAATACTTCAGAGCAACAAGCGTAGTGGAAGACAATAGGGATAATACCAAGCCAAGACGATTGTCAAGATATTGTACCTACTGCAAGTCTATTCATTCTGGTGCGTCAATAAGGCAGGCATGACGCGATTTGGTAGGCCCGCATGATATTATGCTACTATTGTCAGCCTTCCCCAATAGCAAGATTCCTATTGTCGAGCTCTATTGACATCAACTTTCACTCGGGCCGAACGAGGAGCCGACAGTCGTACAAGGCTGCCGAAGTGTGGTTGGGCGAGGATTTGCTATTGTCAGACAGCTTTGTTTTCCTATTGTTGTCTGAGAGCCCGTCTGTCCGTGCGCACAATTGGGCGTCCACTCTCATGCGGCTAAACTTTCGAGCCCCCCTTGAGACACACGTGATGGTTTGCATGAGATGTCTTTGGAGATCACACTTCACTGTAAAAGTGATGGTCTTCAGAAGATAGTTCTCATCAACAACTTTTCAGGAAGATGTTCAGCCCTCTGGTGGCTGATCGGAAGGAGCGCGGGGAAGCAGCATGACATGTGAAAGGGTCGCGACTGCCTCACTCTCATCTCTGCTCATTTGATCATTTCACCGCCCTGGTTGACGAAGAAACCGAGTCGCGCAATCAATTTTTCAATTGCCAGTAGTTCCCAGTCTACTGCTTTCCGTAATCGCAGAAATACAACGATTCAATTCTTCTCCCAATTGACCATGGCGTCGTCCTCGAGCAAGCACAAGCGACAATCGTCATCAATGCATCGCGCATCTCTGGCCGCTCAGAAAACCGAAGTCAAGATCCATGTCTATGATTTGTTACCAGTCAGACTGTCTCTCACTCACTCTTTCTGGCTATCACTGACGTTACCTAGCCTGGTCGTCTCTCCTCGATCCTCTGGATAATCGGCGGCTCTCTACTACATTCCGGCGTCGTAATCAACGAACGAGAATATGCCTACGGTGGCCACGATCGCAAAGGTGTCAGTGGAGTTTACTGGACACGACCTAAACTCGAGCCTCCGGGTGGCACATTCCGCTGCGAGATTCTCCATGGCTTTACCGTCCTCTCCCAAGAAGAAATCACAACCATAATCAATGACGCTTCACGACTTTTTCAAGGCACACGATACAACCTTCTGAGCAACAACTGCAACCACTTCTCTTCATATCTCTGCGAGAAATTGACGGGCCGGCCAGGACCTGCTTGGTTGAACAGAGCTGCAAGTGTTGGTCTTGCATTGCCGTGCGTGGTGCCGAAAGAATGGATCTCACCGCCTGATCACGAGACCGCTGATGGCGAGCTACTAGAAGACGAAGAGGAAGATCAAGATGACGACGAGAGAGCTGCCATGCTGCCTCGCGACAAGAGAAGGACACGCGACAAGATTAGCAATCAGCGCATCTCTTCAAGGAACCAGACTCCTCCGCCACGATTCGTCTCTGTCAAGGACACAAGTGGCAGAGAGATGCCAGCCAGTGAAAGGGCACCGATGCCTAAGAGATGACGGTGCCTGAACTGGTGTAGCAAAAAGATGGGTCGCAAGTCATCAGACCGGAAACGTTCAGACTAAGGAGGATGCGTTCCGGCTTTGGAGACGTGGAAACATACAGCATTATGATTATGCTGACACCGTCAACTACCCGGGCTGGATATGCATATTCGTGCATGCCGTATGCCATGGCTCGAGCAGGATATACAAGTACTCACCTGCGGCAACAGACAGATTCAGGGACGGACATCATTTGGACCATGAAGTTTGACGAGCAATGAGAACATGAGGGCACGAGATTTCCACGCAGGACAAAGAAGCAAGATGGAGACATCGGGAAAGAAGACGTATCATGTTTCCCGCAGAAATGAGTAGGAAGTGGTATCGTAATGCTAGCAAGAGCAAAGTATCAAACCCGTAAAAGCGACCTCGTCAAGGGGCCTCTCGTCTCTCTTTAAGACAATAATAGCAATCCAAGCNAAACTTCCCTGCAAACGCCGATCGAGGGTGAAATGTCATCATGTCTGACCGGCACGAATGCATCACCGTAGATAGCCTTAGCAAAGGGCTGTCTGTGTTTAGGTCGTATTTTCCCGAGCTACGATAAGTGAATGCCTAGACTTTGCTCGTGATGGAGACATCCTAGCGTGCCAACAAATGCGATTGTGAAAAGACACACGTGCAAACCAAGAAACCAGCATTGAATGTACAGGATTTGATATTTTTTATCAACTCTTTTTCACCTTGACTGTGAGCCACTGCTTTGGTTTGACAATATACTCCAGTCCAGTCAGACCGCTGGTGTCCAAATCTCTGGCAACATCCCAAGCGCTTCTGATGCAGTCGTTGACACCGACACCTCTCACCCAGTTACCAGCAACTCTCAAGCGACCAGAATAACGTAATGAGAGTTCATCGTGGAACTTGCTCACTCGGTCCTCGAATCCAACAGTATATTGGGGAATGCAGTTGTAGTTGAGATTGACCGAATGAGCGGCAGGCTTTTCAGTGACGCCGAGATGTCTCTCCATGATGGACTGTGCCATTTGTAGACCCTCATCGTTTGAGGGGTGAGATGACCAGCCATCCCAATAGTGACCACCAAGCATGACTGTGACCTTTGTTCCTCGTTTGGACACTGTGTCTTGCATAGGGCCAACAAAGTCTTCATCGCCCGGTGTTCCAGCAGCATAGGCAGTATCGAATGTAACACCGAGAGCGCGCTCCGGATTCTGATCGATAGGGATACCAAGTGGGATCAAGTATCCGAAGCCAGAAGGGTGTAGGTTGGGTGTGCGGTAGTATAAGTTGACTGTCATTACTGTTGGTGTCGGACATACAGGCAATTTCAAAAATCCGCGGTTCATCGAAGAAGCGGCCTGTGATGTCTTGTCCGGGGAAAGAGTAGAAATCACATGAGTATGGTTGTGTTTCGAGGTGCTTCCCTCTGTTGAGCTTTTGGCTTCGAGCTGCACGTTCTGCTCTGTGTTCTTGATGTCGGTGACTTCCTGGTTCAACTGGAAGATGACATTTGGCGACTTTTTGAGGGATGCTTCCAGGGTGTCGACCAGCTGTTGTATACCATGACGGAACGTGAAGACGTTAGATCTCCGGAAGTTCTTTCGGAATTCCTTGCCGAAGGGATACGGTTGCTTCATGGCCATCATGAACTCCAACTCTTTTGCAGGGACCTTGGCTCCTTCGACCATATTTTGCAGCAACCCAGTGACTAGACTTCCAGATTCCTCTTCCAGTCTCCATAGACTGGGGAACAAGCTCTTCATGCTGAGTTGATAGATATCACCAGCATAGATGCCGTGGACGACTGCCGACATGACTTGATCGACAAGCCTTCGGCCTATACGTCTCGCGAAGAAGTCACCGACGGACTCATCTGTGACACTGGAGTCTCTAGCGGGACGGAAGGGCTCGAGAGCAAGACGTCCAAGGATACCTTGGAAGGCGGGTTCGTATGTAAAGGTGTTCGCGAGCGCAGTTGCATTCGCCATGAAGCCTAGCTTCTTGTCTGGCTGCGGAACTCGAACGAGATGATCCGGATAGTAAAGGTAGCGATTGGTGGCGGCAGGAGCCGTCTTCATGGTGAAGATGGTCTCGTCTTCAAGACCAAGTTGGTTCACCAGACGAGCGGTAAGAGAGCCATTGCCAGCCGGGCGAAGTGTCCGCGGCCCCTTTTCGAAGAGAATGTGACCATCATCTATTTCCACCTTTTCTGTGTGCAACCAACCTCCTAGTCGTGGAGAGCTTTCGTAGATGGTGACTTTGCGATTCGGGTTCGATTGGGAGAGATAGTGTGCAGTTGCAAGACCAGTGATGCCACCACCCAGAATTGCGACGTCATTCGGATCTGGTTGCGAACTATAACACCTACATGACAGAATGAGCTTTCATGCTCGAAATAGTCGCAATTGTTTGCGCTTACCTTATTGCTGCGAGACTGGAAGGAGCAACTGAGCGACGGGAGGCCACTCGTGCAACTTTGTTCAACCCATTGCGCCTGTTCAACATTGCTTGATAGCTTTCACGTCCCGACACCAGGTTCTAACTGTACTAACAAGAGTACAGAAAGACTGGTGTGGTCTATACATGTCGTAACCAATGTGGTCTGAGACTTGAGGAAGCACAGACCAATTGTCAAGAACGCGACCCCACAAGCCATCCACTTTGCGCCATGGCACCTTCTCTCTTCTGTGACCTTACAATCTACCACCTCCAACATAATTTGTTCTCATCAACACTTCTCTTGACAGCTCTCTACTTCCCTGCAGATTCTACAGATTTTCTACCCCTGCTATAGCCCGACTGTGTGCTGGTTCGCGCATAAGCAACTATCAACATCGTGTCGGCTTCGCCGCGTCTTCGCGCTGAACCTGATCGTGTGTTGTATAGCGAGCTTCTTACCTGGACCAGCCCGACTGTGTGCTGGCGCGCGGCAGTAGAGATCATCGTGGCCTGTAGTCTTTCCATCACGAGTCAGGGCTGCTCAGAAGCGTATGCTCACCAAAGCCCGGGTGGGCGGGTTTCTGTACGTGATACGTGCAGGGCAAAGGTGATATATTCGTGTTTTCTTTGGCCATCACTGATATGCAGGAGGTTGATCCTGGACCGGACGACAGCGTTGACCTGTCCGGACTCGAAGAGAATAGCAGACTAGAATGGGCTATAAAAAATCATGCTGTTATAGCAATTTGGGACGAAAAGTTGAGCCATTCCACTTCTGCCTCGAGACATCTAGGAAACAGAACGCCGCACAACCGAGAAGACTCCAATCTCCGCCTGTGGATGGGTGAGGATACAGAAACCCAACAACTCCTCACTGTTCTGGTTATCGACATACGACTTCGCGCATCTCGAAAGACGCCTCCTAGGCGAATGTTTTTCGTAATACCGTCTGAGTCGCTTCGCCTCGAGATTACGACGCCCACGTTTGGGGAACTTTGTAAACACAATGTGCCTGACTCGCTGCTGGAATACCCGAGCGACAAATGTTCCGCAGACTCGGCTCGTCTTTTGCACATTTCATTCAATCTGGACCACGCAGCCTCAAGCATGGTCATTATGCCGAAAGCTGAGTGTTCACGCCCGACAGTGGGGCAGCCGCTACATCTGCTTCAAAGTCTTAGGTCGCTCTCTGTAGCCCAAAAGTTCGATGTGTATCTGAATTTCAACACTTATGCTCAACAACATCTGGGTGGACTTATGATGAAGTTGAATCAGAGTACACTGATCACGCCATCGATTGACCTTGCGTCAATGTATGCTGGCCGTGGTGGAAGCATCGGTAATTGGTCTGCCCAGGGACTGCTCGAAGAAGGTCAAGCGACATTATCACACAAGCGAAGAAAGATTGTTCATGAAGACGAATGTCAAACAGAAGCCGTTGAGCAGTTTCCCCCACCTTATAGTACTCTAGGTGGGCAGATTCTTGTTCCACGAAGTTGCACACCCGAGCCCCTTGCCTTCGCCATTGGATCTGGTAGTTGCGTTCCTGACACGCCTCAAGTCCTACTAAACCCACCTGCTAAGGATCTTGGACTCGGAAATTCGCTTTCGACCATTGCTCCCTCAGTAGCATGTGCTCAAAAATCAGCAATTCTGACTGAAAATTACGATTTGAATGTCACAGTTCAGCCGCTTGTGCTTCCCTCACCCAAGTCATCTGCGCTGAACAACTCCTCATGTCAACCCAATTTACTCGCATCGCAGATCTACGTCGATATGTGCCTGTGGCTAACTAAGGCATGGACTACCTGCCCTAATGCTCATTTCCTATTTTCTGCACATCTGCTTAGCATGGGTGCCGCTGCTCACGACAAAGACGATGTTTTGTACACTTGCAAAAGAGCAGAGAGCACGACTGACCTGCTGTACCACCTTGCCCAACGAATTGACAGCCGAACTCCTACAAATTCCGGAATGATTTTCCTCCGCGAAAAAGGGCGACAAGCTAGCGCAGCTTTAAGAGAAAAAGCGATCAAGCAAGAGACCACAAGAATGGTTATATGGATGAATATCATCAGACCGCATGCAGACCTTCCCCTGATGGATGAATGTTTAGCCAGATGGGTAGAGAAGGGTGTCCAGCTAATTCAGTATAGCCAGGATGGGTCAGAAGGTCTGGATGCGTATGATATGCTCCTGAGCGAATTTGGCCGATGCAAGGCATTCTGTGTTGCAGAGACCTGTCTCTCGCTTGGCAAAGAATCCATGGCGAGGCTCGATGGAATCGTGGCGAGGTTGCAGGAGGAAGCCAAGCGATAGTTATAGCAGTAGACAGTAATTATATAATGTGAAGATTTCATCTCAGTCGTTCAAGAGAGCTCTAACTCAATTACTGATCAATCTTCCTATTCGGACTCCGTTTATCTCCTGCGAAAGTGCACAATGTTTTTGAGATCAGTACGCCTGTCCAGAGAGACGCGCTGATGACGTGTTTTGACTGCCTAACGTAGCAAGAATCGAGACTTTCAAGAGCTATACGCGCCCCGAAGCCTAGGACATAGGGAGGCTGGCTTGTGATGGTTGTTGATAGATCAGCTATGGACGTGGTTGTTTGCAGGACAAATGGTCCCATCGCCAAGCCTTGGTGTGTGCTCAAGGATCCTACACCACCTACCCCTTCTTTCGCATCCTCCTAATCTCCACTCTTCAGAGCCATATACCTGGGCAGGAGGTGCATACTTGACATTTTCTCCCCTTCGCAATTATACATGCCAATGTAGGTGTCTCGGCCATATCCGACATGTCCTTGGCTTAATAACAAAACTCGATGTGCTTCAACGTTCGGTCGCTTAATGCTCGACCTTCCACCATTGTAAATCAAAGCCACGGTTATGTGTATCATGTGGCTGGTCTATAGGTACATCTAGGGACTGACTCGCTGATCCAGTGGCGTCGGTAAGTAAACTGACGATATGTGTTGCATGTGCTTGAATAGCGGCTCATTCTGCTCCGCCCGTTGAACTGAGACTTCGAATCGTCCAGCCAGGAGAAACCGTTACAATCGTCCAGGCACACACGAGCTGAACAACTGGAGATGGACAACGGTTTCGTTGCCATCCTTGAAGAGTAAAAGAGAAAACCGTAACCATGCCCAATCCAGACCTTGTTCAGCATTTCTCAACTTCGAGTCCTACGGGACTGCCAATCGGCCATCCATCCATTATCCAGTATATACCATGAAAGTTACAAATCTTATATGGTGGCTTTCATGGTCAAGTCTACTAGTTGCCTCTCCGTTGGAGGAGCGTGCAGCCAGCTCTTCGGCATGTGATAATGCTCAAGTAAAGGCTCTAAGATCTAGCAACGCCAATTGCTATTGTTCTTCATATCTCCAAATACCAGTCTCGACTGTCACGAAATTTACGACCCGCACATCTACGATACAAACGACTATTACGCACAACCAGATTACGACCAAGTCAGTATTGGAGCCGTTCACGAGAGAACTTTCCTAACATTAGACAGAGTGTCAACTAATAACATAAAATCAACTGTTACAACTCGAACTGTTACTGCCAGCCCGAAAACTGGATACACTACCTTGACTAGGACAGTGACGGTGACACCCCTAGCTCGATCACTCCATAGGCGGAAGCATCTCGATCATCCAAGGGAACTGGTAGAGAGAGCCACAGTCTCGACATGTGCTACACCAGCAATGGTCAAGAGCATGAAGAAGGCTGCAATCTCAAGTGCTTGCAGCTGTTTGTCAATAGTACCTCGCAAGACTACTATCATCAAAACGAACGTACAACGCATCACTCGAGTATCGACTAAACTCGCGAGCTCCACTGCCCTGCGTACCACGACTATCAGATCTAAAGCTACTGCAGTGGCAAGTGTCACGCCTCTTCGACTAGTCACTAGGACATCGATAGTTACAGTGACTGCGAAGACGTCGACTTTAACAAAGTCTAAGAGCACGTCTGTGAGCTCCGTACAGAATGATGGTGTGACTAGGTCATCCTCGAAGACCTCAAGTCTTTCCGCGAGCAGCCTGTCACCTAGTCGATCTCTTGGCAGCTTAATCTCTAGTAGCCGAGTGCCCAGTAGCAAGCCGACAAGTTTTACAACAAGCAGTAAATCAACAAGATCGGTATCGAGCAGCAAATTGTCAAATCTGGCATCGAGCAGCCGATCAACTTCTTCAGCATCAACAATTCGATCGTCGAGCAGTTTCCTCACCAACGTGCAACCTGTCAGCACAATCCTATCGACCAGCACATCTAGCGACAAGCCCGTCGGCTTCCCCAGCAGCAGTCGAGTCACAAGTAGTAGCTCTAGCACTACTACCTCTGAGTTTCCTACCTCGACAATCGAAGGAGCTCGGTCGTCAGATGTACTGGCTAAAACCTCTTCCGAAGAGGTTTCAGCAGTCTCTACATCCAGGACGTCCAGCAAGACATCAAGTGTCGCTTCAAGTCAGTCGTTGAATGTTGTTACAAGCAAGTCCTCGAGTGCTGCAACAAGCAAGTCTTCAAGTACTGTGTCAAGCAAATCAGCGAGCAGATCTTCTAGCGCTCTTGCAACGACATCGTCTAGCAAGATTTCCAGCACATCAACAAGCAAATCATCGACAAAGGCAACAGTCACTAGCTCTAGCAAGATCAGCAGCACTTCCACAACCAAGACTTCTAGTAAAACATCCAGCACCAGCCAAAAGACCTCCGAGACAGCTTCCATAAGAGCCTATCCACCAGAAGGACCACTATACACACCGAACACGAACGCATGCGCTTCGAGGACGGCAATGTCTTTCAGCAGGACCAGCACTAGATCTGCCTCGAGGACTTTCAGCACGAGCAGAGCAGGATCATCGTCGTCCTTTTCCGCGTCAAGCAAAGCAACATCACTATCCGCCTTCTCCTTGACATCGAGCAAAGCGATATCGAGTTCAACACGGAGCAGTTCGACACCTCGATTCACATTCCCGTCCAACAGTACGATGTCAACATATACATCTGCCTCTTCATCCTCCAGCTCAACCTCCTCACCACAAGTCAACCAATTCTCCACCTCGGACGAAGATGACAACACCTCCACAAACGACACAATCAACAACTTCCCCTCGGACAACCCATCCAACTCCTCAACCTCCTCCTCCCCCTCAATCTCAGACCCATCCGATCTTTCCTCCTCCAACTCCACTTCCAACATCACAACATCCAACCTCTTAGCTCAAGCCAATAAACCCTTCCACCTGCAATCCTCCTGCACATCCAACCTCCAAATCTCCGGCTTATACGCAACCCTCCTCTCCACAAACGATAACCCAACCCTCCAATTCACCTCTTCCCCCTCTTCAGCATCTCTCTTCCACCTCTCCACCTCTGGCTACTTATACATTCTCCCTTCTGCTGCCCAATCTTCATCTTCAAATCAGCACTTTATTTCCTTTTCTGATGAAAAACTGATTGCGAATATTGATGTCGGGGTGGGGGAGATGGATTTATTCTTTAATGAAGAGGAGGATGGGATGGGGGTGGGGATGGGGGCGGAAAAGGTCAAGTGTGGGGTCGATGAGGATGGGGTGTTGCAATGTGTGACGAGTGGGACTGATGAGGTGGTGTGGTGTGAAGGGGAGGGGACGATTAAATTGGCTGGGTGTGTGGTGGAGGGGTGTGAGGGGGCGGAGTTGGTTGTTGTGTATGTTTGATATTTGTGCATGTTTGATATTTGTGTGTTGTTAGGGTGGGATGGGATGGGATGGCAAGGATGGAGTTTGTTTGACGGATAATGGAGGTCATGGGTATGGATATGGGCATGGGTATGGTGCATGGAGACGGGCATAAGGGTGTTTCAAGACTATAGCGATGACAGAAATATACAGTCGAGTACGACACGAGCATATAACAGATCAATCTTTGAAGTGTTCTCATCAAACCATAGACAAGACCTCTTTCCTGAACTCGTAACGTCAACATTGACAAACTTTTGTTCTTCTATTCATTTTTTATTCTAGAGTTGTAGGTGGATGCAGGAAAAGGGCACGATAGCGACAAGCATCCATAGCCAAACATCGACCCTCCTCAATCAATCTTGAGCGACCCATAGATCCTATACACAAATGCCCACGTAGCCACAAATCCAATGGTACCTGCAAGTGAAAAAAAAGTCAGCGAACCGTAACCCAGAGAAAAAGAAAAAGATAGAAGCATAAAAAAAACTCACCAGTCAACACGAACCACAACGCACTGATTAATGCACTATACCCCAGATAAAGCACCCCACTGGTCCAACTCGTAAAACTCAAAGTCCTCACCCAATAAAGCATGGCATACAAAAACACATAAATGGCGGATGCGCCAGATGTGAAGAAAGCCCTCCATTGCCAATGATAATTCTCCGCGCATAGTGCAAAGTAAACCATCAAGATGGTAACAGCAGCGGAGGTTACAATCATGAGACCGTAACAGAGGAACAGGAATCCAAACATGTAGTAGATTCTGCTAAACCAGATACTGCTGATGATGAAATACAGCTCGAGGAAAATGGCGCCGAAGGGGAGAATGCCGACGAGGAACATGGAAGGCAGAGGGCGGAGATAACCAGTGGACGGAGGGATCTGGCGGGGGATCTGGTTGGTGCGGACAGGGGGTGTGGACTCAGGAGCGCGGAAGCCCAGCCACGAACCACCGACAGACAGAGGCACCGAGATCAAGAACCAAATACTGATAAGCGCAAGCATAGTAGTAAAAGGCACAGCTCCAGACGATTGACGAGCCCAGACGAAAAGATTGAGCAGGAAAAACACACTAAACACAGTGCCAGGGACAAGCAGTGGTGTGTAAGCAATATTCTGCTTCCAAGCGTCTCCGTGGAAGAACTTGTAAACTCTTGCGGAGACATATCCTCCAACGGCGCCGAAGAAGGTATACAGCATAACCATTACCGTAGTCAGCGATCCACGGTTGGAGGGGGACAAGAAACCAAGCAGAGCAAAAGCAATGGTGAAACCGGTCATCATGAAGAGCTGGGCGCCGTTACCGACCAGAATCGACAAGATCATGGGATGCTTTGGTGGGCGGAAGACATCGCCGTGTACCAGCTTCCAACCAGAGTCTTCTTGCACTGTGTCGTCAAGGTTGGTCTCGCCAAAGTCGTCGAGGCCGAGGTCATCGAGGCGGTTGTAGCGGGCGATATCCTTGCGCAGAGTACGGAGGAGGATGGTAGAGACCATGCCGACAAGAGCGACGACGATCATGGCAGAGATGGTCAGCGAAACCCAGTGGATGCGTGAGTCGTAAACGTGCAGGTATTTGTCCCAACGGGTAGCAAAGGAAGTGGGCGAGGGTATCCAGTAAACGCTGTATGTCCAGACAACATCTGTAGCATCCTTCTCGGACAGAATGAGAGGGTGGGCGATATCTCCGCATTGAACCTTGCCATCATCCAACAGCTTGGATTCCGATGATGATGCCGGCTCGACCAAGACACCAACAACGCGGAATTGACCTTGAGCAGCCTCATGGAATTCTGCGTATATGTTATAGTGGGTATTGAGGACAGGAGTCTGCGTCTCAACACCATGTACCTGACCCAGGGCAAAGCCAGGACTGTAGAAGATGTCGTTGTTGGCATCAATCATCTTTTGCGCAGCCGGCAGGCCATCAATGTTCCAATTGACATTGTAGTTCTGCAAGATGCGACGATTCACAAACTTGCTGTCGCGAGCTTGGAAAGTCTGTTTTCCGCAGACAGCCTTGCAAGACTCATTCTTGCCCATGTATAGTTCCAGCGGGGAAGTCTGGATACGGTCTCCGAACAGGATGCTTCCTAGACTCTCGCTCTTTTGCTTAGGACCGCCTTCTGGCTCGCAGTGGTGGAAGGCATGGTGGTAGTAGTCGAAGGCGAAGACGGATCGGACTTGGGTGTCTTGTTCTGATTGGGAGGGCGTTAGGCGGTTGACTGTGAGGGGTACTCGGTCTCCGGTTTGGTAATTCGTCGGTGCGACTCCTGGGAGGTAGAAAGATGCTACGCTGGATGGTCCTAACAGCAGCAGCGCACATAGCGACAAGGTTATCTCGGGAAGACGCATCCTGGCAGCTATTCGAAAGATGATGGTCTACTTGCGCCGGATCTTCGGACTTTCGTCTTGGTGTCACCAGAATATGTCTTCTGCTTGAACTAATGTGTCGCGGAGTGTTTGTATGATGCAGTCAGTCCTAGGAGACGCGACAAGGACAAATGGACAGTAGTTGAACACGAGACAAAGGAGATGATCTCCTGAACAGTGAACACGACTGCCATGGCCTTGGTCTGGGGAGAGCTGCATGCCGGGCGCTTTGACCAGTGCCATAACGCGCCGTCGTCTATGAGCTAAGTTGTACAAGTTTGAATATCATGTCCTCGTTTGATAGAAGTGTGTGCTGCTGCTAAAATGCTGCCAACCTCTTCTGCAGTGCGCGGGGAATCGTAGGTGACTGCTGAAATGCCCCAAAGAAAAGTTAAAGGAAACGGAAGGAGAAACGCCCGAACTGATAAGTCAATCCATCCCCTTAGACCAGCCCATCGTACAGAGACAAGGCCGATACGATCGTCTCGTCGCGCTTCGAGCCCTCCTTGAACTCGGCCATATCCAGACTGCCGTTCTCGTCCTTGTCCATCATACGGAAGATCTTGCGCACTCTCTTCTCCGGTGTGTCTTCGTCTTCGGGCAGCTTGACCATTGATCCGACCTGTGTTGCAGTATTAGCTTTTGTCCATAACTCTTCCACCTCGATCCTTCTCACCATCTTGTAGATAGCTTCAACAATGGCCAGCATTTCGTCGTAGCTGATCTTTCCGTCTCCGTCAATGTCGTACAGTTGGAATGCCCAATCCAGCTTGTCCTCCATCTTGCCCCTGCTCGTTACGCTCAAGGCGCAGATGAACTCTTTGAAGTCGATTGAGCCCGACTTGTCTGCATCAAACACATTGAATACGTAGTCGGCGAAGGATGACGGGTCTCCGAACGGGAAGAACTGCTTATAGATCTTCTGGAACTCCTCCTTGGTGAGCATGCCCGAGGGACAATCCTTGAGGAAGCCTGCGTCGTGGTCAGCGCCATGGCTTTCATGTCTGAGATTCCAGCTCAGCCTCACCCTTGTACCATTGTTGTAATTCCTTCTTGTCGAAGTGGGTGGCCTTCTGGAGTTCGCCAAGCTCCTGTTGCGACAGCTTGCTTTGACTAGGATGCGGATGCAGCGTCAGCTTGTCTGTTCCCAGTGACATGTGTGATATCGGGCTGTGTGCTCCAAGCTCTTGCTCCAGATGGTGGATGGCTGTGCGTAGCGCCGTCGTGCGATGCAGTGCGTAGTCCATGTAGCTGTTGGATGTATGACGAGGAATGTGCTTGGGTCTTTGTCTGGCGTGGTTGGCGGTTGCGAGGAGGCCTGCGACGTCGTCTATCGGAGAGGTGCCATTGTTGTTGTCGTGGTCGTCGATGGAGTGCATTGTGTTGTTCAGGTGGATTGCGCTGACAGTTGACGAGTGAAGACAACGAATGCTTGTGGAGGCATCGAAGGGATTGGAGAAGGCATGGATCGGGGCGACGCAGAACGAACCATGACCAGAGAGTGAAGCAAACAACACGAGACAACGAGGGAGGGGCTGTTACTCACGACTTCCCCATTATGCGCCTTTGGAATGCTGATCGTTCGTCTGTTGCAGTGTAGGGTTTCTGGAAGCAGCGACTCTGGAATCACAGAAGTGAAAAAGGTAAATTTAGAGATGATGTTGGTTCAGAGAGGTTCGGAAAGTGTACATCAGGCCGTCGTGGTTGTATAGGGTGCTCTGACTAGCGCGGGCGCCGTGGGGCTTAGAGGTGGTGGCTGTGTGAGAGCAAGCCGCCATTCGCGAAAGAACTCACGGAGCCGCTCAGACTCGACTTCTCTCCCTCCCCACCCGTTTGACCACTGCCGAAGGTGCCATCGTCATTTCTCTAGCTCAGACACATGGACTTGCACAGAGCCTGCTTTTAATGCCTGTCCTCGTGCCTTGTTGCACCATATCCAACCTTCGCTCAGCCAATGGTCATCACGCCCCCAATTCTATCAACTTCTGATTCTTGCAGATAGCTTATCAACATGCACAATACTTTGACTTCCGTATACTCGAGTAGTGATCTTGGAAAGTGCCCGTTGAACGTGCTCTTACTGGGCATTACTTGGATACGGAATGATACGCTTTCTGATAGCTACATGCATGACGAGTTTAGTTTTCGAGAGTCTTCTTTGCTGACAAGCGACTGCGTGCAAGGCACACCAAGCAAAATGTATGAATTCGCACAAAATCCTATTTACGTGATCGCTGAAAACGCCATCGTCGAGAGATGGGCACGAACGTGAACAAAATACAGTCCTTGAGAGGTATAGACAGAAGAAAAGGAAGAGGGAAAGAGAAAAACTAATCGCTTGCAAAGGGAAATGGGAAAGGGAACAGATGAAACGCATATGCTCAATAACAATCGTCCAGAGTGCACTTCTCATCTCGCTCAATGTTGATGACGGAAGTCAAACTGTCCAAACTCGACATCCGGCAACCTGGGCTGTCGTGCAGGGCTATTACTTCGGTCTCTGCCTCCCATGCTGGCCGCGCCAGAGACAAGATTTTGTTGACTCTCGTCCCGCGAAAGTTCTGGTCTTCCTCCGTATCCGTATGGGCTCTCCGATCTCTTGGATAGAGGGTCGTAAGCGATCTTGGATTTTGTGGTCGTGCTGGTGAGCGAAGGTGAGACGAGGGGTGCCTTTTTGTATTCGGATACTTGCGATCCTGCACCCTTGTATTCGGTGAGTTGCGTGGGATCCATGAGAAGAGAGTTGCGGGCGTCCAGAGGAGTGAGGTCGTCAAGGTCGCGGTTCTTGAGTTTTTCTGATATCGTGTTAGTCATGATCTCGCAGAAGCAATTGTTTCCAAACTTACCAGCCTCCTTTCTTCTCTTGCGGTGAGGGTTGGCGCGGACACAGGTGATGATGGCATTGACAGCGATGAGAATCGCAAGCACACCAGTGAGGACGGATTGCACAACAATCAGAACAAGACCAGTGACAGTCTTGGTTGTCTGACTAATGCCCAGCTCCTCAACGAAGACGAGCACGCAAATCACCGAAATGACGCGGACGACCTGAATAGTAATGTTGATAACGTTGCCGCTCTTCAGGGTGTATGGTCTCGACCAGACGAGGAGGATGAGCAGAAGACACTCGATGGCGATTTGACCAATGGTCTGAATGAGTCCGTGACCGTTTGCTCCGGCAATCATGGCGTTTTTGGCGAAGGCGTAGACAATGGTGGGAATGAACAACCACCAGTAGCCCTTTTTGAAGTTTTCATAAAGGAAGGCGTACCTGACCCAAGTTTCCTTGTGTTCGTACAGCATGCTAGCATCACCATCCATCTTCTGATACTTCTTAGCCTTATGCCAGATAGTAAATGCGAAAAATCCGAGAATAAGAGTGAAAATAGCCCAAGTGACACCGGCGAGGACCTTGGCTGCCCAAGAGTCGCCGTTAGTGAATTGGTATACACAGTAAAGAGTCCAAACACCGTAGGCGAGCATGACCAAATTGGTAATCGTCTTTGCCAGACGCCACCAGTAACGCTTGCGGAAACTGTTCATGGATTTGGGAAGATTTCCCATAAGAGCCAAAGCTTCAAGAATGACCTTGGTGAGCAGGATACCGACGGTGATGACAGCAATGACAATTGCGAAGAAGAGCAAGATGGTCATGAAAGTGTTTCCTTGAGGAATGGAGAGCTTCTCCACATAAGCCTGGATGCCGTGAACGTAGTGCATAGGCTTGCTTTCGGTAGTGGTGCTGTTGCTAGAGTCGGATGAACCCTGACTGATGGCAGTGGTTCCGTTGACGCTAGCACTGAAGTCTCTAGCGTAGAGGAACATTGTGTCAAGGCCACGCCTGGTGAGATTGCTACCGGTGCTGGCATCAACCAAAGTGGAGTTCTGCAAGAAAGCATAGCTGTCGGTTGTCAAATCTCCACCAGTCATAGACCTGAAACTGTCGATTGTTTGTTGCATGCGGCCCCAGGGAATGAGACCAGTGCTGAAACCGAAGTTCTTCGCGAAACTGCTGTAGATAGTAGGGTACGTGACACTGAGCATGCCGTTCGTTGCGATGCCTTGGAACCAGCCAAAGGTTTCGCCAAACGTAGGACTCGGTGAAGCACCACCGACGTGGAAGCCACCAACGACAGCACCAAGAGCAGATATTCCCAGGGCGGCGCCAGCCATACCAGCAGCGACGTAGGTGACTGCTTGCACGTTCATCGATTTTCCATTGCTAACGGTTGATTGAACACAAGCAAGATCTTTGGTATCATCGTCGTCGGCAAAAAGTTCGAGCTTGGCTACGCCGTCCAAGTCTGGTACGTTGAAAGCGATCGAGGGGATTTGACTGGCGTATTCGGCAGGAATGGATTGGTTACCTTGGGCGGCGAAGCTACCGGCAGGAACTGGAGATTGGAGTTTAGCTTTGGTTGACAGAGATATCTTGGGAGAGAGGTTAATTACCAGGACAAAGTTGTTCAACATAGGTATCCGAGTCGCAAGGGTTGAAGGATTTCTCATAGACCTGTCTTCCGTACGCGGTAACCAAAATCTTGGCCTTGACTTTTTGTGATATGGAACTGCTTCCTGCTACATTGAAGACGACCTGGTTTGTCGATCGGTCGTATTGGATGTCCAAGGCTTGAACCTGAATGGTAGGGTCGCTTGAACAGAGACTGTATCCTTGAGTAGAGAGGATGTCACCACCCAACACTCTGGCCGGCAGAGCGCTGAGCAGCACGAGTGGCAAGCCCCATGAAATGCCCGAAGACCACATGGTCGTTGTGTGAAGAAGCGGTGCCTCTATATGCGATATCAAATTTCCAGGCTTTTAAAGTTTCAGGGGTTCGAGGACTGGTATGAGTCGCGATTAAGCTGGACGAGATAGATGTGTCCGGTGAAGAATTCGATGGATAGGTGTAACGAGTGTGAGTGAAGTTAGAGACAACTTCGACGGATAATCAAGAAGTGTTTTGGGCCAGTCGCCGAGCAAAGACGTTCGCGTTGTGTGTCGGCGGCGTAATAAGGGGCTGCGGCCTGTTGAAACGTGCTAAACGCGGGAGAAAGACGTTGTGTGTGTTTTGGAACAAGACACGAGAAGGAAGGTAAAAGTTAGGCGGAAAATATGCAAAAGAAAGAACGACGCAACAGAATGTTCGAGCAGTGGACAAAATAAATCAACGAGCGATAGGAAAGTGCAGGTGTGCAGCTGCAGAAAGCGAGCGAATGAGGTGAGATGAAGAGCGTGTGGCCATGTCCAGGGTGCTTTGCTAGCGTCGCACCTACCTTCTGCATGTGTGCACAGACTGCTCACTGGCATCGAGGCCTGACCATCGACCCGACTGTTCCTCTTGACCGTCTTGCGTGCATCGCCGCATGATTCCATTCCTCGACCTTTTCGTTGCTGTGCGTGGTTGTCGTGTGGCCACCAGTTCACAAAGTCTCTATGTTTACTTCAGAAAACGGTCCTGTTGCAGCACAACGACGCTGCGCCTTAAGCCACAAAACTGCCACCTTGCAAGGTCTAAGCGCCCTTGATACGAGCGACGTCTGCTTCCGATCAATCAATGGCTTGTCGTAGATAGAATGGAGTCCCCATTCGCTGCCTCGGTCTCAACCACCCCGTCAGACTCGTCACCCTTTCGTCCAGGATTCACCTAGTTACAGCCAACTTGTCTTCACCAGCTCTTGGCGAGAAGTATTGTATTCACATATGCCAATCTTGTTTGGCAGGTACGCAATCATTATCCGTGTGGGATTGGCTGATCATTAGCTGTTTCTAAATATTGACACATGCAAGCATCTCTATTTTCCTTTGGGAGGATTGCTTATTTACTTGTCAAAACTGCGGCCGTGTCCAACATAATCTGACGGCCTGTTGGAACTACCGATATCCTGGAGAGAAGAAAGCGGTCGATCATACGTGCAAAGTATTTCATCAGCGATTGTTTTTGATTGCAGGATCAACTATTCGACCGGCCTCACAGGCTCACACCAAGAGCATTCCAGACTTGCTGATCTAGCTCAGTGTATGCTGATCTGTCTTAGTTATTGTATGCCGCTCAACCCGAGGTGCCGACGTGGTCGGTGATCGAATACCGTGAACATGGTCGAGCTCCAGTCATGTGAGACGAAAATTATGGGGTATTATGAGAGGTCAAACATCCTCGAGTCCTTCTCTCTCATCCAACTTGCTTCGTACAGCGAGGGAATCTCCTCTCTTCTCTAACCTTCCGATGCATGTGCGGAAACCCTTCTTTACAATTTCTATGGACTTGGAATTGCCCAGACATATAGACATCATCATGCTTCCGTTGCACATCTACACCATCTTTTCTGTGTATTCTGATCTGTCTCGATTTGCGAAGTATGTTGTCAGAGCAGCAGGTTGCAAGTATACGATGCCTGTTGCTAGCGATTCCCACGCTGTCACTTTGCTTAAGATGCTTAGCGATACACATACTTGCCGGTGTAATAGGCTCGCTTACAGTTTGACCTGGCCCACACGACCTTACTAAAGACATGCTACGTCCGTGATTGAGGATATCTTCGCATCATGACAATGGCTGAGATCGTTGCTCGATTGTTGCTCCAGATTCCATTTAGGTAAGATTGATACTGTAAATGCAAATATTCATTATCTCTATATCAGTTCTGTCGAAAAAGAAAAATCCAGCCTCTCTATGCAAATTGAGGTCTTGACCCTACCACGCAGATAACTCCCCGCTCCCAAAGAAGAATATGACATATCATCTTATTTACAAGATGCTCCAGAAGACGGCAGCGGCGACAATGCCACTCCAGCCAGCGAATTTGGCGACGCTGCTGGCAGAGCCCTTGGGGATGTTGCCGGTCATGGCCTGGTTAAGGTAAACGGCACCAATGTCGGTGAGCTTGCCCTTCTCGGTCAACATAGCGGCGTTGGGTCCAACCTGTATAGAAATATTAGTGAACGATTTTCAGGTAATGCTGAAAAGTTTCAACTTACGTTAGAGACGGATGAACGGAAAGAACCAAAGTATGAGTATCTGCCCATGTAGTTGATGCGGTCAAGGTATTCGAAAGTAGTGTTGGCAAAGCTCTGGCTGGCCTCGAGAGTGCAACCTGCGCATGCGAATTCGGTAACCCAGATGGAACTGATGTTCTGGTATGTGCCGTTGACCTGACCCAAATGACTGGCCAGACCACCAAAGTCGCCGTACCAATGAGCAGGGATGAAATCGACCTCGCAAGATGTAGTGTTGGTGGCGTTGTTGTCAGAGCTGGCGGCAAGAATGGCACACTCGGAGAAGAAGTTCTGGAGCCAGACGAATCCGTTAGGGGCACCGGTGACTGCAGGAGCACCCAGCTTGATGCCGAAATCGCGCTTCAAAGGCTCCATCTGCTTCTTCCAGACTTGAGCGGCGGTTGCGGCGGTGACACAAGAGCCACCGCTGCTACCGTCGCAGCCATCGGGCTCGTTGAAGCCGAGAACGTAGCTGATGTTGTTTCCCTCCGATACCAAGTTCTTGACCGTGTTGTAGAAAGACATGTCGTTCTCTGGGTCCTCGGGTGCTCCCCACAGCATGGGGACGAACTCGAGCTTGCCATTGAAGTCTGATGTGGGAACAGAGCCATAGTTGTAGTACCATGTCCTGGTATGGTTAGTACGTTGTCTACAATATACGCTTTGTGGCATCATCTCTTACAAGTCGGAGTCGGTGGTCCAGATACTGTCGTCCTGTGGTGTCTTCGATGAAACGTAAACGAGTCCACGTTTGCTGGACGCAGCGGCCTCGACGAGAGGGGCGGCCAAAATAAGTGCCTGAGTGATGTAACGCATGGTGATATGTGTTGTATGATAGGATGCCGATAGATATAAGTGTTCCGGGGGTATCGTAGGGGTATAAAGATCCGAATATTACAAGCGACTTGGTCGATGGGGCGATTAATGCGTCAGAGGCGGTTTAATATACTAGAGCGAATGAATGGACGACTCGAGAAAAGTTGGAAGTTTGAGCGATAGAACCAGGCTTCCGGAAAATATATCGAGAGTCTGAAATATGGAAAAGAGCGAAAGGACGAGAGATGCAGGAGGGGAGGGAAGGAGAAAATATTCGCCAAACCTCAGACAATATTTCTCTTTCAGCTATCCAGGAGCGTTGGCGAGCCCATGCTAGAGCGCATCTGGGCTGCGTGGGAGAGTCAAAAACGGATTGACTCTCAACGTTATCAAGCCCGCCCACTCCCGGATCTGCAGCCTCCCGTTTGTTAGAAGCTATTTCCGGACTAGAAGGACTTGGCTTCTCAAATATGTACCTGACGATGACAACGACAAGATGGACTCCGTGGAAACCGGGTGACTTTCTAACTGATGACTCTCTGCAAGGTATCTCTAGTAGTTCGGCGCCAATGCTTGTCAGTCTTGCCTTTGTCGAGAGGCAGGAGTTTGGCTTCAGTCCGTATGCCCGGCGAGCCGTATCTCCTCCTTCCATCTGCATCATGGTTGAACTCTGGCGCGGCAGTCGGCATTTCCGCCTAACTTCCGTCAATAGCAACGGGCTTATGCAGGTCCTTCTTCTCGAACCACTGCGCAAGCCACGTTACGGGTGGGATATGAGTATGGCTGGCAGAGGTGGAAAGTAAGCATAGGTGGGCAGTCTTTCATTAGTGTCGTATAGTGCTGTCAAATGTCTATATTATATGGGATGGACAAAATGTTTCTCGAGGTAAATCGCCGCACTGCGTTTTGCCTTTCTTGCGAAATGCGACTTCGCTGAGGGTAACACCCTGGTATGTGTTGACGCTTCCATTATACACCCGTCAACAAGCTGAATGAACTCTCAAGCCATGAAGAATTTAAGTATCTGGATCAAAGAGACTCGGTGAAGTATTGAACTTGACGCGCGGCACAAACAAATGTGCAAAGTCGTGTTGAGACTTGCGATGTACGATCAAGGTAGAAATATACACTGAGCTCGACAAAGCGCATTGAAGGTTTCACCAGCAGCACAAGTCTCGACGACCACGTTCTGACAAGCATTTGACCATGACGCGTCCGCTTGTGCTTCAAAACGCACAATGTCTCTGAGATCGGCGGAGCCGTCCACTGAGATCAGTCCTTCAACAAGTCTCGAAACCTAGGTCGAGGCAGGTACGACGTAGTCTCTATATCCTTCGGTGCTGAACAAGACAACCACAGCTTCAGGATCTGGTAGCAACACGCCTCTCTTGTGAAGCTTCCTCAAAGCTGCCAACGGAGCCGCTCCACAAGGACCTGCGTTCACACCATGATTGTTCAGATAGAGAACATCTCGATGAGACTCGAGATCATTGACTACCACGGAGGCATAGACGCCGGTGCTCAGAGTTGGCCATGTATTAGTAGAGACGGTGCCGCAATTCATGCCTGGAAACATCAGTCCGGACATACTGGTACACGATCTCGAGGCCCTTACCATCCATGATCGTTGACCCTGTTTCGACTGAGACGATCTTCTTGTTGTGAAGACTTTCCATCAAGCAGGGTGCTGCTTCTGACTCGACAGTGACGATTTTGGTTGATGACCCATCCTCTGTGTAATGATTGACGACCGACTGAGCCCACGACCCAACACCGACAGACGCGATACACAGGTTTGGTCTTTTACCGCAGGTCTCCTCAAGCTGTCGATCAACCTCAGCATGCATAGTGGCATAACCTTCTACAACCCACTATTACACGTCAATGGCCTACACACAATCGACCCTCGTCAGCGGAGAAGCCTACCTTTGGCATCCTTTCGAAGCCCTCCCAAGAAGTGTCCATCACAAGCATTGACTTTGAGCTTTCTGACTCTTTCATGGCAGCTGCGATACTGTCGTCATAACTTCCATTGACCGCATTGACGATAGCGCCCTCATCGCGTAGTTTCGCTCGAGTTGCCTCATCCATAGTCTTGGGCACATGAATAGTGGCTTTGATACCCAAGTATTTGGCCGTGCGTGCGATGGCCCTGCCCCAATTACCATCTGTACAGGTAACGAGACTGATGCCCGCCTTCTGAGCCGCATGTCCGGCTTCTTCAAGAGACGAAGATGAAGGAAGACTCGTCTTTTCACATACGGCTCTGAAGACGCCCCAGGAAGCTCCTAAGATCTTGAATGAAGGCAAGCCAAATCTGAGGCTCTCATCTTTGACGTATACATGGCCGATACCCAGTTCTTGGGCTACTTGTGGAAGCTCTATCAGAGGAGTAGCCTTTGATTCTGGGAAGGCCTGGTGAAAAGCGATAAGGTCCGGGTCTATTGAAGCTCCCGTGGGAGGAGCATCCAAAGAGTTAGGATTGATGAAGATGTCATGCCTCTCGAAGACCTCGTCGCTCCCAAGTTGTCTGACTTTGAAAGTACTAGCGTTCGACATATCTTGAGATTCTGTTGCCTGGTAAAACACAAAGATCGTATGATGTGGTCGAATGCGAAGCTGGAAGCGTATCTGATACGGTCGGAGGCAGTGCTCTTGGCCTGCATGCTCTCATACGCTAAAGTTTGTCACTCGCACAGCTGTCGAAATGCAAAAGATATTCACAAAAAGATCTGTGTCCAGAGAGAGCATACCGAGTAGCCTCCTCCATAGATATTGTGCTCCTTTTGAGAAGCGTTGTGCGTTTTCGTGGACATGTCACAATTTAACGTTGCGATAGAAGAGAGAAGGTGACGAACTTTCAGGAAACAGTGTGCGGAGAAAGCACCGAGGTCGTGATGGAGTTTCTCTCCACACGAAAGTCTGTTTGACCGCCAAATGGGTCAGGTGGGTGTCATCATACTCGAACATGTGAAGATGGAGAAGCTCATTCGTGTGCCTTGGTCGGCGATTTTATCAGTTGCATGGGTGCTTTGAGTGACGTGAACAAGACGGGCAACGCGAGGCCGTATCAGAATGCCTGTTTCAGTAAGATCTTCTTCTCTTGCGAGCCACAGTGCATGCAACGGCTCATCTGTGGAGTTGGGAGCCGCAATCGAGAGTGGCTTCGAGGTATTGTTCGAAGCAGCAATTGATCAAATGCCCTATTCTCTGCGTTGATTCGTAGGCTACTCGTCGCAAACAGAAGTTCTGGTGAAAGAAAGAGTCGAGGATTGTTTTTTACTCAAAGCAGAGATCAGAGCAGGGATTGATATTGTGGAAAATGGCTGGACTGCGGATCAGCAAAGTGGACCCCCTAATCGATACGTACGGGGAAGAGTGCATCAGCCAGGGCCCAGGGGAAAGAAAGCAACAGCAAGAAGTCGGCCTCATACATCATCATCGTGCACTTTCTTATCCTTTGTCATCCCCACCTAGTCGCCATTGTCAGTCAATCCTTCGATAAACAGACAATGCTGGTCTAGTCGTCTTGTACATTGTCACTCGGAGCTTTTCACGCAGCTCCTGAACTAAGCAACCCCTTCGCCCGCTTATGCTTGCTCGCCCTTCACACGTGCTCACTCACTCCCGTCACGCGGCGATATAAACAGACCCCCTCCATCCACACACACACACACATCCGACCATGGATTCAGAAAGCTCGCAGGCGGGCTCAACGAGGCGACGAGGTTCATCGCTCGTCCAACAAATCATCAACGAAGAACGCATCGGCACCCGGAGGGCCAGCCCAAGAAGAATGCCTTCCGACATTCCCGAAGCCGTCCATGCCGAGTCACCACCCAAGTACGACGACGAAGACACAAACCCCGTCTCATCCGGCTCAGATTGGGAGATGGACGATATTCGATCAGACGAAGGTCTCGAAGATGACGAAGAGACGGGCTTGACAGCTCAGGATCGCCAGAAGAGAACCAAGCGAAAGGGACGGAATACTTTGGCTGATGAGAGGATCGTTCCGGATGGCGAGATCAGTAAAGAGGAGGAGCGTTTAGCTTCTGCGAGCTTCATGCGCAGTGCAATTATAAATGCGATATTGATAGGGCTGTGGTACACCTTCTCAATATCCATCTCCGTCGTAAGTTTCTTGTACTGCCAATCTCCTGATTCGGTGCTTACCTGTCGCTAGTACAACAAGTGGATGTTCTCAAAAGGGAACCTCGACTTCCATTTTCCCTTGTTCACCACCTGCGTACACATGCTCGTACAATTCTTCCTTTCCTCGCTTGTCCTATACTTTATCCCCAACCTGCGGCCGAAACACAAACCAGCCGACTATGCGCCAATTTCACAATCCGGAGACGGCGATGCAACAGAGGCGCCTCGAAAGCCGCTTATGACTGGCTGGTTCTACCTTACACGCATTGGACCTTGCGGCGCAGCTACTGGCTTGGACATTGGCCTCGGGAACATGTCTCTCAAGTTCATTTCCCTGACTTTCTACACCATGTGCAAATCATCCGTGCTGGGATTTGTGCTTGTCTTCGCCCTGCTCTTCCGCCTTGAGAAACCATCCTTGAAGGTCGGCGCTATCATCCTCACCATGATGGCTGGAGTGGTCATGATGGTTGCAGGAGAGACAGCTTTTAGCGTCCTGGGATTCGTCCTGGTTATGAGTGCAGCATTCTTCTCCGGTTTCCGCTGGAGTTTGACACAGATTCTGCTTTTACGCAGCCCGGCCACCAGCAATCCTTTTTCGTCAATCTTTTTTCTGGCACCTGTCATGTTTGTGGCACTGCTCGTAATAGCATTGCCAGTCGAGGGACCTATCGAGCTTGTTGGAGGCCTGCGCGAATTGGCAGAGTCCAGGGGCATCGCTGGATCTATTGGCATTATTCTTTTCCCCGGAGTACTCGCTTTCCTGATGACAGCATCGGAATTTGCGCTTCTCAAGCGCACCAGCGCAGTGACGTTGAGTGTATGCGGCATCTTTAAAGAAGTGTTGACAATATCAGCGGCTGGCTTGATCTTCCACGACAAGCTCACGACAATCAATATTTCTGGATTGGTAGTGACTATTGCCAGTATCGCAGCTTACAACGTTATGAAAATGCGAACGATGAGGGATGACTCAAAAAGAGAGGCGCACGAGCAGATGGCAGCCGAAGAGTCGAGACACTCGATCGAAGAGAGCAGCGGCAAAGCTAGCAAGGAACATACTAGGAAAGCAGGCACAGCAGGGGGGCTGATCAGGAACAGTATAAGTCTCAACATTGCTCCGTTACTGGAACAGAACAACAAAGACAGAGCGAGCCCTGTCAAGCGACCAGAAGACTTGGATTGAGCTAGTTTACTCGATATATCAGCCGCACAGGCTTCGAAATCTGTTTCATTTGTCCAAGTAAAGGTGTTTCAGGTGGTCTCGTTTTGATGTGAATCGAAGTTGCAAGTGAACAGATCCAGACAACGATAGAATATTCATTGAGACCGAACAAAGGATGATTAAACCCGAGAGATGCCAAGACTTTGGCAAGTGAGTCGGCTGTCGGCGCCGGTTGCGTCTTTAATCCATCAGTTGCCCTTTCTTTTCTTGCCCTTCCCAAGCTGTACCAGACGGATTATTGTTACACCATTCACTTGAAAGAGATCGCCTGTTTGCCTTGAGAAGATTCTTTGTCGAATATCAAGACACATCGCCGAGAAACCCGCGCCGTCGCACGACAGATTTGCATTCGGTTGCCACGCGGATCATCGTCAACAGCTCGAACGAGACAGAGACAGTCAACATGTCGGTCGAAGTAGCGACAGGAACGCCATTGGCAGAAGCTCTCCAGAACGCTGTGCAACCCAAGCTCGCCGAGGTTGGATGGAGCACCGGTGCCGCCGACGACTCAGCGCTGGCCGAGTACATCATCCTCATGCTCGTTAACGGCAAGACCCAAAACCAAATCGCCTCTGAACTATCAAACGACCTGCTCGGTCTTGGACCGGAAGATCCCAGCGCCAACGATTTCGCGACATGGTTATTCGATCAGGTCAACAGTCTGAACGCTCAACTCAATGGAGGTCAAGATGCGCAAATGGGTGCGGCGCAACCTGCCGATGTCACAACTACTCCCCGAGACCAAGCTGGCCAAGATCAGACCATGGGCGATGGAGGCGACTCGCTGCCTGAAGGCGCAATGTATGTCGCAACACGCCATGCTTGTATGACAAATTCACTAACCAGAGCTAGCCCTACCGGACCCAAGTCGATGCGCAATGGTGCTGGCAAGCAACAACGGGGTGGTCGTATGCTCGGACAGATGAACAAAGCCCTGGACCGAACAGGTGATGCTGCGCTACACAGGATAAGAGGTGGTGGTGGTGTCGGAAGAATCAACACACACAACAACCGTGAGCCTCCCAAGGGCCCTCGCAACATGGGCAACCGTATGCAGAACATGGGCCAGATGAACTCGCCCATGTCGCCGAACGCTGTCATGGGAGCCAACCCGCAACAACAGATGCAACTATTCAAGATGCTGGAAGAGCAGTCACGAATGATGGCTCAGATTCTCGGTCCCGGACAACAATTTCCCAATGCCCCTGCGATCAACCCTGCATTCTTCAACGGTCAGCAACAACAGCAACAGGGTCAGCAAGGAAAATCACTGTTTGAGCGTGTTGAGAAGCCGAGGAAAAACAGCAACTTCAAGAACAATCAGCGACCTAACGCAGGAGGAGACGACATGGAGACGGACGCTCCTGAGAACGCCGACTCTGAGCAAAAGGAACCATCAACCATCGCCTGCCGCTTCCAGCTCTCTTGCACAAACCCTTCATGTCACTTCGGTCACCAATCTCCCGCCGCACCTCCTGGTATCGCACTCGATCTCACCGACAAGTGCCCCTACGGCGCCGCTTGCACAAACAAGAAATGCGTCGCTTCCCACCCCTCGCCGGCGCAAAAACGCGCACACCTGTCCACCCAAGTGGATTGCAAATTCTACCCCAACTGCACCAACCCGAACTGCCCCTTCAAACATCCCACCACACCACCATGCAGGAACGGCGCCGATTGCCCTGAACGTGACTCTGGCTGCCAGTTCTCTCACAGCGACATCATGTGTCGCTACACACCTTGTTTGAACCCTAGTAAGTATCCGCCATTCCGCTGCTCTGTCGATTTTCCACGTACTAACAGCTCCGCTTTCCCAGACTGCCCGTACCGCCACAACGAAGGACAAAAGCGCAGTGCCAACTGGACGAATCCCAAACACGTCAGCGACCGTACTTTCGTCACCGATGCAGACGGCGATGAAGAGTTGATCATACCCGGCTCCAGCAGTGTCGAAGGAGTGGACGGTTCGCAAGTACAAGCACAGCAGCAACAACAACAAGCACAGCAGGCGCAAAAGCAAGGGCAGAACAACCAGGGTGATGCAGATGGCATTGCTTAGGAAGCAGATGTCCGTTGGCCCACCCCTTCGCCTTAGAGTTGCGAGTGCCCCGACACCGCGAAAAAAGCTTGGATCAAAAACAGAGAGGTCATCAGCACAACTTGTCAAGGATGCAGGCGTACGATAGAAAGAATGATATGGCGGTGGTTACTCGAGAACGTATGAAACCCTCGTTTCTTATTTGGCAGGAAGCAAACTTGGAGGATTACCGAGACATGGCAGTGAGAACTTGGAAGAAGGAATGGGAAGAAGGGCTTAGATGGAAAAACATGCTGGTGGTTGGTTGGTGAACTTCTTTCTCTCTCTTCAATTGCAAAAGGCAGAACAAAAAGGGCTTAATAGGCCTCCCTCTTCGTTGTCGGTGGATGCGTGGATGCATTCATCTTTTCTTTATCACTAAAACTCTTCTGCTCTCTTCTCTGCAAAATGTGGAAATAACTACACTTGACTGATGACCTTTTGAACATTTGACCTTAGTACACCATCTTGCAATATCCGTTTGGAAGTAGATTTTGATCGATCATGACGGTGCAATGTGGTGATTAATTAGTGGTGAAGTTGAAGGTTGTTTCCATCAATCTCTTCTTAGCTCAGTTGGTTTAGAGCGTCTGACTGTAATTGTTTGAATTGTCATCAGAAGGTCCTTTGTTCGACTCAGAGAGAGGAGATTTTCTTTTTGCCACGTTTGCCCTCCACCTCTTTCTCACCACAACGTCTTTGCTTTTCTCGTATTGTTCATTATTCTGTTTGAAGAGGTTTGCAATATCTCTTTTGCGCTTTTTGTTGCATGGTCAGAGTACATATCAATTCATGATTTTGGTTGTCTGGTTGTGTGGTTAGAAGAATTTCGCTTAGTTGTCACTCTGCTTGACGATGATGTGGGATTTTTCTGATTCGTGTTCATTTAGTTCTCTGTCTAAGTGCTTCTGATATGGAAAGCAATTTGGGTCTCGCCTTTCCATTGGCCATCTTTCTTGATCGTCCTCGTGGGTCTGTTCCTCCATGACCGATTTCAGCTTCCATTCGAAAGCAATCGATATCTGTGATAAGCCGTTCGCTCTGTCTATGGCGAGTTCGCTTTTTGCTCATTCTGTATTCCCATCCTTGCGCATCTTTATCCTCAGGGTTCTTGTTCACTGTGGGAAGAACCTCAATTCGTAATCCTCCCAGAGTCCATTTTCGAGCTCCATTGGTCCCGTCTGCAACTCATGCCCATGATCTTGTAGTATGTCGTCTGGAGTGAGGAATTCGACTGGATGAGGGAAACCTGTTGTCGGATCAAAGGCGAGAGGCTTGGTCAGGTTAATGAGCTTGAGACGTTTTAGGTGAGGCAGTTGACCCTTCAGGCGCGCAGCGAACGATGTCCACATTGTCGAAGATGGAGATAGCATGCCCATATGACGGAGTGTGAAACTTTGCAGCGTTCCCGACTGGCGCAATACGAACCGCGCTATGGCATCTCCATCGCTATTGCACCTTAGACTGCAAGCTCGAAGACTTTTTAAAGAAGTCTTTTCCAGCAAACTTTGCAGTGGAGAGGCCGTGAAGCGATCATATTGATAGTCAACCACACCAAGACTTTCCAGCTTTGGTGCGCAAGCCACAATGGATATTAGGAAGTCTGGAGAGCAAAGACTCTCCCGAAGGTGCTTCAAGTTGCGGAAGATCGATGTCGTAGGAAGAGTCCAGCCTTGACTGCCTGAGCTGTACATACTGTCAAGGACTGCCAGAGATTCTAGCGCGCGATCGACATCATGAACAGGCTTGAGAATGTCCCATAAGTCAAATCTTATGTAGTCCCAATATAATCTGTGTGAGAAACCTGTTCTCGTGGCAGGTGACGAGAAGATGTCTCGATAAAAGTGGTTTCTCTTCTCGATCAATCCACAAGCAATCCTGTTCTTCTCGGCCAGTGGTGCCCATTGCTCTATAATCTCGGGCTCGAAGTCGATGATGAGACTTCTTAATTTTGGACATTTCTGGAATGCGAGAGCGATACACTCCAGCATGAGCTTCTCCGTGGACCTTTTCGCTTGGGCGCGAGCCTGAATTTGGTATGACTTCCATTGTTCCCTTGATTAGTTAGTGGTGTGTGTGTTGCATATTCAGAAGACTCCTTACAGATTCTTTTCCCGACGCAAGATCCTTTCCGATCGAGCATCAATGTCCCCAGTCGTAATAGCTCTCGCTTCCACGGAACCTTGGTTGCCTGTTGACGCCGGACTAGGAGCTGCGAAGACAAGGGCCCAATGATCGTATCTCGGGCACTGCTTCAGACGACAGACATCGATAACCAGGGTGGTCACCTGCTGGCTAAGCTCCGGGTGGTTGACGATGTCCCGGACCTCCTGAAAGCTGTCCGGGTGATTGAGAAGAAAGATGCGCGGCAGAAGATAGCGGGAAGCGGCAGCAGCATAGTCCGTCGAGGTGAGTCTAAAAGACTTGAGATCTCTGGGCGTGAGATAACTGCAGACGCGTTGCTTGAGTTCGGGTGGTAGGGTGTCCATGTTGGCGCTGTGATGTATGCCGGAGGATAGACGTGCTTGTCGTAGATGATGGTATGTTGGTAGACGTGCAGAGGTTGAAGGATGTCGCGAAGAAGTGGAAGTGTGTTGGGAAGAGGTAAGAGTCTGTGAAGAAGAAGAAGTGGGAGTGTGTCGACAGAGGTTGAAGTGAGCTGAAAACAGGTTCAAGTGTCGGAGACGGAAGGTATCAAGTGTCGATAATGAAGAGGCGAAGGCACACCGCGTTGCGGTGAAGTAGACTTGCAACTGTGAAAGTAGTTCTGAAGTTGTCGTGATGATGTTGAAGGAAGTCAGAGGCGGGAGCCTGAGGATGAGTGAATTATCAAAGCGGCGCGCAGTTTGCTGAGCGTGTTGAAGAAAGAAGTGGAAGCTGTAGGAAGGTCGCGAGGTGATTTGCTTGTTGGTGGACAGATGAAGGTGAAGGTGAAGGCGATAGTGAAAGTGGAACTTGGCAAGTTCGTAGCTTCTTCAATTGTAGCTTGAGGCTCCGACGTTCTGCGAGTGAAGCAAATTTGAATCATCTGGAAGCTGAGGAGGGAGCGCCGCTTCATCGAGTGAACGCAACTTCTGTCACCAGTCACGATTTCGAGGACTTTGCTGTCGGGTTCCATACCTTTCCGCTTACTCTACGGAAAGAACCTCGATTACCTTGGTGGCCGACCTGTGATAGCCATTTCGATCGCCAAACTACTTTCTGCTTTTGTGAGAAGGTCATAAACATTTTACATTTTGTTGCCCGCCATCATTTCTTCCATGAGGCCAATCTCTATACTACATACCTAGCGCTCGTAACTTCTCTAAAGCGGCAGCTTCTTGTGCTTCCACTGTCTGCCACCAGAACCGTACATCGCAGCACCCTGTCCAGAGCCCTTGATTCTGTACTCGTGAATGCAAAGACCTTCCAGACCTACAGGTCCTCTAGCGTGAACCTTGTTCGTGCTGATGCCGACCTCGGTGCCAAAGCCAAAGCGCATACCATCTGACATTCTAGTACTGCAGTTCCAGAACTTGCAAGCACTGTCGACGCCATTGCAGAAGCGATCGGCGGTTTCTTCTGAGGATGTGAGGATGGCGTCTGTGTGGTGAGAGCCGTGCATGTTGATGTGCTCGACAGCGGCGTCGACGGCATCTAGCGGGTTCTCTGTTCTAGGAATGGTCTTGATGGCGAGGATGAGATCGAGGAACTCGGTATCGAAGTCGGTCTCGCCGGCTTCTTGCAGCATGGCGGCTTCGTGCTTGTCCAGCGTTTCCGAGAGTCCTGCTTTCGAGGCGGGATCGCAACGCAATGATACACCCTTTGCGAGCAGAGCTGATGCTACACCGGGCAGAATAGTCTTCAAAGCGTCCTCGTTGACGAGTAGCGATTCGAGAGAGTTGCAAGCTGCCGGGTAATCTGTCTTTGAGTCCACAATGACGCTGGCAGCCATCTCGGGCTCAGCATCAGGGTGAATGTAGTAGTGGCACAAACCATCAGCGTGACCAAGAACGGGCATGTGAGCCTCACGTTGACAGTGGCGGACGAGTTCGTTGGATCCACGAGGAATGACGAGATCGATGTACTGGCTGAGTTGAAGGAGGGGATCCACGGCATCTCTGGTGGTCACAAGTTGGATCGAGTCGTTGGGAACCTTCGTGCTCTCGAGTGCCTTGGAGATGACTGTGGAGATGATCTTGAATGATTCTGTCGACTCCTTGCCGCCTTTTTATGCTGTTAGCTTCGAACTTACAGACCTTCTTCGACAACGGTACGAACCCTTCAGAATAGCAGCGTTCGCTGACTTGATAGCCAAAGAAGCGATGTTTGCAATAACCTCAGGACGAGCCTCGAAGATGATCAACAAAACACCAATAGGACATGATTGCCGTTGCAAAATAAGTCCATCATCCAACTCTGTCCTCATATCCACCTTTCCAACTAAACAAAAAAAATCAGCAACTGGTCCCAAAAACCCGTCTTCAGATTCACAAGAATCGCAATTCTCATCAAAACCTGCATTTGCTCAGAACATACCAGGATCATCCAACCCCATCACATCCAAAATCCCCTTCAACATATCCTCAAATTTACCCGGCCTCGACAAATCCAACCTCTTCAAAATACTCTGACTCAATTCTCCGTCTTCCGCACTCTTGGTCGCGATTTCCAAATCCCTAGCATTGGCCGCCAAGATGTCTGATTTGGATGCAGAGAGAGCATCGTGAATGGATTGTAAAGCGAAGTTTCTGTCAGAGGTGCTGAGGATGGCGAGGGTGCGGGAGGAGAGTTTTGCTGCTTTGGCCGCTGAGGCCGGGGAGCCGTTTGTGAGGGACATTGTTGAGAAATTTGCCCTTAGGTTTATTGGTAAGGGGAGATATATTTTTGGTTGTTTCGAGCTGAGATCTTAGAGGGCTTGGTTGTCGAGTCACAGGTTTGCCAAGCATCTTGACTTTCGCTTTGTGTGGTTTTACGGGAAGCTTGACAGAAGTCTTGACATGTGGCCATGATATATGTCATAATATATGCATCAATGAGTTGCCAAAGGAATTGATGTTCGACTTGAATGGCTAAGGTGGACTTGACTAGTAATCAATAGATGTGATGGTGTCTGGTATGTGGGGATTGAACTGTGGTATTGGAAAAATCTCATAGCTTCATTACTGCGGTCGAACACTGTTTGGTTGACCTTCTTACTCTCCACTCCATGCTCTCGCTCTAGTCTCAAAGCCTCCATTGACCCAAGGATTACTTTTGCCAACCGTAGGTGTAAACACGCCTCTTTGGTCAACAGGACTAGAGATGGAGTTACTACTCTCCGACCTCGACATATCATCGCTCGGCCGTGATGAAGTAGTCTCGCTATCCTCGGTGACAAGCCTTACACCGGCATATTTGCGCTTTATAGCTTCTTCTCTTCTTTCTTTCTCGCCGCGTATGCCCTCGTTCTTTCTACGTTCGAGTTCGGCGACTAGGTTTTTGAAGTAGACTTCTGCGGCTACGGTCTGGCTGTATGCGAGGGGTGTCCAGTCGTAGGCGTTCTTGGCTGACGGGTCGGCACCGGCGGAGAGGAGGATACGGAGGGCTTTTAGGGAGCCCGAGGCGGAGGCGTGGTGGAGGGGTGTGTCGCCGTGGTTGTCGCGGCCGTCGGCAGGGGCGGGGTACTCGGGGTGGGATAATAGCAGGGATACTAGCGGTGTAGAGGCAGGGTTTAGGCATGCTAGAGCTAGCTGGAGATGAGAGTCAGCATGAGGTTCACTCATTGAGTAGAGACAAGCATGACATACCGCATCCAGGCCTGACTTGTTGGTGACGGGGATAGAGCGTGGGAAGCGGGCGGCTAGCAGAATGCCCACATCGACATTGCCGTGTCGCGCAGCCACCATCAACGGTGTATCCCAGTCGGTGTTGCGCGAGATCCCGGCGTCTTCATGTCCAGCGTCCACAAGGAGTTCCTACAATCACACAAAAGGTATTGGTCCATGCTCGTGTCACTGACAGTTTGGAAGCGCCGTTGGATGCGCCGGGTATAAGAAGTTCCTCACCACTATCTCTTCGAAGCCAGCTTGGGCTGCGAGGTGCAGACTCGTGTTGCTCTTGTCTTTGAAGTCCGGGTTCTGTAATATGCCAGGGTTGGAGCGTATGATGCGTTTGACCAGCAAAGCATCGGATAAGAGTATCGCCCTGCGTAGTCGACTTGATGCGTCTATCATCTTATTCCTGCGACTGCCGCTCAAACCATGGCGTCAAGATGTCCAACTGCCCGAGCCGGCATGTATTAGTTATGCTGGGTAAAACAAGCAGATAGGATGCTATGTCGCTAAGTGAGCGATCGATGTTGTCTTTGACTTTTGGCTTGTCTCGCGGCTCGCAGCCACAGCGACACGAGAAAACAAAGCGCGTCATCCTTCATCCTTCGGGTCCACCTCCATCACGTGCAATGCTTCTTCATTTCACCCATCACTCTGTGCATTTGACCATTTCACTTCTCAATACCATATACTGTAGAGAAACGTTGATAGCGTGCAGTAACGTCTATGAGCTTGGTAAGTTCAATCACAGTAAGATGGATTCTTCATTGACGTGGCTATATATACATAATCCGTTTCTCCGTGCACATAAACTACTAATACAAAATCGATTTCAATCGCTCTATTCAGAAACGGACTTCTCACGGGCAGGAGCTTCTGCAGCAGCTGCCTTTTCCTCGTCGGCTTGTTCAACCGACTTGGGCTTGGCAGTGTACTTTTCGAGCTCGTTCATTTCCTCTTCCGTGTCGTTGTACTTGCTGTAGATGACCCAGAAAAGGACACCGGCGACGAAGCAGGCAATGCAGAGACCGACGTACATCCAGAGGAGCTTAGGGTCGACTGCGGTGGGTGAAAGCGCGATTCCGAGGGCGGAACCAAATGCGCTGGTAAGGAGGAAAAGACTCATAATGAACGATTTCATGGAAGCAGGTGCCCTGTATGGTTGTTAGCATTTTCATGACCTTGATAACTAGGTAGGGATGTTAATACTTAGTAAAGGCGTATTCTAGACCAGTGATAGAGGCGAAGATCTCCGAGAGACCAATCAAGAGGTAGGCGGGAGCCTGAATGGCGACATGGACGTTGTTAGGGGCGTAGGTTCCATCGGGCAACAGGCCAGCTTCGCAAGCTCCGGGGGCGTCGTAACAGGGTCCAGTCTTGTAGATAAGCTTCTGCACACCAGCAGCGTAGGCCATAGCACCGGCGCCGAACATGAAGCCTAGGGTGATACGAGTGATAGGCTTCATCTGGAATCCGAGTTTACCAAGAGCAGGGTAGAACAAGTAGTCGATAATGGGGATGAAGATGATGATGGTGATGGGATCCCAATTCTGCATCAGATCGTTAGGGATACCATGCAGTTGCATCTGTCCAGCTTGAGAGATGAAGTTGTTAAGCATCTGTGAGTAAACAACCCAGTAGATAGGGAAAAAGCAGAACACCTTGCAGGCAACAAGAGCGCGCCTGACTTCTTCGACAAAGATGCCATCCCACTTCAAGTTGTACTTTTTGCCACCAACGAACTCCTCCTGGTACTCAGGTTTGGCGGCGTTCCAGTTGCCCTTGTTCATCAAGGTAATCCACGCGATCTTGCAAGCATTAGGGATGACTGATCCAGCTGGTGCACGGACCTTGTACTTGGATTTTCCAGCAACAAGAACAGCGAATCCGACCAAGAACATCAAGAAGGGGAGCAAATAAGCAGGCCAGAATCCAATGTTGGCCTCGAGCTCAGTAGTGGCAATAGACGATAGAGAACCGACATTGATCATCATGTAAAAGATCGAGTAGATTCTCTGGATTGTCTTTCCAGGGTCGACAATCACTCGCTCTCCGGATTTCAGCGTCTTGACAAACTGGCTGGTATTTTGGTATTGTTCGGCAATCAATGGCGAGACATTAGACTTAATACCACCAGTACCAAGTCCGATGATGATCATGGCGGTAATGAGGCCACCCAAAGAAGCGCCGTTCTCAATGGCGACAGGGAGCGATGTCAGGAACAGAATCAGGTTGCCTAGGATATAGATGAGGGCCGAGTAGAAGATAGTCCAGTACTTTCCAAGGTACTGGTCACTAACGACGGCACCAGCAATGGGTGTGACATAGCACCAAAATTGAAAAAAGTCTGTTAAGCCGGTAGCTCCTGTCTGTCCTAGGCCTATAGCTCCAGGTACTCTGCCCCCGTAGCTATTCTCGATGTAGTTTTGGAAGGGACCAGATAGACCGTAGTAGGTAAAGCGTTCGCAGAGTTCGATGATACAGATGATAAAGGCAGCCCAGGGAAGCTTATCGGAAACCTTTCGTAGTGTGCGTCTTTCTTCTTCGGTAGGCTCTTCGCCATCGGGGCTGAGGCTTGCGATTTCTCCTAGGTCCTCGTGGGGGTATTCGGGCTTAAATGGTTCGATACCACCAGCCATGTCCTTGTGCTCCTTGGTACGAGGTGCAACAGCAGTTGCGTGGAATCTTGAAGTATTGTCAGCAAGTGTCCATAATCCGATCTCCCAGGCTGTTGAGGTATCTCGGTGAACTAGACGTCAAAAGACAAGATGGTCTCTGAAGCAGGCACAGTGTCCAGAGAGAGCGTGAGTGGCTGCTTGGTCTCAGTAGACACGCGCTTAACAGTCAAAATCACCTTGCATTTTGATGGCTAGTTCGATGGCCTCTCTACGGTCAGGGATTTCGAGTCTGGTGCGATTTCTCCCCTTCCACCCGAGGTACCACTTGTGACACGACCCTCCAATGCTTGCATTAATGATCAAGAGAAACGTACTCAGCTGCAGGTGTTTCGTGATCCATGATTAGGATATCCGAATGTCAAGCAAATACAAGCAAAGAGGCGTCGGGCTAAGAAACGATAAAGAGCTACGAGGCGCGATGGGGGCGCTCACGTCCTTAATGAATACTTACAGCAGCGCTAAGACAAAAAATGCAACCCAGTGAGTAACCCTTTGATGACGGGTGTCTTTTGCACATCAATGCCCGTTAACGTGGTCCACCTACCTCCCTGACCGGGCCGGACGACGAACAGATTAGAATCCCGAGGGTTAGTCCATCTCTCGAACGGAGCCTATTGCAGTCTGTACTCGGTCGCGCTGGGGTAGGCAGAGGAACACGACCAATGGAGAGCCGGGAGTCGCGGTTAGCGGTGCGAGGGTCAGTTTCGCAGACGTAAAAGTTTCCCTCTCAGACACGAGCGACTACGTTCTGGAAAGTAAAATTGGTCCACACAACCGCATTGTCACGATTCCTGCCGACTCCCGTGAAGGTCCCGAAGGCAATTTTGTAGGCATCGGTGCTGGCCGACAACGTTTCGACACGCGAGACCTGGCGAGACGTTCGTAGAGATCCATTTATGATCGACTGTGCTCGGTAAAGTTGTCACTGGATTTCTTGCTTCTTCGACTTTCCGTTCAGCCTGTTCGGTTAGTATCACCAGCAAAGTTGCAACAATAAAATGTAACCTTTGAGGTCATCAAGTCATCGACAGCAAGACGTCGTCGAAAAGTCAGCCCTATGGTGTGTGCCAAGTCTTTGACCCAAGTCTTTTTGTATATTGGCAAATTGGCTAAGGCGAGCCATTACTAGAGAAAAATGCACCGTTTAGCAAGTCCACTCGAGCGCACCTCTTTCGAAGCGAGAAGAGGCCGTGGCTCGGAGCAGCGATGCCATAAATGCCTCTATCATGACTGCCGGATTGCGGCGAGCGTTGCCACCGTCGACGGTAAAGAGTGGTTGACACATCTGCCTACAGCTCCCTGTTTCAAGGGTCTAGGATGATAGGTGTCAAGGATTCGCAGTGAACAATCGCACAATGCACATCTCTAACGACGTAAGTTCATGAAAATCGATTACTGAAGTACAACAACTTTCTTGGTGGTTGTTAGAATTCCAAAAGTGCTGCTGATCAAAACCAGGCAACCCAAATTCCCCAAGGTTCTACACAACCCGTAGCAACAAGCGACTACCATGAGGGCTAATGTCCAGATCATGCGGCAATCTTAAGGACTGCTCGGCCGGGGAGTTTGCCTTGATCTAGCAACTGCAAGAAGCGATCCACGTCTTCCAGCGTTCCCTTTGTAAGTATGGGACGGACCAGGCCTCGGGCCGTGAAATCGAGAGCCTCTTCCACCTCCTTCAAAGTTCCGGTGACCGATCCAACGATATTCAGCCTCTTTAGAACTAGCGTCAGAGGTGATGCTCCAGCAATGATTGTCTCGTCTTTTGGCAGACCAACAGCTACGACGGTACCACCCGGACGGAGGAAGTTTGGAGCCGATCCGTATGCCTCCTTGGTTGCGGCGAAGACGATGACACCGTGGGCACCAAAGGTCGTGAGCTTCATCACCTCAGCGGCGACGTCCTTGCAGCTGAGGAAATCGATGTAGTGCTCAGCACCAAGCTGCTTACAGAGCTTGCCCTTGTCATCTCCACCATCAACCGCGATGATTCGCATGCCCTGTTGACTGGTTAGCGCCAACCAGAATCACACAATGGCGAGATTCTGACCATGGCTTTTGCGTATTGGACGGCGAGATGACCCAAACCACCACCTGCACCTGGCAATACAATCCATTGGCCGGGACGGACTGCACTTCGCTTACACGCAGTATAGGCCTAAGAAAGTCAGTGAATATCTTAGCGTCGAGGCTTCGAAAAGTCATACCGTCCTAAGCAAAGTCAGCATGGATCTTGAGGTGCCTGGCAAATGGCATGGAAGCGGTCATTCACAGCAACAAGACATCTCCAAGGTACAATACATCGTACGATGCGACGTAGCACCGTAAGCGATGACTGTCTAACGGAGACGCTTCTGCCTTTGCACATGACTGAATCGGAAAGAGATGACTTACACTCCACCGCAAAGGATTGGACCTGCCTCCTCGTCAGAAACGCCCTCTGGTAATCTTGTGGCATATCGAGCATCCGTCAAGCAGTATTCCTGGAAAGTGCCGGCGATTGAGAAGCCAGAATTCAGCTGTTTCGGGCATTGAAGCTCATCGGTTCCGTTTGTGCAGAACTCGCACTTCCTGCAGACGCTGGCAACCCATTTCACACCAGCACGATCTCCGACTTTCCACAGGTCCTTGACATCGTCGTGGACTGCGACAACCTCTCCGGCTCCCTCATGACCGGCAATGCCGTGAGTGTCCGGGGTCATGCGAAGTCCTTGGGTGGCCCACTCATCATAGATGAGCGACTTGTCGCTACCGCATAGGCCAGTCCAATTGATCTTGACAAGGATCTGTCCAGGAGCTGGCTCCGGAACCGAGATATCTTTGACTGGCGCTGTGGATGATTTTCCCTCCCCCTGTTTGACGGCAGCTTTTTGACTGGTAGGGAGTCCCATTGTTTCGGTTATGCAGTGCTTGGTAAGACTCGCACCTTGACCTTGTCATGCCAGACCTTATATACATCGTCGACACCTACCCCGCATCTCTCGCCCCGCATCTCTCCATTCGGTCCATGTTGCTGACCTTGGATGACCTTGGGAGGCCGGTAGTCGAAGTTGATATTATCGGGAGTCGTAATAGTGTCTTGTATGAAGGTCACGAGGGAGAGCGCGATAGACAGGGTCCTAAGGGATCGCGGGGTCGGTCGGGGTTGCGGAACGCTTGAACTCTCACCTTCTTGGCACCTCGTATCTCATGTCTGTCCGAGGCTCAGGCAGCGTCTCTTGCGACAGACTACCAAGCGCATGGGGCTTATTACACAATGCCTGTTATCTCTCCTTGCTTAGTAGATTCGGTATCCTTAGCTGTCATAAGATACGACAGTGTTGGAAGCTCAGAGAGGATCAGCTAGGAGCTCGAGGTGTTCGCGTTCTCACTGACATTCTTACGGCCTCTAGAAACTTCATGCATTTTGATAGCTGTTGGCTACATCATCACGACATCCGGTGCTTGATCCGATCGGTACACGGAGCCTCTCATGCACTTGGTGCTATACCCGAATTCCTTCTTGTAGTGCTTCGGATATGCCCAGGATCGACTCCGGCACCCAATGACGACCATGGCCTTCTGAACTGAGAAGGCCTTGTTATGAAGTTGTGATGTATTCGTCACTTCTGCTAACCATGATGTACGTAGCGCTCAAGACGGACTCTCGAAGGATCGATGTGATGAATTGATAAAGGGTAGATGTGTTGCTGCTCGTGCCACCCTGTCTCTCGATGCTCCATCGCCAGGTTGGCCTTCGAGCACCTTGTGACCACTTGACATTGAATTGTGCCTTCTTGAATCTGTGGAACAGTACTGTTATCAGGACACACGTTTCAAGGAGCATAGTTTCTAAGGAAGTGTGTTATGGAGCAATCGTGGCTATGGCTGTGGTTGCCTAACATGCCATCTGTTTGACGACAGGACACACAATTTGACTTTGCCATGTCTTTTTTCGAAACCATACAATCACAGCCACATGCGGGCTGCACTCGTACATTGAAAGCTCTTTCCAATAAAATGGACTGCGGTATCGTCATTGCACTATGCCAAGAGTCATGCAAGGAGAGCTCACTCAATCGTACTGCACGTCTTAGACCTAGGTTATATGACTTATAGGCAGCATGTCCTGCGCTGACTGCTCGCTGTTCCATACCTCATGCACTATTGATAGAGTTGTATACCCTTGTATAGGTAAAACAGAGACGCGTCTCCGTCGAAACTCAATTTCTGATGCGCAGCGCGCCATGTCCGACCCCGCCAGCCCCCGGCCTGCGGCGTGCCTATCTCTACTGACTCCTCGTCGTACGCACAATGAAACATAAATTCCAAGGTTTGGCAAGGGACCTTTGATGTCTCTCTTTCTTTACTCCCTGTCTTGATTGCTTCTACTGTATATAACCTGCTCTAATCTGGAGGACATCGTTGCCGTATCTGTTCCCAATCACTCTTCCACGATGTGGTCTTATCTACTGCTCAGTTTGTTTGCCGTCCAAATTCACGCGATATGGCCAATACCGTCGAGCTCGTCTATGGGAGAAGGTGCCTTGTTCTTGGACCGCAACGTCAAGTTCATCTATAATGGTGCCGCACAGGTAGCAGCGCCCCAGCCAGAGCAGATACCGTTCGAACATGACCTTAACAACTTCTCCTCGCAGTACGGAACCTACGGCCAAAAGAACGCTTCGTCGCAGAAGATAATCTCGACTGCTATCAAGACGACTACCCAGACACTGTTCGAACAGAACTTCGTCCCATGGAAATTCCATCCTCGTCACTCCGATTTCGAACCTGCGATGAATGCTTCATGCACCTATATCAAATCAATCCGTCTCGAACAGACTGATAGCGATCCGGCAAACGTAACGAAGCCTTTGGCCGGCGATATCGACGAGTCATACTCGCTGTTCATAACAAGTGAGGGCCAAGCCACCATCAGCGCGGCTTCTTCGGTTGGTATCGCTCACGGTCTGACAACCTTCACCCAATTGTTCTACAAACATTCCAGCGGATCCGTGTACACACCGTATGCTCCAGTAAATATCACAGATGCTCCAAAGTTCCAGCACCGAGGCCTTAATATGGATGTCTCTCGAACATGGTACGCGCCTGCTGATATTACTCGAATGATTGATGCCCTGGCATACAATAAGTTCAACCGTCTGCATCTTCATGTCACGGATGCCCAGTCTTGGCCACTTGAGATTCCAGCACTGCCTCTTCTTGCCGAAAAGGGCTCATACCGGGAAGGATTGACATACAGTCCGTCGACGATGGCACACATTCAGGACTATGGTGCCTCTCGAGGTGTCGAAGTGATCCTCGAGATTGATATGCCAGGCCACACTTCATCCATTGCCTACTCTTATCCAGAATTGATTGCTGCTTTCAACGAGAAAGACTGGTCGACATACGCTGCTGAGCCGCCATCTGGAACCTTGAAGTTGAACTCCTCAGCTGTGACCGATTTTCTGGACACACTTTTCGACGATCTGCTGCCTCGAGTTCTGCCATACTCTTCGTACTTCCATACCGGCGGTGATGAAGTCAATGTCAATGCCTACAACCTAGATGATACGGTGAGATCGAATGACACTGCGATCCTCCAGCCATTGATGCAGGCCTTTGTCGATAGAGCTCACGACAAGGTGCGAGCTGCTGGACTCACACCCATCGCGTGGGAAGAAATGCTCTTGACCTGGAACTTGACACTGGGACCTGACGTTATTGTTCAGACCTGGCAGAGCGACGAAGCTGTTGCACAGACCGTCAGCAAAGGTCACAAAGCGCTTGTTGGCAACTACAATTACTGGGTAAGTATCTCCAGCTTCAAGAGACGCTAAAGCCTCAAGCTAACCGACGATTGTTAGTATCTGGACTGTGGTCATGGTCAGTGGCTTGACTTTTACCCAGAGGTCGCTCAGAACTACTACCCCTTTTATGACTACTGCGCGCCACTACACAATTGGAGAATGATGTATGCGTACGACCCGCTGAGTGGCGTGCCTGCAAACCTGACACACCTCGTCCTGGGTGGAGAAGTGCACATCTGGAGTGAGCAAACCGACCCTGTGAACGTTGATAGACAGGTGTGGCCACGTGCCTGTGCAGCCGCCGAGGTTCTCTGGAGCGGCGCCAAAGATGAGCAAGGACAGAATCGCAGTCAGATCACGGCAAGTCCAAGATTGAGCGAGATGCGGGAGCGTTTGGTTGCGAGAGGTGTTGGCGCCGAGCCCATTCAGATGCCTTTTTGTACTCAGAATGGCACCCAATGCGCTCTGTGATTTGTTCGGTCGGATACCATAAATATGGTAGAGGTGAGGGGTAGTCTTCCCGTTCGCTAAAGTTTGTCACTCAAGCCGTAGTAGAAATGCACAATATTTTCCAGCCGCAGAGCTAGACCTTGAGAAAGAAAGTTGTGAAGTACTTTTGTTTGGATTCTGCAACAAATGCCCAGAAGAATTGTGTATTAGGAAGGATCAAACACTAGATGCTGCTGCCAGCAGAAGAACAGATCTGACAAACTTCCGTGATAGGAAGGAAGAATAGTTCGCCCTGCGATAGAGTGCGTGACGCAAGGAAAGAGCGACGTTCGATCTGCTAGGCCTAATTCGGTAGATCTTGCGACTCCAGGCCGCTCGGAAACTTTGTCGCCCGAGTCCACCAAAGACATCACTTTTGTATATCCTTCTGACCTTCTCGAGTACGTCGCCTATTATCGTATAAATACGTCCTATATCCCTTCGAATTACCCCGCGAAAAATAATATCAACAAGGCGAAACCCAATTGCGTCGAGTGCAATCGGTAGCAAATATGGCCGTAACTCGGCTCGACGCATCTTCTGACCACAGCTCGATCCTGATTGGCCTGGGCGGTCTTATACTTGTATTGCTTGTCGGACATATCTTTTCTAGAATTCAGGAGGAACGCAAGATTCGATCCCTTGGAGCTCATGCTCCTACTGTCAACTCATGGATACCCTTTGGTGTTGGGTTCATAGCCAGAACTCTCATTGACCAACGAAACCATGCCATGCTCGATGGATGGAAACGCATCTTCGCCAACAGTTCTGGCACCCATCCGTACACCCGTGAGATAAGAACCATAGGAATGAGAATCGTCTTGACGGCCGATGAGGAAAACATCAAGGCCATTCTTGCCACGCAATTCAATGATTACGGCAAGGGTACACAGTTCAACTACGAATGGCATGACTTTTTGGGAGATAGTAAGAAGCCCTGTTGTGGCACGGCAATGCTTGACTTACTGACGCATGACAGGTATCTTCACCACCGATGGCGAGAAATGGCATGCGTCGCGTCAACTCATCCGACCTCAATTTATCAAGGATCGCGTCTCTGACCTCGCAGTTTTCGAGAAACACTTGGACGTCCTTCTACCCATGCTCGGCGGCTCACAAGCTGGCCAGACTGTGGATGCCATGGATCTGTTCTTCAAGTTCACCCTGGACGCCAGCACTGCTTTCTTGCTGGGTCACAGCGTAAACAGCTTGGAAAACCCTCAGGACCGTTTCGCCGATGCTTTCGCCGTTGTCCAAAGTGTACAGTCTGTGATTGCTCGTTCCGGACCACTCAACCGATTCGTACCACGCAAGGCATTCTACGCTTCCCTTAAGATCATGGAAGAGTTCATGCAGCCTTTCATCGAACAGACTCTCCAATTCACACCGGAAGAGCTCGAGAAGAAGTCCAAGTCAGACGAAGGCTATAACTTTTTGTACGCGCTTGCTAGCTTCACGCGTGATCGCACTGTCTTGAGAGACCAATTGGCCGCTGTTCTGCTTGCTGGACGTGATACTACGGCATGCACCCTTTCTTGGATGTTCTCGGAGATCTCCAGAAGGCCGGACATTGTCGCCAAGCTCAGACGTGAGATTGAGGAACATGTCGGTATGGAAAACAAGCCTACCTACGCCAACTTGAAGAGCATGCGTTACCTTCAGCATGTTATCAACGAGACCCTGAGACTCTACCCTATTGTGCCTTTCAATGTCAGAGTCGCCTTGAAGGACACGACTTTACCGCGTGGCGGTGGTCCAGACGGCACCCAGCCGATCGGTATTCCTGGTAAGAAGTTCGCTCGTATTGCTCCAGGATCCATCGCTAACGCCTATATGCAGCCAACACGCCCATCGCATACTCGACTCTGTACCTGCAACGCCGTGAAGACATCTACCCGCCCACCTCTGAGAAATTCCCTCACTACCTCAGCTTTGAACCTGATCGATGGGATGGTTGGAACCCGAAGATGTGGACCTGTGAGTACTCAATTTTGTGATATCAAACAGACTCATGCTGATGATCATTGCAGACATTCCCTTCAACGGTGGACCACGTATCTGTATCGGTAAGTTGTCTTCGACATGATCACCATGCTCGAGTTAACACAATTCCCAGGCCAACAATTCGCTTTGACTGAAGTGGGATACACTGTCGTCCGCATCTTGCAAACCTATTCACGAATCGAATGCAAGATGACCGAGCTTCCCAAGCTGAAGACGGACATTGTGCTCCAGCCCTCTGACCCGCTCAACTTGGTTTTCCACCGAGACTAGAAGCCTCCGTCTAAGGCAACTCTGTCGTATCTTTCGAGATGCACCGATTCATGCTTGAGTCCTGTATTGGATAAGCCGAGCAATACTGTTCACGAACTTGAGAAGCCGAGCGAACCCATCACTGGTATTCCGTACGGTTCCAATATCTGGTTGATTGGTGGTCAAAGTCAGACCGGCGGAAGTGGGGAAAGGTCAATCGATGCTTGCGATGTTATCCGGCGTAATTCCAACGAGTCGATTTAGGGTCAGTATCTCGGTGACGAAATTGATAACGATCATTCTCTATACCTAACCAATGCATGAATTTATTGTTCTTCCAATCCCCGCACTACAGTCTGGGCGTGTCCGAGATGCAAGGTATGCTTATCCAGTACAGCCAATTTCCCTTCAAGACCCGGGTGAGCCTTCTCCTCTCCCAATCGGGAGTTTCACGACATTATTCCCACCATTTTCTTCACACTACCATCGATCTTCCAGATCCCTTTCGTTCGAACTTGGCCCGATTCCCCGGGTCACACCAATCCACCGATCCCACGTTTTGATCGATTGGTCTCTTCCCCAGGGGGCGCGCTGCTGCACCGTGTCACAAACGGCAGTGGCGAAGAAGATGTGTGTTCATCTGCATTTGTTTCCTGCACCCCGCATACACGCCTTGGAAGATGTGCATGCAGAATATCTCCATGTTTTTCTCTCCAACACGTCTGCCCACCGTTGCGCGTTCTGCCTACGGGTGTGTCTGTTTTTAAAACGTAGGTGCTTTGCATGGGGCTTTTACTATCCACTGATCATATACAGCAGCGAACGACGACAATAAATCAAGCCTACATGACTACGTGGAACAAACACGCATTGTAGGTTACAAGGTAAACATGACAGACGCGATTGGAGAAAAAATCAATTCGATGGCCAGATGGCTGGGAAGTGTTTAGGAAGTACGGTCCGATGGACCGGAGATACTGCGATACCTGGGATACATGCAAGCCAGCCAGCCACTGATGAACCACAGAGCCAAAGTTTCCAAAGAAGTTAGACGTGTTAAGGGGGTTGTTGTTACACTATTGCACTGTTGCACAAAGAATTGAAGGGGGAGGGAAGAATGCAAATATCCGATCTTTTGGTCTTTTGCAGCTGTATCTAGCCGTGTGAGAGATCAGAAGAACATATCCTCACTTCCAGGAAAGCAGAAGATCTAGTATTCGGATGATTAGTGTTTGATTGGGTAGTAATAAGAACAGGTTATCGGGAAACCATCAACCCTTAACTCTTGCATGTGAGTCGCTTTACTTGCTGAATTTATCCGGTGGGAATATCACCCGTGCTTCCTTCGACTCCCATGCTATCAAAGCAGTGTGTTGCGAATCCCAAACCCGTGGTTAGAGTAAATACCGCCAATTCGGGATCTTTGCTTTCCGCATCCGTAAACATCATTGATCACTTCCTTTGCATATTTAACAGTGGTCACTGCAGTACCATGATTTCGATAACAAGGAGTGTGGGGGTGATAGTGATAGAAAAAACAACACAGCACAGTTCTTTTATCGTTAGATCTCCAGCCAGTATCAGTCAAGCATGTACAAGAAAGTATGCAAGAGGGCTTTATCGCAGTATTGCTTCGATCAGAAATCTAGACACGGTCTATGTATGTAAGATAAACAAGCAATGCAGTGATTCGTTGGCTGTCCGATACGCAATATGTAACAACCAAAACATCCAGGGTGTGATCAATGATTGAAGCGACATAAAAGTTCCAGACACCGAAAACGATCGGCAATGCGCATAACTCACCCCCTGTCTATTCAGGAAAAACCAGAAGCCGTAAGCCGCAAAAGCCACAATATAAAAAAAAAACAGAACCGGAAAAGGAACAATTGCAGATGTGGAAGTTGCGGTCAAGAAGGAAGAAAAGAAAAAAGAAAAAAACCAATTACCAATTACCATTCGTTTGGGCGAAAGATGCAAGCACAAACCTATCAGCCCAGCCCTATCATATCAAAATGCCCATCATCCATTTAATCCAGACCTCCCCCGGAAAAATTCGCTTTCGCGAAGGAAGAGAACAAAGAAAATACGCGATACAAAAGATCCGGATAATTTCAATCATCATGCGAAAATGGTTGGATCGTGGAAGGAAACAGGAAAAGCCGTGGGTGGTGACACCTTGCTACTGTATCTGACACGCAACACACACATCTCCTCGATCCTGACATTTTTCAAGCCCTTTACTGTACACACATTATCCGGGGGTGTGATATGGAGACACCACTCTCTTACACTCATGCACCGCCGCTGATAAAAAACCGGATAGGATGTGTATGGGGTAGATTCTGCACTCACGTTTTACAGGAGTAGAGTTAGAGTAAAACCCGATGGACTGGTTCAAGGGACGGCGCGGGCGCGGCTTCTCCGGCCCAGTTTGATGCTAATGCATATCTACTGCATCAGGGCAAAGGGGAAGGCTTGCATGTGGTGTGGTGTGTGTGTGTGTGTGTGTGTGTGTGTGGTTCGTGTGCACCGATAGCAAAAAGGTACTTGTATCCGAGGAAAAGAGGCGACGGGTGTCAGCCATTCGTGGTGTGCAAGGGTGAGAACGGCGACCACCAGAAACACCGGTGTGCAATCATCCAGGAAAATGTGACGAGTGCGGTGGTGGAATGATGGCAGGGGGGGGCCAGGGATATTTATTCCTGGTCTTGTCTCCCTTCGCTCGTCGTGGGATTCTTTTTGTATCTGGTCTTTTTCATCTGCCATATTTCCCATCAAGGTTGCCAGTTTCATCACAACAAAGTCGAAAACACACACCTAGATATTCATCGACGTACATCAAAGCCAAACGACAACATCTCTCACATCACGATCAGAGCTTGATATCGCACCTTGTTGTCAGAAGCGATAAGCGACTCAACCAACCCCAGTGTTCTTCCTCAAGTCGACCATCGACAAACCATCGCACATATCTTAGTCAACATGACTCCCGCACATCCTCAAGCAGCCAGCCGTCCGCGCTTGATCTTGCGCTCCGACTCTTTCACACACGAAGACCTCAGCGCTGCATTTGCAGCATCAGCCTCGCAGCCACGCACCAAGGATCTGAAGATCCGCATCGCACAAAAGGACGAAACACCTGCTCCCCCACCATCACCCACCGAAGCCATCTCTTCTCATCGTCCTTAACTCATCACGGGCTGGCCCCAACATCTGGTCGCATACACATCATGTTCGATCCGAATTAATCACATCATCACCCGACAGAATGTTCGGAGTTATTGAGCTTAGTCTTGGAGAGGAGTGGTTCGGAGTTTCGAGGAGTACAACAGCAGCCGATAAGGCGACATATAAGCGGAGCTGATCAGGATGATTGTTTCTTTCCTTCTTGTTTGTTCCCGTCGGGTTCGACGCTAGTCCATGGCAGTCATTTGTGTTGGGAGTTTTGGGTCTAGGGACTTGAAAGTTTGTCCCGTTTTCCGCTTACTCAGAGATGACGAGAATGAAAATAAATGACAACATGTTGTCTCTCAAGCCTTGCGACCGCGAAGTTCGTAGATCTTCTCACGGAACTCGTCGAGTGTGACTTGTTTGTCATTGAGAGTGTCTTGCCTATCATTAGCGTGCTTCGAAGTAGGGTCGCTCAGGCCTGCGAATTCTGCAAGCTTTGGCACGTTGCCCAATTCCATGTCGCGGCTTGGTGGTGGTGTACCAAGCTTGATGGATTCGTCGACGATATCCATGTATTGTTGATCATGTAGTCTTGCATCAAACAACAGCTCGTTGATTGTCTTCCAGTTTTCGTATCGGAGTTCATCAAGCGGGAAACCTGTTGGACTCATGGCTGCGGGCTGTTTCTCTGCCTCAGGCTCTGGAGATGACTCAGGAAGAATCTCGAGAGCTGGAGTATCGGTCGTCATCTCATCGTAAACTGTACGGATATGTTGTTCCGGTACATTGGCGTACACGCCAGAGTGCTTGGCCAAAGATAAAGATAAGGGATCTTCATAGAAGTTGCGACCTGATTGCGCATTCTCAGCCATGTATTTGACGTCGCGCTGCAGTACTTCGATGACCTTCAGCAGTTCTGCTGTTGCCATCGTCGACTCTTGTGAGACATTCTGGTTCTCCTTCTGTAGCCTCGAGAAGTTCTCACCCTGAAGCGCGGTACTCATGCGGTCCAGAATGTGATGAGGCACAATGTGTTGGAAGTTGATCAGCTGTTGCTGTACGTATTCCGGGTCGTTGATGCGTCTAGCGGCGTTCAACAGATTCTGCCAGTCTACTAGTTCAAGAGCAGCGCCTGTGGCTATGCGATTGGCAACCAAGTCAGTCCATGCGGAGCGTATTGCTTCAGCGTCGTTCATGTCACCTGCGGCTGCTAAGATGGAACGAAGAGTGACTGTGTTGGGTTTGAGCCCAATGTGTTGCATGGTTTCAAGAGTCTGATCGAGGATATCCTTGCGTTTGCCTCGACCCGCAAGGTTAGCAATCATGGAGTTGAATGATGCAATGCCAGGAGGCGAATTCTGGGCGGCCCAAACACCGAACAGATCAGCGATCAGAGCACTTATGGCATCCGTGACAGGTCTCAATTGATCGGAGGACTTCTTGGTATAGACGTGGTCCTTCAAAGAGCCAGTAATGGCAATGACAAGTTCATTGAGAGACTTGTTGTTCAAAGCAGCACCGGAAGTGGTGTGAGCGTAGCAAGCCATTACCATCGCACGTAGAACAGCAGCATTCTCAGTGGGGCTAAGTGCAGCGACCTTTCTCATCCTAGTGAGAAGAATCTTCAGAGCATCATGACCAGGCGTGGCACCAGCTCGGCAAGCCAGGAAGAAGACTTTGTAGGCTTCGTCAAGAGGACGCTCCTGGACAAAGAGAGTGATGAAGCGCGAAGGAACATGAGTCGGGAAGAGCCTTAGAGTGGTGTCTAGAGTAAGATAGGCATTCTTAGCATCACCACGTAAGATGCGGGCGGTCAAGATGCCTTGCAGAAGAGCCCTTGGAATTCCTGATATGGCAGTGGGCTGAGAGCGATCGGCGATTACGGCATTGTGAGCAAGATGGTATTCAAGGAAGACACCAGGGAAGCGAGCAAGAGCCTTCTCATACAGGGCTTCGGTATCCTCAGCAGGACGACCTTGGAAAGCAAATAACTCGAGAGCAACACCGTATAGGTTGGCATTGACGTAGTCGTCGCCCTGCTTTAGCAGCCACGACCAGAAAGCATTGCCTTTTTCAAAAGCAGCCGACTCTTTGTAGAAACTCAGCAGATGCAAGTGGGCATCATAGCTGGGCGGCAAGACCTTTGCCTGGATGTCGAGCACCAGAAGATCGGCGAGATTTATTATTTCTGCAGGGATTCGGGTCTGACGAACAGACTGTGTAAGGAGCCTCAAGGCAGTGTGTAGAGCTTTTGCAATGTCTGCAACATCTTTTTCTCCAAGCGGAAGCTGATTGCGTAGAGCGTTATAGGCAGAGGCTATCTGCGAAATGTTGTTTGCCTGAATAGCGTCGCGAAAGAGTTCGGCGTGGCGGAGGAAGACAGGAGGGCGTTCGGCTTCGAGAGCGGCCTTCTTTCGCTTTCGGATGTGTTTGGGAGTTGTAGCGTAAGAGCGATCGGATGGTGAGAGAGAAAGAGCGGCGCAATGCTTTTCTAGTCGGGAAAGAGCTGGAGCAGCAGTTGGCCGAGCAGCTAGGGCGAGTCCATGTTTTGCAAGAGCGCCTGCCTTTTGCAGAATAGACGCGCGCAGCATCGAGTGTAGAATCCTCTTCTCTACCAGGCACAGGAAGATCCGGAAGCTTGAATATTTCTCTTGAACAAAATGTCCAATTAAATCTCGGAGGAGAGAAGCAACTCCGCAAGTTGCATGTGAAGGGCGCTCGCTTGGACTTGTCTTTGCAAAAGGCGTGGGACAGCTGTCAGGAACGCTTCGAAGCTCCCTGAATTGAGGCCACGACCCAACTGTATCAAACACCAGACACATCCAACAAGACTCGCCATTCCATACGTGAAGGACGAAACCAACCGCCCATCATGTCGCCCAACATGTCACTATTCTCGGTCAACGCCGTCCTGATCCTGGCCGCCGACGACTCGGCGCGCATCCTCGCCAAATACTACTCTCCCCCTCACGCTCCCGCAAATGCCGTCGGCAACGACTATCCCGGCGCAAACCCATATCCTCAACTCAAGGATCAAAAGGCTTTTGAGAAGGGTCTGTTGGAAAAGACGGCAAAGCAGAACAGCGACATTGTGCTCTACGACAACCGGGTTGTTGTTTTCAAGATGGAGAGCGATGTCATGCTCTATGTTGTTGGAGGTGCCGATGAGAATGAGATTCTGCTCTACTCGGTCGTTCTGGCTCTGCGCGACTCTCTCAACATCCTCCTGAAGTGCGTCATGCTACAACATTCGAGATGGGCCATGGGAACTAACACTTTGATTGCAGAAACTCTGTCGACAAGCGCACAATCATCGAGAACTACGACCTTGTGTCCCTGGCCATCGACGAGATCATCGACGACGGTATTGTGCTCGAGACGGATCCTGTCATCGTTGCGTCGCGTGTCAGCAAGCCCCCTGTGCAAGACATCAGCTCTGTCCAGGGCATTGAACTCTCAGAAGAAGGTCTGCTCAAGGCCTGGCAGTTTGGTAAGATGAAGCTGGGTGAGAGATTGCGGCAGGGTCTGTAAGGGCTGTAGCAACGACACAGCATCTGGCAAAAGGAGTTATAGGCGTTATACGGCGGCAGCATGAGAAGCGTCACGACCAATTATCGAATGCTTTTGGGGATATTTCAGTGGCCGGACTGAAGCTAGACGGACCAGACGATCAGAACGAGTCAGCTATTGACCATCAATTCATACTTTACAATCATGAAGTTATTCAACAAGACGGACCTTTTTCCTGTGGTGATGTCATGGGGACTTGTTGCGTCGTGCTTCTTCGGTGGGGCAGCAGTCCGTCGCCCTCTTGTCTCTCTTCTTGCAACACCCCAAAGACACAGATTGAGCAAATATGAAACAGCGATTCTCGTCCTTGGACGTCAAGGTAATCGCCCATGAGCTTTCATCCGCTCTTGTGAGCCTGCGCGTGTCCAACATCTACGACCTTTCATCGCGCATCTTCCTGTTCAAGTTCGCCAAACCCGAGCAGCGCGAACAGCTGATTATCGACTCTGGTTTCCGATGCCACCTTACAACCTTTGCTAGAGCCACGGCCGCTGCTCCCTCGCCCTTTATCGCTCGTCTGCGAAAGTACCTTCGTACCCGACGAGTCACGTCTGTCGCCCAGATCGGTACCGATCGCATCATCGACATTCAATTCTCCGACGGCCAATACCACCTGTTCCTCGAGTTCTACGCCGGCGGAAACATCGTCCTTACCGACAACGAACTCAACATCATCGCCCTCCTCAGAAATGTCGACGAAGGCGCCGAGCACGAGCGCTACCGCATAGGCCTCCAGTACAATCTTTCGCTGCGTCAAAACTACGAAGGCATCCCACCTTTGACCAAGGAAAGAGTTCGTGCTGGTCTGGAGAAGGCAATTGAGCGCCAGTCGCAAGACCAATCTGGAAAGAAGATCAAGAAGAAGCCTGGAGATGCTCTCCGCAAGGCCCTCGCTGTCTCCATCACTGAATTCCCTCCGGTAGTGCTTGATCACGTCTTTGAGGTTACTGGCTTCGACAAGACCGTTCAGCCTTCGGAGGTCCTTGAGAATGAAGACACGCTCGACAAACTCATGGCTGTCTTCGAAGAAGCCTCAAAGGTCCTTGCCGATATCACCGCCGCAGATACCGTCACTGGATACATCGTTTCGAAACGTAGCAAGAAGGCTGCTGCAGATGGCAGTGGAGACGGAAAGACCGATGAGGATAAGGCCAAGGGCTTGATGTACGATGACTTCCATCCATTCAAGCCCAAGCAGCTCGAAAACAATCCCGACAACGTCTTCCTGGAGTTCACCGGCTTCAACAAGACCGTCGACGAATTTTTCTCCTCCATAGAGGGCCAGAAGCTTGAGTCGAAGTTGTCCGAAAGAGAAGAGACGGCCAAGAAGAGACTCGAGGCTGCTCGTCAGGAACACGCCCGTCGCATTGGCTCTCTTCAACAGACACAGGAGCTCAATATCACCAAGGCCCAAGCGATTGAGGCCAACCTCGATCGTGTGGAAGAAGCTACTGCCGCTGTCAATGGCCTCATCGCCCAAGGTATGGACTGGGTCGAGATTGAGCGCTTGATTGAGATGGAGCAGAGTCGCAACAATGCTGTCGCCGAAATCATCAAGCTTCCCCTCAAGCTTGAGGAGAACACCGTGACCCTGCTATTATCTGATTACTCATATGAAGAGGAGGAAGAGATGGGCGACGTGACCGAAAGCGACAACTCCGACAGCGAAAGCGAGGACGAGGGCAAGAAGAAGTCGGCCAAGACAAGTCAGAAAGAAGACAAGCGTCTCACAGTCGACATTGATCTGAGTCTGTCAGGCTGGTCTAATGCTAGACAGTACTATGACCAGAAGCGCGTTGCCGCTACCAAGCAAGAAAAGACCGAGCAGGCTTCCACTAAAGCACTCAAGAGTACCGAACAAAGAATTCAAAACGACTTGAGGAAGGGTTTGAAGCAGGAGAAGGCAGTTCTTCGTCCCGTCCGTAAACAGCTCTGGTTCGAGAAGTTCATCTATTTCATCTCTTCTGACGGCTACCTGGTTCTGGGTGGCAAGGATGCTCAGCAGAATGAGCTTCTGTACCGTCGTCACCTGAAGAAGGGCGATATTTACGTTCACGCCGACCTTCACGGTGCTTCATCTGTCATCATCAAGAACAACCCAGGTCTAGCTGAGTTCGAGGTCCCTCCTTCCACTTTGTCGCAAGCCGGAAACTTGTCAGTCTGCACGTCGAGCGCATGGGACTCCAAGGCTGTCATGTCTGCCTGGTGGGTCAACGCTGACCAAGTGTCAAAGACTGCTCCTACTGGAGAGTATCTGACTACCGGTGGTTTCATGATCCGTGGCAAGAAGAACTTCCTTCCTCCCGCTCAGCTCCTTCTTGGCTTTGCTGTCATCTGGCAGATCAGTGAAGAGAGCAAAGCTAAGCATGTCAAGCACAGATTACAGAACGACGATGTCCGTGGAATGACTCAGGAAGCAAACTCCAAGGCAGCGGCCAATGACGAGTCTGACGACGACTTCCCGGATGCTGGAAAGGATGATGCCAGTGACGATGAGTTCCCTGATGTCAAGGAGGAGAACAAGGCCGAGGAGTCGGATGACGACGACGAGTCCCCCGAGACACAAAAGAATGATGACAACGCATCTGTTGCCAGCGAGGAAGCAAGGTCGCCTGAGGAGAGATCCAACCCTTTACAACCCAAGGGAGCACAACAGTCACGTAAGCAACCTTCAGAACTAGCAGAAGAGGATGCCTACCCAAGCGTCTCTGAGTCTGAGGGCGAAGAGGGGGCCGACGAGAAAGAGGACAACACCAAGGCCGAAGTCTCCGAGCCCGAACCCGAGCTCCCTCAGACTTCGGGCAAGAAGGCAGCAGCCAAGGCTAAAGCCGAAGCCGCCAAAGCTGCTTCGACCCAAGCAAAGCAAAACAAGCCTGTTCGCGGCAAACGCGGTAAGGCCAAGAAGGCAGCACAAAAATACGCCGATCAAGACGACGAAGACCGTCGCCTCGCCATGGAGATTCTTGGTTCCAAGGCCGCGGAAGAAAAGCGTCAAACCGAAGAAGAAGAGAAAGCCAAGAAAGCCGAATCAGCAGAAGCAGCCAAAGAACGCCGTCGCGCCCAACACGAAAAAGCACAACGTGAAGGCCTCGAGGCTGAGGAAATCCGTCGCTTGAATTTGGAAGAAGGCATTGAGGCTTTGGATGAGGAGGAAACCAGCGCTGTCACACAGCTTGATTCCTATGTCGGTACACCGTTACCTGGTGATGAACTCCTCGAAGCCATTCCTGTTTGTGCACCTTGGGCCGCATTGGCAAAGTACAAGTACAAGGTCAAGTTGCAGCCTGGTGCGCAGAAGAAGGGCAGAGCGATCCGCGAAATCATGGACACTTGGGCAAAGGCTGGTACTGTGACCAAGTGGGTTGACCAGTCTATGTCCGATGTCGAGCGCATCTGGCCCAGAGAACTCGAACTCATCAAAAATTGGAAAGACGTCGAGGTCATTGGTGTCTTGCCAGTCAGCAAGGTCAGAGTTATGATGAGTGGAGGTGCACATGGTAGCAGCAGTGGCGGACAGAAAGGCAAGGGCAAAGGAAGAGGAGGCAAAGGCTCTAAGAAGTCTCGATGAGTGTAAGTAGCCTTTCTAAATGCTAAAGTCTGTCATGCTTATAGCCGTTGATATGCGCGATGATATGGTTCTCAAATAAGAGTCGTGCCCATTGAGGGCGTATAAAGCAGCTTATCTCAGTGAACGAATCCAGATTAACGGGACCATCGTGCATCTATATAGCTTCATTGTCTTGCAGAACCGCCACAGGAGAACGAAAGTGACAGAACTTTGCGCGCGAGAAAAAGTAGGCACCGTGCTGAACCCCGTCACATTCAGTCAGCTCCAGCGACCACGCCGGAAGTATTCAGAGTGCAGAAACACACAACGTTTTTGAGACTGGTACAGTCGTCCGCAGGGACCATTTGGATATTGAGCTTCCCAGTAGAAGCTACTGCCAACGAGGCAACAATCGTGCAATTCAACAGAGGATATCCCTATCAAGAGGAAACTGCAGAGGTCTCACTTGCTCTGGACTTTCCTCACTGGGAAATTGAGTGCGTTCCATCACTTGTCGATAAACAACTGCGCCATTCTGTATTCTCCCGCTTTCACACATCACATCAATGCTGGTTATCTGATGCCTCACTGCTTCATTATAACTTACAAAGCCCTGTGCAATCATTTCATCTTTAACAGCTCTCAGTCCTGCCTTCTTCCTACAATAACAAGTCTACCTCTCCAAGCGCCATCGACTGGACATCTACAGCTTACAGTCTACGCCCTTGTCTAATCACTTACATACATCCGCCTTCGATCTCTCACGACCTCTCAAGGTCTCAACTCCTCAACCCGTATCTGCGCCAATCCATCAAACAACCAACGATGAACGCACACGGACGTGTCGGTCTCAATGACCTGCCGTTGGAGCTGCAACAGCGTATATGCCGCAATCTTCCAGGTCGCGATCTCAAGCAGCTTCGACTCGTCTCCAGACACTACGCGAGTGCAGCGGCCCGCGACCTTCCAATAATCATCCATCTCTTCGACGAACCGCAAAGTTGCCGCGACGCTTTGGAAATTGCACGTCACCCCGACCTGCACATTGCAGTCACTGCTGTGGCCGTCGATGTCTCGAGGATCAAGAATCATAAGTGCTTTAGTTCTTGGATCAGGAGTATTCCGTGGGGTGACTGGACATCGCAGAGGAGTGCAGAGGACCTCTAGAAATGGTACAAGATTCATCAAGAGTTGGCGTGCTACCAGGAAGATCCTTCATCTGCCACTGTTTTGCTCGAAACCTTGACCGAGTTGCTCTCTACTTGCCCCAGGCTCAGGGAAATAATCATCACCAACGTCTATGGCGCAGCCTTTGCATTACCTTATACACGCCAGAAGTGTTACACCAAGTTCTCCCCGTTCTTGGAGCCGTACAGCTCCAAGTCTCCAAGAAGCAGGTTTTCCCTCCAGCAGATCCTGAACTGTTTGGGGCCCTCTGAGAGTCTCACGTCGCTTACCGTCATGCCCGCCTGCTTCAACAATACCCCCGATGTACCTACCAACGTCTCTTCCGAGAACTTGGCATTCTTGGAGTCGCTTAAGTACTTTCAATGTCTGTCCCAAGAAGACAAAGCCTTTGCCGTGCTCCTTCCCATTCTGGCATCTGCTAAGCATCTTGCATGGCTCGCAGTCCGCGAATTTGCGCGCTACACACCTTCTCTATCTTTTCCATCTAGAACTGAACTTTTCGACACTATCCGTTCCGACAGCCTCGAATACATCAACGTAGACGGCTGCCAGGCCACCCCTGACTCTTTCCGGGACTTCCTTTTGCATCATGCACCTAACCTCAAGATAATCGGCACGAAGAAAACGAGGCTGGTCATACCCGCAGTCTCCATTGATGTGGCATGGAGGGATCTGGCTTCGGATCTGGCTGGCAGATTTCCCAAGCTGGATTACCTGGCTCTGGAACACCCTGACGCTGTCGGCCTACGTTTCAGCGGGTGGACGAGAGGACAAGTGTGTGATAGATTTAGACATACGGTCATGGGTAGGCTTGCTCAGGAAAGACCTATACTTGAGCTAGAAGAGGCCCTGAGGGACGAGTACAGAATCGAGGCCTAACATGTCTCATGTCCAGCCATACTCGCGAACACACCTAGAAATATCTGGCCTGCAGAAAGGCACAATATCCCTCAGATTGGTACAGTCGTCCGGAGAGAAGGCATCCATTATTACGCTCTCAGTGGAGGCCACCGACGATCTGACAGGGATCGTGCAATTCTGCAGCCTGCGAACATGGTAAGCCTGCGCAGGAGGGGAACGGTTTGAAGGAAAGATTGGGAAGAAGATGAGACGAACGAAGAGCCCGTAACCTCAAAACTTCATAGGGCAAAGAATTCAAAATTGGCTTTCCCAACCATGCTAGCGATCGAGTGGACACAGTGCAACGTTTTCTTTTCCTCACGTGAATATGTACATGGAGAGTACAGTATCAGAAAATCGTAACTGGACCTAGCTAATTCCAGCACAGCGAGTCTGTAATGTACTTATTTCTGTTTTCCGATATCTCGAGTATCGAGGTTCGTTGTGCTTTTAATTCAATATTGGGAGCGGGAGATTTTATTAAAGATTATCTCTCTGATAGATGTTGCTGGGGAGATATAAGTTTTAGGGTGGCATGGAGGGTTTGAGATGCAGTTGTGGTTACATTGAGAGTGTGGGAAGTCACGATATTTTTCTCGCCAGAGGAAGTGTTGGGTTTGGATGTTATTCTGCGCTATGATAGCAGACACAGGTATGTTTGTAGGAGAAGCATGATGGAGTTTTCCTGATCGTCGACACTGGTGTAGAGGGTTGTAGGATATACAGCCTTCTACAGTCAGGAAATTCTCAACAGACCAAGTCAGCTCAGAACAGATTCGTCTTTTGTGGCAGCATCGTGAAGGATGTAGACGAGAGCGGTGAGATGAATGCAGCGACAGTGTATATATCTATGACCAACTCCTTCATGCAAACATCGTGTAGAACTCTAAAGCTCATACATACCCTCCTCTGCCAAAACAGTTTGCGAACCTTGCTCTCCATGACCACGTCCACCTCTCTTCCCACCCTTCTCCCTTCCAACCAAAATCCAATTTTTGACGATAGCAGTACCGTCTTTAAGCCATGCTTGCTCCTCTTGGCTACAAGAACCGGGGTTGAGCACATAACATTCATTCTCCGGCTTGGGCAACACATCACTGGGCGTCCAACCATCCTCTCTCCCTTCAGTCCCGTAATCCGCAGAAACGGCGATTTCGCCAGTAGCGACATCCCTATTGAACAAACTGCGCATGAAAATCTCATATGCGGCTTGCGGCTGATAACTAGGTACCAAATGACCAGCCTGATAGACTCTGGTGAAGCTGAGATTGCCAAATTGTCTGACGAGCCCGCCTGAGGAAAAGGGTGATAGCACTAGAGGGGTATAGCCGGCCGAGGCGAAGGAGGAAGCGTTCGACCATGGGATGTGCAGGGATGATTGTTCGCCGCCGAGCCAATTGCAGGCGTAATCGCGGTCTCCGTACATCATTGCAACTTTGACGCCGTTGTCGAGGATATAAGCCAGATCTTCCAGGAGTCCGCCTTTGGAAATGTCGCCCGTGTGCGTGAAAGCTTCGTATACTGCCGGGGATACGGCGGTGAAATTCACGGGTACGCCTAGGGCTTGTTGCACCCATTGTTGGTTCAAATACCCCATGAGGTAGGTGGAAGGGAAGGGATCGGTGCCTTGGTGTGTTATGTCGAACCAGCCGAATTTCTGACTTTCTACATATGCGGCGATGGTCAGATTTCCTAGGTTTTCGGCTGCTTTGTAGCAGTAAGCGTTTGTGTTTTCCACATCGCCGTAGTCGTTGGGATCGGTTTCGAGTTGCAGTCTGCGGCATTCGCGGATTTGGTCGCGCAAGCCGTCTTTGCGGATGTATTCGTACTTGGCTTTGAAGTACTGTTCTTCGGTGAAACCTTGGATGCCGTAGGTGTTGGCGATGGGGAACTCGACATAAGCAGAAGCGGCATCTTCGGCGTCGATGCAGCCGTTGATTAGACCCAAAGTGTCGAGATGGAGGTAATGCGTGCCGGGGCCAGAGATTGATCCGTTGGCAATTAATTCATTCTGTGTCATGAATTTCTTGACAAAGGTAGGGCCATATCTTTAGATAGGATGTTAGCTCCAGGTTTTGTACAAGGGCTGGGTCTGAGTGAGCTTACCTTCCACCGTAAGACTCGGTGAACAGAGAGATCTTCTCATCATGAGGTTTGTATTGAGGGAACTCCTCAAACCAAGTCTGGGCAAAGTGCCAAAAGGCGACAGCCGCGTGCTGCGTGCTGTTGGCAGTAGCCGAGATGTTCTGGCTACTAGAAGTTCCAACCAAGAAAGTAGCGTTCTGGTCGGGAACACCTTCGCTGAAATCGCCAAGCTTGATGGCATCGGGGCCTTCATTGTCGGCAAGTAGGTTGACAGTGATGTTGGTGAGGACGTCGTATGAATAGCCGACCTGGTTAGGCTGGTCGATGTACAGAATGTTGACCTTTTGCGTGTCGTTAGCAGTGTGCTTTTAAGCCTGCCGGCCGTATCTCTTACCTCGTTGTTCCACGACCACGGGTTGAGGTGAGTACTATTGCTATCGCTGTTGACGAAACAGGGGCCGTTTTCTGAGAGTGCTCCCATCATGGAACTACCTCCGGGTCCACCATTGAGCCAAATCGACAGGGGTGCCTTGTGTGGGTCCTTGCGGGACTCGAAGAACCAGAAGAAGCTATGTTGTGTGAGTACATATATATACATCCTGTAGTCGATCTTACGTGTTGATAGGGTAGTCCTGTCTCTCATGGGTTTCATTGATGCTGTGGGGTGGGAGATGAACATATCCAGAAAAACTGCGAACACCTTCGGTAGTCTCGCAAACAGCGGGCTAGAGGAAGTATTAGCATCTGTGTCCTTGCAGAATGTGCGAAGTGGCCATTTGACAAAATCAATTGGGGTCGACATGGGTGCATACATACATCAACCTCCTTGTACGATATCTCAATACCTTGATGGAACTTCGACTTGACAGTCTTGACGTCCTCAGGCTTCGGCGGGAATTGGGCTACGGCGGACGAAGCCAGCAACGCGCCTGACAGCAAGGCAGAGTTTTTGAGCAACATCGTCACAACAGCAACTACACTTTTTGTGTATGTGCAATAGTAGACGGGGCTCGATGATGCCTTATGAAGCTATTGGAAATGCTGCGGCCTCAGTTCGTAATCCGGCTTTGGGCAATCCTTCGACGCTATACCTATCTTGGCAGGTGGCTGGTATGGATAGCGACTTCTCAATAATTGTTGCCTAAACACTATTGGTCTGTTTTCGAGGATGCCTAGGAGAGACAAGTAGTGATCTGTCGCGAGAACAGCATAATCGAGGTTATTCGATTGGATTTTGAGAGTAACAAGCGAAAGTTGAACCAAGTCAATCTTGCCGAAATAGCCACCCTGCTCCTTCTTCCCACAGTCTCTCAAGCAATGTGTGATGCTCAGTGTCGCCTCCAAGACTCGTAGCTGCAGACGGGATGTATCCTTCGAAATTAGGTACTTATACTTGGCGAATGCTTTCTTCTAGGCACCAAAACAATGCTTGACAAATATGATTGGGGAGATCAATTCGTCCCCTCCTACACTTCTTCCAAAACTCGAAGTCATCAACATTCAAATTCACGCTGCCTTTCAACCATTGTTGACCTCGCATCTTCTTGGAGACCTGTATCAAGATGACACCAGTCTCGTTCCACATCAAGATCTATTCCGACACCGTTTGTCCATGGGTCCTCGCATCCACCCACATCATACCAAACTACCAACCGACATCCCACGCAGTGCTACATCGGTCTCAAAACCTTAGAACAAGCAATAACACTCTACCAACGCACCTACCCCGGCGGTTCCAAAGATTTCTTCCACATAACCTGGTCACCTTTCTATCTAGACCCCTCAGCCCCTATCCCAGGCATCCTCGCAGAAACCCGCATAGCACAAAAAAACGGAGCCGATCGTGCAGAAGGGATTAAACTGCGACTTCGGCGTGTCGGGAAAGCTCATGGTATTGATTTCACTTTTGCTGGTAAAGTTGGGAATACGAGGGATTCGCATCGGTTGATGTATTTGGCTGGATTGAAGGGAGAGGATGTGCAGATGATGTTGGCAAAGGAGTTGTTCAAAGCGCATTTTGAAGGTGACGCTGATATTACTGATCATGTCGTTTTGATCAAGGCTGGAATTGCTGCTGGTATGGAGGAAAAAGTGGTCGTCGCATGGCTGGAGAGTGACAATGGAGGAGAAGAAGTGGATAGAGAGGCGCAAAAAGCCAGGGAGTCAGGAGTGAACTCAGTGCCAACGTTTGAGATTAACGGAAAGAGGCTCGAAGGTGCAGAAGATGTTTCGGCTTTCTATGAAGCGTTCAGTGAAATTAAAGAGACCCTATGCTGATGATAGGCGTCGATCGATAGATGTCATCGTGTCCATCATTAACTCATCTTATTCCTCGGCGCTTCATCTCTTCCTTCAATTCCAAAGATTCTTTCTTCAGCTGCTCATTGCTATAATCAGCCAGAATTTGCTTTCTGCTCTTCTCCTTCTCCATGTTTGAAGCTTTCACCGGACAACCTGCCCATGTGAATGCAGCATAGATATGCTTGCCAGGCATTCACTAGAAATGGACTATGACTTCTGTTTCGGCTTACGGATCATGAAATAGTCCACCACAGGCTCCGTACCGCCAAAGTCAGGGTACTCGAGAGAGAAAGTCTCAACAATCTCAAAGCCATGGTTCAGATATAGCTTCAAGCCCGCAGGAGATGCTGTGACATAGGTACTCAAATTATTGGCATCGGCCACTTCGAGACCGCGTTGCAATAGAGCACTGCCGACACCTTTTCTTTGATAGTGAGGTGCAGTCGATAGATAGTCCAGAGCTGTTTGTTGGATTAGTCCTCAGTCCAGACACACTTTAGCACAACACTCACTTAGGAAAGGACCATTGTCATGTACGATTTTCGCATCAATCTCTTCCAACGGCGTATTCCTCACCTCCATCAGATCCCACCTCAAGTGCTTAATCCTCCCCTCTTCGTCCGTAGCATCCTCAAACTTCTTCCGAAATTTCTCATCGTCTTCGATACTCGGCGATGGCACCCTAGCTTCCGGCCACGTCTTGAACTTGGGGTCTCGCAAATGCTCAGGCAATATCCATCTAGCCGTACCCACCACCTCTCCAGTAACGTGATCGACGGCCATTTGATGTCTTTTGCCTTGTCTGCGGGTTAGATTGTAGGGCAGACGTTGTGCTGTTTCCGAGACGACATGGTCTGCAGTGGTGCCGTCTTCGAAGAGGATTTTCCAATGAGGATCCACCCACCGAGAATCGGTCATTACTTTTGCCAATTCATTGGCCTTGGTGGGATCGGTGACTTGTATGGAGAAGGGCATGCTGGGTGGTGGTGACTCTAGGGGAGCTTTTGCAGCAGGAATGAGGTATTGAGATATGATGGTTAGTGCCTATGGTCTGTGTATGTCTGTACAATGTAGTAGGGACAGGGGGCCGCGCAATAATGCTGCTGCCTGGGACAAGCAAATTCGGAAGGACGTTGAGGAGGATGCGACTAAAGTGCGAGTGAGCAAGGGTTTGGCTTGACATGTTGACAGACGACGTGCGACGCTAGCACCTTCCTAAATTGGATACCGGTTTTGAGAGCTTCAGATCAAAAAAGGCACACCGCGAGACGAGCATCTGCTACCACAGTCAAAGGCTGCGAGTATATTATTTTTCGAGTTCAGGCGCCAATTGCAATATGCTGCATTAGATTTCGCGAGCAAAGCTGCATATCAAACCAACATAACACCTCTTCTAAAGCTTAGGTCCCTGCCTCTTCCTAACCCATTCCTCCACCGCCCTCACACCCGCATTAGCAACCTCCTCATCCTGCGCCGGCGTCCCCGTACTGACTCCCACAGCACCCACAACCTGTCCCTCAATCTTGATAGGAACACCACCTCCAATCAACATAAACCTACCCCCATTGGAATTATGAATACCATATGCGGGCCCTCCAGGCAAGAAGTTGGCATTCTTGTATGCAGAAGTGGGGAGACGGTGGCCTGCTGCTGTGAAGGCCTTGTCGATGGAAATGTTGATGGAAGTGAGTTTTGCGGTGGGTTGGCGGACGAAATGGAGGAGGTTTAATGTTGCGTCTACGATGGCGATGTTGAAGTCTGTTGGCAGCAGGAAGAGAAGTGAGTGGTTAGCCAATGATACCTTTTGGCGAATAAAGCGGATGGCAACGTGAAAGGTAGCAAAGTGCTTGCAAGAAAGGCATAATTATCATATTCACACACCAATGCCTATTTCCTGTGCCTTTTTCTGAGCGGCTGCCGAAGCTATCTCGGCGGCGCGCAAAGTGAGAACGGGCAATGAACGAGTTGCTGAATCTGAAGATGACATGATCGCTTTGTTTGATATGTTTCAATTGAATCACGATGGATAGGTAATCGTGTGCTTGTGGATGTTGATGTCGTTGGCTTTGGAGCATTGAGTTCCCCACCCGAGGAAGCGGCTGGTCCTCCGCTCGTCCTGTGCTTGTTCTTCATATGACTTCATGACTTTCACATGCCCGTCACCTCGTTCTCATGCAGGAACTGATGAACTGACGAAGCCCTAGAAGCAGAAGCAGAAGCAGAAGCATCACCGAGTTGGAGGGGTACCTGTCTGTTTGTACAGCTGTCACCTCACGGTTCCTACTTCGCGAACCATCCTCGATGAGTCCCACACGTGGTTCGATAAATGATAATTAAACGTCTGAGCGCAATTCAACGAGCGCGTGAGTGCGGAAATGAATCCGTGCTCCGATAACGGCACTTGGAAGAAGTCAGAATGGAGAGAAAAGTCAAGAGCACAGCAAGCAGAAGGAAAGGTTTTAGAGGTCGTGAAGAAATAACACACTCCTTTAAGGAGGTGCTGTGGTTGTAGTAGATTGTTGGTCTATCTTGAAAAAGAAGATAATCATTTCCCATGATAACAAAATGCCGTGAGTCTGGGATATTGTTGAATCATCGCCAAACGCCGACGCTAGATGCATGCATAGCACGTTACAGCCAACCCGAGTCTATGTTGAATACCCCCTTAACACATTGCCTCGAAGTCTGGCTGACCTGCGCTCCAAGAAAGAGTGAGCCGCAGGGTTTGATGTAGGTTCCCCTTCCCAAATAAATAACCGTTGAACGCCGTGCTTGCTGTCGACTCCACTCGCACAGAGCTTTACAGCAAGCTTTTTAGAAAAAAACACAAGGATCCGAACATGAAGTCAACCAATGACATGACATGCTTAGAACTTGAGCTCCTTGGGCTGCTCCCAGGTGAAGGTCTGGTCGCTAAAGTGACCGTTCTTGGCAGTGCGGTTGTAGATGGGGTTGGTGAGGTTAAGCTCCTTGACAATGACACCGGGACGGAGGTCGAAGTTCTTGCGGATGATCTCGACGAGCTCCTCGGAGGACTTCTCAGAGGTACCGTAGTGCTCAACGAAGAGGGAAAGGGGCTCGGCAACACCAATGGCGTACGAGAGCTGGACGAGGGCACGACGGGCGAGGCCAGCCTTGACGAGGGACTTGGCGATCCAGCGGGCGAGGTAGGCAGCGGAACGGTCGACCTTGGAGTAGTCCTTTCCGGAGAAGGCACCACCACCGTGGGCACCCCAACCACCGTAGGTGTCAACAATGATCTTACGGCCAGTAAGACCGGCATCACCCTGGGGACCACCAATGATGAAGAGACCTGAAGGCTGGATGTGGTAGATGGTCTTGTCATCCAAGTACTTGGCGGGGATGACCTTCTTGATGATCTTCTCAAGGATCTCCTTGCGGAGCTCCTCGGTGGTGATGTCGGGGCTGTGCTGGGCGGAAACAACGACGGTGTCGACGCGCTTGGGGATGACGGCACCGTTGTCGTGCTCGTACTCAACGGTGACCTGGGTCTTGGTGTCGGGTCTCAACCAGGGAAGAGAGCCGTCGTTTCTGGCGTTGGTCATGGCAGCGTTGAGCTTGTGAGCGAGCTGGATGGTGAGGGGAAGGAGCTCGGGGGTCTCGTCAGTGGCATAACCTGAGGAAGAAATTAGCGCGATTGTGAAAAGTGGCCTTTCAGGACAAACTCACCGAACATGATACCCTGGTCACCGGCACCGAGCTTCTCAAGAGCCTCCTCGTAGTGGAGACCCTGGGCAATGTCGGGCGACTGCTCCTCAATGGCAACAAGGACGTTGCAGGTCTTGTAGTCGAAACCCTTGTCGGAGCTGTCGTAACCAATGTCCTTGATGGCCTGACGGATGATCTTCTGGTAGTCGAGACGGGCCTTGGTGGTGATCTCACCGAAGACCATGATCATGCCGGTCTTGGTGGCAGTCTCGCAAGCAACCTTGGAGAGGGGGTCCTCTCTCAAGCAGGCATCGAGGACGGCGTCTGAGACCTGGTCGGCAATCTTGTCGGGGTGACCCTTTGAGGGCTGTCAGTACTGCGCGCTCGCTTACGAAGCTTCATCGGAGGATACACACCTCGCCGACGGACTCGGAAGTGAAGAGGAAGGTGTTACCCTTGATGTTACCGTTGGTGTGGACCATCTTGAATGTGAAGGTGGGGGAGGGGCACGAAAAAGATGCAGGTAGAAGGGAAGGGAGAGGAGTAGAGAAGGTCAATCGTCTAGGGGGGACAGATGACTCTTGTACTGAGGGGATGGCAGAAGAGAGAAGAGGGGAGACAGTGGAATGCGTTGAAAGAAAAGATAGTCCGTGTCGGGCTGGGGCAGCAGATGGGGCTAGAGACCAGATTGGATTTTGCGGCAGGATTTGCAGAAGCCAAATGCCGAACCCAACATGACGCGATTATCACCTCCTTGGCGCAAATTTCCCTGCGAGCGCGAACAATATCAACCCATTTTTTGAGAGCTCGAGACCTGCTGCTCAAAGAAATCATCAGCCACCTCCAGTCATGTCCAAATACGGTGTGTTGGCCATCGGTCCTGCTGGCGCCGGCAAGACGACCTTCTGCTCGGCCCTGATCGGTCACTTGCGCAACTCGCGTCGCTCATGTTTCTATATCAACCTCGACCCGGCTGCCGAGGAGTTTGTCTATGAGCCTGATCTCGACATCAGAGAGCTCATTACCCTCGAAGATGTCATGGAAGAAATGCATCTCGGCCCCAATGGCGGTCTGATTTACTGCTTTGAATTCCTTCTGGAAAACATGGACTTCATCACCGACCCGCTGGAAGAGGTGGGTGAAGAGTACCTGATCATTATCGATATGCCTGGTCAAATCGAGCTGTATACACATGTGCCAATTCTGCCCTCTCTCGTCAAAAACTTGACCAGAGGCAGCCTCAACGTCAACCTCTGCGCCGCCTACCTGCTGGAAGCCACCTTCGTCGTAGATCGCGCAAAGTTCTTTGCCGGAACCCTGAGTGCTATGAGTGCCATGCTCATGCTCGAGGTCCCCCACGTCAACATTCTGAGCAAGATGGATCTCGTCAAAGGCACCGTCGCAAAGAAAGACCTCAAACGTTTCATTGACCCCGATGTCAGCCTGCTCGACGAAGACCCGACCACTGGCCTGTACTACCAGGAAACCGACGACCCAGACGATGTTACAGACTCCCAAAGCGTTATGGCCGGTTCTTCATTCAACAAGCTGAACCGTGCTGTTGGTCAGCTCATCGATGACTTTGCCATGGTTTCCTTCCTCAAGCTCGACGCCCAAGACGAAGACAGTGTCGGCGCCGTCCTCTCCTACATCGATGACGCCATCCAGTTCCATGAAGCTCAGGAACCCAAGGAACCCATGGATGAAGCACAAGATCAAGAGATGGCTGAGATGGGTTGAGGTCAACGAGCTCGGACGATTGCACAATACAAGCCCAAGATGCCTCATCGACGCCCGCCCCACACCCAGCGTCCAGGACACCGGGCCATCAGACACTTCATCTCGTAACACAGAAGAGATACGGCCCGACCTTCGCCTTACGAACACAATCGGATTCAAGATTCGACTACTGGTTTCAGAGCGAAGCCTGACCAATGCTATACTCCTCTCACAGTACGCTCACATCAAGGGTGTACTTCTGGTTACACGCGGGAATTCAGGATACGGCATGGAAGTTAGACAAAGTCAAGAACTTCCCGAAGCCGAAGAAATCGAAGTCCAAGAGACGACATTCTCGACTGAACATAAAGAATCAAACACGAGTCAAACATCCATCTCCCACCCATCATTCTCTTCATGTTTCCTGTTGCTCTGTGTCATTTACCACGTTCCTGTTGACCCCGATCATGTACTCAGTTGCAAGGCAGCAAAATCAGACCAAAACTTCGGCTCATGTGATTCTCACCATCTACCTTCCTATTTCTGTTTCTGCTGACAGCACCTCCTGGTCGAAGAACGCTTCTAGAACCAACTGATGAGTTGTCCACATCCCTCTCCGACATCTACCGACTCACCCTGCGAGTGTTGCAAGGCGTAATACGTGTAGTCCTCTCACGTACCGGCCAAGCCTGTTTGTCTCTTGCGGCCATGTGGTGTCCGTGCTGTAGAAATGCACAAGTCGTATCCGGAACAAGCGTTGCGTAAGTGAAAGCGCGACAATGAATGTCTGTTCCACTGGATAGGAAAGCAAGTGACAAAGTCACTGGCTTGCTGAGTTTGGGTTGATCCACCTTTTCATATATATTATTAGCTTGTCATCTGAACTGCCACATGACAATACATACCTGCGAAAATATCGTTTCTGTAATTCATGGCGTAGGGGACTTCATTCCAATGCCGAAGACATGGTTTTCGTGGCCGACGGGCATCAAGCGGCCCATATCGCTCATGTCTTTTGTGTAGCATCCGTGGCAATCGAAGAGTTCAGGATTTGCTGGATTTGTTTGATCCTTATCTTGTGAGTCCGTCTGTTTCTCGGGATCCGTCGAGTTCCGCCTCCACCACAGTCTCCTTCTACGACGGCGTATCTTACAGGAAGCACAAGTATGTCGGACCACCTCAGGATACACGATTGGAGTATGAGTTTTCCACGTGAAAGCTCCGGGGTCAGGGCATCTGCGGACCAACCAGTTTCCTATCGCCAATCTCTGCTTGTAAGCGTGATTGTCACGATACTGCTGTTTTCTGCGAATGAGTTCACGTTGACGCCATTCAGGATCTCTGTATTTCGAGGCAAGAATTTCGCGGATTTGACGCACGCGACGTTCAAGTCTCTCAGGATCCTCTTTCTCCATTTTGTCGAGATAGTCATTGTTCTTCTGTCGGGACTTCTCGATGTTTTTGTGATACTGCTTGGATTTGGCTTCTCTCAATCTCTCTCTGTTTTCGAGATAGTATCTTGCGTTGTACTCTCTTCTCCATTGCTTCTTGTCATCATCGTAGTTCGATGAGGTCGAGGTGAAGCCATGCCAAAACGACTGGATGGCTGGAGCAGATCTGTAGCGAAAAACATGAAATGCGGACGCGGTCAGCCGATTGAGGGCAAACATGGTTGTATGTTGTGTCCCACACCTGGTTGTCGACTTTTGTAAAACAGTTCGATAACGGCTGAAAGAAAATGTGAAACAAAAGAGAAGAATTGGTATACCTAGCGAACAAGAAGTCAATCGGTCGAATTGGGAGGAGCGATGGAAACACGCCAAGACGGGTCGTTGCGCGCGTTTCTAGCAACCCTGACCTCCTATCGACTCCGTGTCTTTAACAAACCACATTTCTATACGTGTGATGCTACGATTTGGCGACTTCCAATCTCTTATCTACCAGCGTGTTCCGATGAGAGGTCAACAGCAGACAGACAAGCAAAGGTGCGGGGTCGTACTGCCCGATGTTGCATAATCACAAGTATCAATGTAGTGTTACACAGCCAAGGAAGTTTGACCGAGAGGTCTTCTTAAATCCTTGTCTTACCTACCTTCAGGTCTCGAAAATGACCCATCTTAGACAAAACTCTCACGGACAGGTCCCTACATCATGGCCCCAAACGATAGCATTCTGGTTGGAACGACTAATATATCGCAAGATCAGAGGTCTATCGATGCTCCACGCAGACCTTGGAGCCGAAGAAGGTGAGCAAAGATGCTCCGAGGACAGGCAGAGATAGCCATGCTGATTCAAACAAAGCTATTCTGGGACCTTGGGCTTTAATCTCTGTGCCTTCATTCTGCCTGCACTCTATGGAACACTCAGCAAACTTTGGGTCGCCAACATCGACTCCTCTATGGTTGTGACTACTGATGTCTACACCTATATCGGTGTGGTTGCCGAAGTCTTGAATGAAGGTCTCCCCAGGGCTTCCTGGCTGATCATCGGAGACAGAGCGAACAGATCCATTTCTGCAAGATACAGTCTTTCCTTCACTCTGATCATTATCCAAAGCATACTCGGATTGGTCATGTCGATCGCGTTTGTCGGTGCGGCAAGACAATTCGCCAGCGGTTTTGTGCCTATCTAGGTGCGAGCAGCGTCTCTGACCTATATCCGCATATCTGCATTCTCGGCTCTGTCGTCGGCCATCGAAACAGCTGTCTCTACTAGCACTAGAGCTCTCGATAAACCAGATGTGCCTTTGATCATATCGACAGTCAAATTCTTGATCAATATAGTTCTTGACCTCTTGATCATCTCCAAGGTCCATGTTGGCAACTTCACGCCAACAGTCAACATGCAAGCTGCTACACAATTGGCATGTAACATGGCTGCCGCCTTGTTTGGTCTTGCTTACTTCTGCTTCGTCACATTCAGGACAGATCGGCAGCGAGTAACGACACACCAATATGATCCCGTCAGACCGAGTCTCGCATGCTTGAAGACACTCGCAAGGCCTGGTGCATTGACTTTTGCGGAATCCGCTATCCGCAACGCTGTCTACCTTTGGCTGGTCAATGGCATCGTGGCAATGGGATCCGACTATGCCACTGCTTGGGGAGTCTTTTCTTCCATCAGATGGGGTCTCATCATGGTACCAGTCCAAGCACTCGAAGCAACCACACTAGCCTTTATCGGCCACTCATGGGGAGAGTGGAGGAAAGAAACCGGCACAGAAAGACGGCCAAGAGCATCACGAGACAAACTATACGAGATCATCCGACCAGCACTGTGGTCATGCCTCATGGCCTTGGCTATCGAAATACCTCTTTGTATCTTCATGTCAGAATACGGAGCCCGTCGCTTCGCCTTCTACCTCTCCGAATCACAAACCGTTTCTCAGATCACCGCGAAGATGTGGAGGACCATCGATTGGTGCTATATCTTCTACGCTCTCTCCACACAGTTGGCTGCCATCCTCCTAGCTACCAGACCTCGATGGTATCTCTACCAGAGTTTGATCTCGAACCTACTCTGGGTCATGCCCTGGGCTATCGTGGTGAGCAAAGCACACATCACGCCTGAGGATGCATGGACATACCACTCAATCGTGTTCGGTGGATCTCTTGTCTTCAGCTTCTTTGATGTCTTGGTCGTTGATCTCGTGTGGGCGTGGGCATTACTGAGAGGTACAATGCGTCTGCCGGCAATTTACTGACGTTCGTTTTCTCTAAATTCCCCTAGATATCGTTGTGTAAACTCGCTTCAGAGTTGAGAGATATTGTAGCAAGACATCGACCAACGTGACTTAATACAGAATTGCCTGATTGTCTTAACTATCGCCTTTATAGGAAGGCAATACATTAATTCCTGCGAGTTTGAAGTTGGAGGTTGGTGTGAAAGCTACCTAATCGGTTGGTGAAAACAAACTACTGGCAGTGGCCATCATGCCATATCGTACTCTTCTCATCAGTGACGACTTTGATTCTCAAATTCAATAGATCCCATCACACAAGATTAAAACACATCATGGAACATTCTCCGCAACCGGTCTTCAGTGCATCATCCGATAACCAATAGGACCACACCAATCAGGATTTTCTCAACCCAAGTGCGATAAACATGCAACTGTGCCTCCTTGTCCATATGCACGCATCGAGTTCGAGACAAGAGGGAAAGCTCGGCTCTATGCAACATCTCAATACACGAGATCATCATCAGTTTATCCTTTTTCCTACTTCACTTCTTCCCTTGCTCTACCACAACGCAGAAACTGCATCTTCCCTCCAGTAATCATGAGTCAGCCGTCAGAGCGACAAGCTACCAACTACAAAGATAAACATGAACATATCGAGCAAGGTATCTCAATCTTTATCATTGAGGTGGTTCTTTTCCAGCACTGATTTCTCTGCAGTCAAGTATCCCGACGGCACTGGTATCAGTTACAGCTTCAAATACAATGATTCAAAACAGGGTGAGAGATATGACTTGTGGTTCCTGCTACAAAGCTCACGATCACAGATGTTGAGAAGCAAGACATATCAGCAGTGAAAGACCAGAAAAAGGCGTGAAATGCCTGGCCCAAGATCGGAAGGGGTGCTGCCATCAACATAAATCCATCAGTAAAGAACAAACTCCCTGCTTTCTTTAGAAAGTGACAAGCTCTAGAAAAACAAGGGAAGAAGAAAGGAGCGATGCACCAGTCGTTGTTTCCTCTGTTGCCACATTCTCTTGATCGTTCCTTTCCTAATCCGAGGGCCATATCGCTCTATTCCTGTATCTTCGTCTCTTTTCTGTTCACAACAGAGGATTCTAACGTGTAACGACGACACGACCTATATAACATTCTCTCTTTCCCCCCAACGAACTTGAGAAAGAGACTATAAACATTGTGATCAAGGTCAAAAAGGGGCAAGAACAATCAATATAACCCAAACGTAAGAAAAGGAAGGAACACTCTCAACACGAGAAGTTGGCAACAGAACCAAAGCCCAAAAGTGATGAATTTTCAGAATGGCGACCGAGGCGGAAAGAAAATCGCACCTCGCTATATGAGTTATACAGCCTTTGCGACTTTCTAAACGTAAACGTATTCAACCGAACAACCATCATCGGTGGAAGAAGGAGCAGCTTCGCTTGCAGAGGTCGAAACAGCAGCAACCGTTGAAGAGCTAGCTACAGCAGTGGTCTCGGCAGCAGCGACGCTCGAGCTGGGTATGGTGGGGCGGATCATAGTCTGCAGAGTAGTAGGAGCAGCGCTGGAGGAGCTGGAGACAGCAGCGACGGATGAAGGTGCAGCCATAGATGAAGGAGCAGCGGAAGGTGAAGTCTCAACAACTGCAGCGGAAGAAGTGGTTTTCACAACAGCAGCCTGAGAAGAAATAGCAGCAGCGGACGACGAAGAAGCAGGAGCAGCAGAAGACGTAGTAGCAGGAGCAACAGACGACTCAGCAACAGCCGAAGACGCCTTGGAAGGAGTTGCGGCATCGCCACCAGGCCCAGAGACAGAAGTAGTAAGCTCGCCATCCTCAATGTAAACACTGCTGAAGAACCAGTCCTCCTTTGTCTGAGAAAATTTCAACACGCCAACGTGCCAATCAGCACCGTCAGAAGCAACAGCAGCACTCAAAGGCCCTGCCTTGGAAACCAACTCATCAGCGCCAGTGGAGTGGTAGAATTCCACAGTCTTGGCGTCGAAGTCGATACCATAGGCGACGTTGTGCCACACATCGGCGTCAAAGTCCATGTCGAATTGAGATTTGCCATCGGTCATCCATTGGAGCTTGCCATCGCTGCCGTCAACACCGTACTTCAGCTCGGTAAAGTGGGATTCGAAGAAGGCGACTTGGTGCTCGGCAGTAGCGTCGGGTGCATTCTCAGCAGCACGCTTAAGACTGAAGTGGTAGAATTTCTTGCCCTTGTTGATGGCGGCCTTGGTGGAAGGGATCAGCTCGGTGCGCATCATGGTTTGGCCGTTCCATGAAGAGGTGCCGTCAACAGTGATACGAGCACCGTCCGAGGAGGACTTGTCGGCAGGGTTGACATAGTCGGGGCTGATGTTGACGTAGTCGGTGGTTGCACCAGATCCGTGGATGTAGTACTGGTAAGCACCGACTTGATTCTCCCAAGACCACTTGCCAATCTCTGCAGCAGAGGTCTCGGTGAAACGACCATCCCAGATAATCTCAGCCATGCTAGATCCGGCCAGCAAGGCAGTGGTGAGGGCAATTGTGTTGAAGAACATGGTTAAATGAATGGGATTACGAGATCAACCCGTAAGCAAAAGAATGTGAGGAATGTGACGAAGAAAAGAGGACGAAGATGCAGTGATCGAGACTTGCTCGAGAAAGAAGGTGGCGGTGGTGGAGGGATACCGCCTTATAACACACAAGCAAACCTTTCACGCCGCTTACAGTTTCAATCTATCCACCGGCTAGATTGTGGTTCCGGTCAGGCCATGAGATTTGGCATTTGTAGAGTTTCTTGCAGTACGAGATGAAGGGGTTGACAGGAAGCGTTTAGCGATGTCGAAAGAAGCTCGAGATCTGCCCCGCAGTGGTTTCGCATCAGATAGATTGTTCTACCTGCACGCACCAAAGAAACGACTTTCGAGGAGTTGTTTCTTCACATGTTCAAGGAATCTTCACACACGGTATTGTCAACAAGATACGAGGTCGAGTTTTTCTGGTATTGTTTCCATAGTCAAGGCGACCTGTGGTGATGGCAGACAGTATTGTAGACATGGAAATTTGAGGTTGGGAGTTTGCCAAGACTTACTATAGACAGCTAGAAAGAAACGCTGCAATCTGAAACGCAGCAGCAGAGCCGAACTGTTCCATGACAAGGTGCTGGTCAGCGAGCAAGCCAACCCTGCAAAGCTACTTTGCGTGAGAGTTGAATGGCGGGCATTCTGATATATCAGGTAAATCCTCCTTTTCCTCCAGTCTCAAGTGGTAGTTCTGTTTGTATGTCGTGTCTCATAATTACTGGAAGGCTGGAGATTGTGCTAGCGTCCACATGTTTTCCATCTTATACCTGCTAAGCACATCCTTTGCTTCGCCATCGGTCTCGCAGGCCTTATACGGCATCCAGCGCTTGAAGGCACGCTGTTTTTCCTCGCCTTCAAAGACAAGCTGACACCTGTTGAACGTGTTGTCTTTGAGTTTGCCATCCTCGTCAAACGCATTAAGCCATGCAGCATTAGCCTCTTGGTTTCCCTCACGGACGCTTTGAGGCATGGCGTTTTCTGTCCATTTTACGCGATTGAGCATGAGCTTCTTGTAGGCATTGACACTGTGGGTACCGCCTTCGACGATGACCAAATTCATCTTAGGATGGAAGATTGTGATACCAGTCAAGGCCTGTTGCTCGGCGTTCTTGTTGATTTGGAAGCGGTGCTTTCCGTAACTCAAGTTGTCGATCCTGAATACCAGGACCCTCATGCCAAGTGTAGCATCAGCTTCTTGCTGAGTTGCCAACTTCTCGAGACGCTGCTCCTTGGTCAATTGTCTGTCGGCGTTGGCTGTCTCGTGATCCTCAGCACGCTGGGCGATTTCACGATTGACGCGAGCTTCGACAGCGGTAGGATCTTTCACAGCTTCATTACCCAGTACACGCATAAGGTTTGATTTCTTGACCTTTGGTGGTGGAGGAGCCTTGAGACCAAGTCTGATTTTTGCCTGCTCCTCTTTGTGGTCTGCCATACGACGTTGTCGTCGAACCTTCTTTTGCTCTTGCTTAGTGAGGTACATGGCCTTTGGAGCGGGCACATTGGCATCCTGCGGCGCAGACAATAGAACTGGGTGTTGGACATATCGTGTTATAACGTCCATGTTGATCTTATCCGGAGCTTCGAGGTTCTCGTAGTTTCCTCCAGTCACCAAGCCCTCGTCCCACCACTCGATCTCTGGTGGAGCAGGGACGAGGAAGGACTTTTCGGTTGCTTCTTCGATGGCCTGCTTTCGCGCCTGTTCCTGCATCTCCTTTGCCATTTGTTCGATCCTTGCCTGCTGTCTCAAAGCTTCGGCTTGGGCCATGAACTTACCCTTCTGATTGAATAGCAGCTGTTTGGACTTGCGGTCCTTTTGCTTCTGTAGTGATGGGTCATAAAAAGGCTCATTTTGTATAGCAGCCTTCTGATCATCACCAGCCAGGTATGGATTGTGCTTCGCAGGTTCATCTTTCTGCTTTTTGTTGTTGCCAGATCTTGATGGTCCCCCCAGCAAACTGGGATGCAAGCCAACGTTCAGACCACCTCTTGCGCGCGAAGTCGTATCATCTCGAACGGGAGGTGACGGTGCGAGTCCAGGAGAACGGGCTGCTGGACGGGTGGGTATATCGGCTTGAGGTTGTTGTTGCTGTGGTTGCTTCGATGCCATCATCTTGGCCTTGACGGCAGCAATCTGAGCATTGATTCGGTCCCGATCAGAAGCTGGTGCGGGTGAGGAGAAGACTGGCGCGGGTGCGGACGCAGGGGAGGGTAAGGCCGGGACAGCATTTCCTTGTAGTTTGGCTTTCATGGCAGCGATACGGGCCTGCATGTCGTTCGTGGATGTTGATGGAGGCGCAGCGGCGGGAGTAGCGGTAGGCGCAGAAGCAGCAGAGGCGCCTCTGTTAGGCAGACGAGCCTTCATGGCGGCGATACGCTCGGCGACCTCGCGCCTTTTGCGTTCAACATCATTGTCCGGTGCTGGTGATGCTTGCGCTGAGCGGGGACGCTTGGAGTCATGGCCGTCGTCAAGGCCGTTGCCGGGGAAGGGGCGCTTCTCTGACATGGTGGAAGGTTGTTGACGGCGGTGCCGGATAGAGAGCGACGACACTGAGCTCGAGGCAGAAGTCTAGGTTGCCAAGGAAGTTGGAGCCAAACGTGATTATGAAAGTGAGTGACGACGGTTGGAGAAAGAGCGATCCAGCTTCGAGGCGGAAGATGCCGTTGCAGAGCCGGAGGTTCCTTCCCCGGATCGAAAAGTTGCTTCGGGAAACTTTTTTATGAAAGCATCGCCGTGTTTTGCGGCCGACGACGACTTTGTGTTGCTTCAAGCTGTGAACCGCTGCTTGCTAGCTGCCACATCGCCAACATGAATATCTCACAACCCGTGTCGTCGCAAATTGGCGGCGTCGAGTTCGCCTTCCTACCGTCGGATGAGATTCGCGCCTTGTCCGTCAAGCGCATCACCAACCCTACCACATTCGATACCCTTTTGAACCCCGTCCCCGGTGGTCTCTACGATGCTGCTCTTGGAAACTTCGGCGACAACTCGTGAGTTGGCTTTCTGCTTTTGCCCCAGGCTGAGCAGCTATGCTAACCCGAATCTGTAGATGTACCACCTGCAACCTGAAGTTTGGCTGTCCTGGCCACTGCGGTCACGTCGAGCTCCCTGTCCATGTCTACAACCCTACTTTTATGGACCAGTGTTTGCGTCTGCTTCGCGCAAAATGTATCTACTGCCACAAGCTGAAGATGTCTCGTGTTGAGGTCAACCGCTTCGTCTGCAAGCTTACCCTGGTCAAGTACGGCCTGCTGAAGGAGTGCTACGATGTCGACGAAATCACCCTCGCCAACGATTCCACCTCAAAGGCCGACAAGGACGACTCGGATGATGAGCAGGACGCCGACACCAAGGGCATCATCGCTCGTAGAAACGCCTTCGTCAAGAACGCCATCAAGCAGGCTGGTTTCAGCAAGAAGCGCAATGACTGGGCCGACACCAAAATCGAAGCCGTCGCAAACGAGAGACGCGCCATCGTCAAGGAGTTCCTTTACTCAATCACGAAGAGCAAGAAGTGCAACAACTGCAACGGTATCTGTCCTACCTACAGAAAGGACCGTTTTGTCAAGATCTTCAGAAAGCCCTTGTCGGAGAAGGATAGAATCGCCATGGTTCAAGGAGGCTTCAAGGCTCAAGATCCTCTGCTCTTGATGAAGAAGAAGCGTGAGGCACAAGCCAAGAAGCAAGGTCTGGCTCAGGACGAGGCTGTGGCCGACCTGGAGGACTCGCCCGCAGAATCAGAAGGAGAAGGAGATGACATCTCAATGCTCGACATTGAGCAAGAAGTTGCCGGAGGAAACGCTCTCGAGACCGAGACAGCGACCAAGACCTCGAAATCCGACAAGGAGGAGAAGCAGAGCTACCTGAACGCAGGTCAAGTGCATGCGCATCTCGTCCAGCTGTTCGAGCAAGACGCAGAGGTCCTCGGCATGATCTACACTCCTCGTTCCAAGGGTCGCAGAGGCGCTCCTCTGAGCGCAGAGATGTTTTTCATCAAGGACTTGATTGTTCCTCCCAACAGATTCAGACCTGAAGCCAGAACTGGCGCTGACGAGATCGCCGAAGCCCAAGAGAACTCTCTCTACAAGAACATCATCAATGTTTGCGACCAGATGACACAAATTCACAAGGAGCTCAACGGTCAACTACAAAACGAGTACGCCAGACGCCCAAGAAACTACGCCGACTTCCAGGATGCTTGGATTCGTCTTCAAGATGGTGTCAACTCTCTTCTGGACCGCGACCGCAACCCCGTACAAGGAGGCGCTGGCAAGAGAAATGAGGACGGTATCAAGCAGCGTCTGGAAAAGAAGGAAGGTCTGTTCAGAAAGAACATGATGGGAAAGCGTGTCAACTTCGCTGCCCGTACCGTCATCTCTCCCGACCCGAACATCGAGACCAACGAGATTGGTGTCCCGCCGGTTTTTGCTCTGAAGTTGACCTACCCGGAACCTGTCAATGATCACAACTACAACGACCTCAGACAAGCCGTCATCAATGGTCCTTACGTCTGGCCCGGCGCTATGGCCATTGAGAACGAGAACGGCCAAGTCATCAACCTGCAAATCAAGAACCTCGAGGAGCGTACTGCTCTGGCCAACCAACTTCAGGCTCCTTCAAGCACCAACGTGAGCGGTGTAAAGGCCAAGAAGGTACATCGCCATCTGAACAACGGTGATATTGTCATCATGAACAGACAGCCCACCCTTCACAAGCCTTCCATGATGTGTCATAGAGCCCGCGTTCTGCCTGGTGAGAAGACTCTGCGTATGCACTACGCCAACTGTAACACCTACAACGCCGATTTCGATGGTGATGAGATGAACTTGCATTTCCCGCAGAACGAGCTTGCCAGATCAGAGGCCATCAGTATCGCTGACAATGACCATCAATACTTGTCGGGAACTGCTGGTAAACCTCTTCGTGGTCTGATTCAAGATCATATTTCCATGGGTGTCTGGTTGACCAACCGTGATACCTTCTTCAATCGTGAAGACTACCACCAGCTGCTTTACGCTGGTCTCAGACCAGAGAACAACCACACCACCTCAGGACGTGTCGAGACTGTACCGCCTGCCATCAGAAAGCCTCGCCCGCTGTGGACTGGTAAGCAGGTTGTCTCATCCGTCTTGAAGAACCTCACCCCCGAAGACTTCCCCGGTCTTACCATGACTTCAAAGTCTACCACAGCAGCTAAGCAATGGGGTACCAACTCAGAAGAACAGATTGTCATCTTCAAAGATGGTGAGTTGCTGTGTGGTATCCTGGACAAGGCTCAAATCGGCCCCAGTGGTGGAGGTGTTGTCAACGCTATCTACGAGGCTTACGGACACACCATCGCTGGAAAGCTGATGAGTGTTCTCGGTCGTTTGTTGACTAAGATGCTTCACATGCGTGCATTCTCATGTGGTGTTGAGGATCTGATCTTCACCCCAGAAGGCGAGAGCCTGCGAAGAGAAGCACTCAGCAAATCATACGACTCCGGCATCAAGGTCGCTGCCAAGTACGTCTCATTGCAGACTGAAAATCCAAGCACGAACGATCCCGAGCTGCGCAGACGTCTCGAGCAAGTTCTCCGTGATGACAGCAAGCAAGCTGGTCTCGATACAGTAATGAGCACAGCCAACAGTGAGGTCTCAGGTAACGTGACAAGCACTTGCTTGCCTGCTGCTTTGGTCAAGCCTTTCCCCAAAAACCAAATGCAAGCCATGACAGGGTCTGGAGCCAAGGGTTCCGGTGTCAACGCCAACCAGATTTCTTGTAACCTTGGTCAACAGGTTCTGGAAGGTCGCAGAGTTCCTGTCATGGTTAGTGGTAAGACTTTGCCTTGCTTCAAGCCTTTCGAGACAAGCGTCAGAGCTGGTGGTTACATTGTCGACCGTTTCTTGACTGGTGTAAGACCTCAAGAATACTACTTCCACGCCATGGCTGGAAGAGAAGGTCTGATTGATACTGCTGTCAAGACTTCCAGATCCGGTTATCTGCAGAGATGTTTGATCAAGGGTATGGAGGGCCTCAAGTCTGAGTACGATACCACCGTCCGCGACGCAGATGGATCGATCATTCAGTTCATCTACGGTGAGGACGGTCTGGACATTGGCAAGGCCAAGTATCTCTCTGACTTCAAGTTCATTGCTGAGAACCACATGTCTATGTTCCACAACCTTGGCATCAAGTCTGAGTTTGGCCGCATCATGAGCGTCGAGGCTTCTGAGTACAACAAGAACGCCGAGAAGAAGTACAGAAAGACTGGTGACCTTGGAGCTAGCGACCCTGCCCTGTCCATCTACTCGCCTGCCCGCTTCGCCGGTAGCACTTCCGAGAAACTCATGCGCGACGCCAAGAAGTACATCGATGAGAACCCTGACAAGCTTATCAAGGACAAGAAGCGCAACATCGAGGGCGTTTCTGGTCTCACCAAGAAGAGTCTCCAGGCCATTATTGACGTCAGATACCTCAAGTCAATTGTCGAGCCCGGAGAGGCTGTCGGTGTCGTCGCTGGTCAGTCAGTTGGTGAGCCCTCGACACAGATGACACTGAACACCTTCCATTTGGCTGGTCACGCTGCCAAGAACGTCACGCTTGGTATTCCTCGTCTTCGTGAGATTGTCATGACTGCCAGTGCTACCATCGCTACGCCCAACATGACTCTGCATGTCAACCCTGAAGTTCCTAAGCAAGAGAGCGAGCAATTCGCCAAGGGCATCAGCAGACTTAGTCTCGCCGAGGTTCTTGACAAGGTTTCTGTGACTGAGAGGATTGGAAGAGGTGTCGCCTACGAGCAGGCCAAGTCCTACACCGTCCGCCTGCAGCTGTTCCCTTCAGACGAATACACCAAGGAATATGCTATCACGGTTGAGGATGTTGCTCGCACCATCGAAACCAAGCTATTGCCCAGACTCCAGAGCGTTATTCGTAAGGAACTCAAGAAGAAGGGTGACCAGAAGACCCTGAAGAAGTCTGATGCCATGCCCGAAATCGGCGAGTCCGCTGGCACAATCGAACAAGAGGTCGGTCGCCCTGAGGGTGAGCGCGAGGGCGGTGACGACGACTCCGACAACGAAGGCGACGATGATGCCACTCGCGACAAGGCCAAGTCAAACAAGACTCAAGGTGGTTATGACGCTCCCGACGACGACGAGGAAGCTATCGTGGCTCGTGGTCGCCGCGAGACGACGCCGGAGGAGGAACAAGAGGACGAAGGCTTCGTTGGTAGCCCCAATACCTCCGACGACTCCGACTCAGAAATGGAGGACGCAGAAGCGAACATCAAAAAGGTTGCCTACAGCTCGAAGGAACGTGAAGAGCGTATTAAGGGCAACAAGTACACCAACGATGTTTCCGCCTTCAAGTTCGACGACAAGACTGGCGCCTCGTGTACTTTCACTATTGAGTACGCTGCAGAGACCGCCAAACTTCTCATGCTCAATCTGGTTGAAAACTGCACCAGGGATGCACTTATCCAATCTATCCCCGGTCTTGGTGCCTGTGATCTAGCACAAGAAAAGTTCATGGACCCTAGCACCGGTAAGGAGAGTGAGGTTGATGTGATTACCACCGATGGTGAGAACCTTTTGGCCATGCGCAACCACCAGAACGTGTTGAACCCCAACCGTTTCTTCACCAATGACATTGCCGCTATGCTCCGCTTGTATGGTGTGGAGGCCTGTCGCGCGTCCATCGTGCGCGAGGTGTCAGCCGTCTTCGGTGGTCACGGTATCAGTGTCGATCAGCGCCACTTGAACCTCATTGCCGACTACATGACACGTGGTGGTGGCTACCAGGCCTTCTCGCGTCAAGGTATCAAAGGTAACACATCACCCTTCATGAAGATGAGTTTCGAGACCACTGTTGGCTTCCTTCGCGACGCTGTCATGGAGGAGGACTTTGACGACCTCAGCGGTCCCTCCGGCCGTATCGTCGTTGGCAAGATTGGAAGAATCGGTACCGGTGGCTTCGATGTTATGATGCCCGTTCTGCAGGTTTCAAATCTTCCTCAGGAAGATGCGGAGGAAAACGGCGATGTCATGGCCGTTGACAGCGAGAGCGAGGAGGAAAGTGACGATGAGTAGACTTGTTGTGTTTGCACAAAAAAGCTGGAAATGTGGTGTTGTCTTTGGGAGGGTCTTGATTTGCATTTGAGATGTTATTAGCCATGGTGTTTTCTGATTGTTGTTTAGAGTAGGTATCATATATTCATTCTTTTCTCTTTATCGGCGCCATCCTGTTCCTGTTCCTGTATACCGTTGAACATCGTGCTCAAAATGCCATGAGGTGCTCATGAATCGCTCAACCGAAGGCTAGTCCAAAGATGAAAGTGTAGGCGAGCAGGGGGCTTGACATGAAGTGACCAAATGCGTGCGCGATCTCCGGCGGTATACCACAATCGGCTCTTGGATGGACATCGAGGTCGTTATCAGGTTAGTGTTAGCTATCAGTTTCCTCCATACGCACGTAATGGGTTGTTGATAGCCCTATTGGCCCGTGCCTTATTGTACATTAGATAATCAGCTTACGTAACAAGCGTTACGGTATTTAAGCTAATACCGTAGTGAAAATTCTGATACTATAGTTTTTCTTACTAGTCTATCGGATACCTATAATTTAATAGTTATAAGCCCGGTTTGCTGCCTCTAAGCTACGAAAAAGACAGAGGAATTAAAGACATCTATAAGATATCATTATGTTAGGTATGTATTACCCTATATTAGCTAACTACTATAAGGTATAATGCACTAGTTATACGGTATTCAAAGACTACTTTATATAGACAAAGTCTATAGTAATGCGCTTAGACGTATAGAAGTACATAGTAAATAAGACAACTAAAGGATCGAAGATAGCGATTAACGAGCCTAAAGAGGTCGTCCTTCTAGCACCTCTAGTCCTAATAACACTAGCTCTAGGAGAGGTACTTCCTAAGAGCAATAACGATAATCTAGCCTTCTACTACTATAGTATTCGAATAAATCACTATACGTAGTAAGCGAAGCTAAAGGAGAGATTTAACATAAGCAAGAGGGAGATAAAAGCGTACTTTAATAGAACGCTCCCTCTAGTAGTAGTTTATAAAATAAACAACACTCTAGCAACTCTATCTTCCTAGTAGGCATACATTAAGAAGAGATTTAAGCTATCTGCTTCAATTAAGAGAAAGATACTAGGAACACTCTATAAGACGTTAATAATAGGCCCGAAGTCTAATAACTTCGAAACCTTCTTCGTTAAGTAGGAGAACTTATATAATAGACTTATATAAGAAAACTATCCTCTACTCGAAGGCATTATAGAAGATTACTACTATATGTTTAAAGAGAGAGTAGATATAACTTAGGGTCGTATATTAGTAGATAAAGATAAGGTAGATCTACTAGACCTACTCGATAGGTCTAGAGAGTTCCTCCGTAGGAACCTAGGAAAGTTTAAGTCTACGAATACAACTATAGTTAAAGAAAAGCTATCTACTAATGCTACCTTCTAAGGGTAGTAGAGTAATAAGTAGAAGGACGATAAACTAAAGGACCCCTAGAACTATAGTAAGATAATAGGAAAGCCTAAGGAATAGGCTTATACGCGTATCTCCGACTACCTAATTATTATCTATAAGAAGAGGCTAGCTCTAGGTGAAATGACACCTAAGCAGCGTAAGCAACTTAAGCACTTTAAGGAGTATATACGTAAGAACGAGCGCTCTCGAAGAATTAGCGTTAACTAAGGAGATCTAGTAGCTATCGCTATCGATAATAAGGTAAAAGGGAAGATATCTCCCTTAGGAAAGGACGCTACGTAACCGAAGAAGTCCTACGACAAATCTCGCCTTCCTCTTAGTAATAGTGCTATTCGCCTAATTACTCGTAGCTAATCTCCTATTTCTGTAGGTATACTAGTAGTTATGTCGACTAAATCTAAATAAACAAACGAAGATAGGTAGTTGCTCGATAGTAGCTCTAACATTTACGTTATTAACGAGCCGACTAAGGTAGCCTTTAGGGTAACGCGTATACTAAGAGGTAGCTAGGTAGCTATAGGTAACACCTTACTAAGGGTAGTCGCTATCGGTAGTATAATACTAGTACTACCTATACTAGGGGGTAGAACTATAGAATTAGTTCTATAAGACGTACACTATATACTAGGATTCTATACGAACATTGTCTTATCTACTAGAATAAGGTAGCATAGGTTATGTCTCGACGAGAGGACCGACGTATAGTACGATAAAGACTACGTCGCTATTACGAGGATTAAGAGACGCGATAACCTCCCCTACTTTAACCTCTATACTCTACCTTAGGGAGAACTAGTAGGCATTAACGAGTAGCTAATAGACTATAAGGGAAAGCCTCTACTAGTGAACGAGGCCTATCGTAACTATTAATAGGAGGCGCGCTATAACGTAGTATTTATAGCGTAAAGCAGCTAATAACCGCTATTCTCGTAGAAGCTATCGGCATACTAGTAGCATTATCTACTAGGACACTAGAGCCGTAAGAAGATTAGCAAACTCGAGTTAATAACTAAGGGAGCCGTCGTTAACCGTAGCACTAATAATAAAGATAATGTACTACGAACTTATAAATGCGACATATATACCTAATTAAAAGGACATCGGATTATCTCTCGACGAGGACGCTTTAATATACGTATGCCTATTCCCTTTAGAGAGGTCTCTACGGACATAGTAGAATTTAATGCGGCCTTTAATAGAGATAAGTATATAATATACGTATACGACGTAGATACGAACTTATACTTCGTCTAGAACACCGTAGCAGTAAATTAACTAGCTCTTACTAATGCATATTAGGAGCTTTAACGCTTCGTAAGGGTAATAGGTAGAGAGCTCTATATCCTTAACATAGATAGCGACCCTAAGTATAGATTAATCTTCTATAGCGAACTACGTAAGGACGGCATCTACTAGAAACCGATAGTACCCTACACCGTAGAATAGGATCTAGTAGAGAGGGCAGGTAAGTCGATTACTATAGTAGCGCGCTTACTCGTACTAGAAAGCAATTTACCCGAAGGTCTCTAGCCTAAACTAGTCTCTACGGTAGTATACTTACTAAACCGAACTCCGACGAAATCTCTAAACTAGAAGACACCTTTTAAGGCAGCTACTAGAAAGAAGCTACTACTATCGTACATCTATAAGATCGGTTCTCGAGCGTACGCGTATAAGATAGGCCTAAAGGAGCTCCTAAAGAGAGCTAAACTAGATATAAGGTGTTACCTAGGGTACCTAGTTAGCTTTAAAGGCTATAACATCTACTAGATCTAGATACCTTTGTAACGGAAAGTTATCTATATACGAGACGTTCGGTTTAATAAGAAACTAAAGTACGAGAAGGAGCGTAATCTCGATATCGGCTACGCTATAGGAGGACACTATCTAAATATTCGTATCGAATACCCTACTACTCTAGTAGAATTCTAATTTAACGACCTACTTAAGGTACACTAATCTACGAGACCTTAGGGGGTAGGACCGACTACTAGAATAGATAAGGTCCTATAGAACTACGATAGCTATATAGAAGATACGCTAGCATATAACTAGCACGAAGAGGAAGAGGTAGAGTTAGTAGACGAAGAGATGCTATACGATAGACATATACCTTAATACGAAGACGTCTACTATTACCTATAATACCCTAAACCTCGCATCGAAGGCACGGAAGGTAGCTATAAGATAGTCTTCCCTCTACTAATATAAAGGACTATCGAAGATAGACCCCTAATAGATAAACTTAAGGAAGAACTACTACTAATATTTAAGAAGCCTCGTAGAATAGAATACCTTATTAACTTTATACGAGTAATAGAGCCTATAGCTAAGAAGATAATAGCGTAAGTCTTTACTATAAGAGTAGAAGACAAAGACTATACTTATAGAGAACTACTAGAGCTATAGAGATAGAAGGAGATAAAGGGTTATAAATTTAAGAAGGAATAGATAACTACCTTAACTGTCGAGTTCTAGAAAGTAATAGATATAGGCACCTTCTACTAGGTAGATAAAAGCGAGGTAAGAGGACAACGAGCAGTGCCCCTTACCTAGGTATAGAAGTATAAGTTAACATTAGAGGGATTAATCGAGAAGTAGAAAGTAAGGCTCTACGTAAGAGGGGATCTATAGGATACTACTTCCGACACCTACGCGGCGACCCTATCCGCGCGTATATTCCGCTTCCTAATAGTACTAATTGCCTAATTCGACCTCGAGACGATATAGATAGATGTAGTAAACGCCTTCCTAAACTCTATACTTCTAGAACCGATCTACCTACATCTACTGGAGGGCTTTAAGTAGAAGAACAAGCTACTAAAGTGCGTAAGAGCACTATATAGCTTTAAGGAATTACTAATGCTATAGTATAAGGACCTACGTAAAGCTCTACACGAACTAGGCCTTACCGAAATCGTAGACTACCTAGCGGCTAACGAACACGTACTCGTCTTCTTCTTCGTCGATAATATCTATATCGCCTACTAGAAATAGCATAAACTAGAAGCGATCGAACTTAAGGAGAAGCTAGCAAGCAAGTACAAGATAAGAATTCTTAGAGAGATAGAGTAGTTCTATAGTATTAAGATTACTAGAAACTGCAAGTAGAAGAAGTTATAGTTAACTTAAGAGTTATACATTAAGAAGATAGCTTAACGGTATAACGTATCCGACTATAGAAGGAGGGTTAGCACCCCTCTACCGTATAACTTTACGCTAGTAAGATTAATAGAGGAAGTCTCCTCTATAAGAGTAAAGGAATACGGAAGTATCGTCGGCTTACTTAACTTTGCTACAGTATAGATAAGACTAGATATCGCTTTCGCAGTCTTATAACTAGTAAGGTATCTTACTAATCCGACTAAGGAACAGGTAAATGCAGCACTTTACTATATAAGGTACCTACTATATAACAAATAGATCGGCATTAAATACGGAGATCACTCCCTAGAGGGACCTAATACTATAGAGTTCTTTAGCGCATCTAATGCCTCTTTCGTAGATAATAAAGAGACTAGAAGGTCATCTAAAGGATAGATCTTCTACCTCTTCGGGGGTGTAGTAGACTAGAAGGTAGTAAGGCAAATAGTAGTCACGAAATCGAGCACTAAGGTAGAGCTCTACGCTATTAGTTATATAGCATTAGAGCTATTATAGTAGGAGAGGCTATTTAAGCAAATTAGTCTTTAGTTATCTACGCAAACTTACCTATACTACGATAACTAGCAAACTCTACGGATCATTACTTAATCCGGTATAAGAATCGACACTAAGATAAGGCATGTCGACATATAGTAGTGCTAGCTAAGAGAGAAATACTAAGAAGGCTCTCTACGAGTAAAGTAGATCGAAACTAACTCTATACTAGTAGACGGCTTTATAAAGCTACTGTCACCATAAAACTATTAGCGCTTTATTAATTAAATACGTCTTCGACTACTAGATAGGGACTAGAAGCGTAGTAAGACGACTACACCTATAGGATTCTAGGAGAAATATCCTCTATTAGGACCTAAAAGGGAGTAGTAGACACGTCTACTACAAGCACCGTACTTTAGTAGATATAGCTACTAATGCTACGACGGAACTTACTAAGATAATCGTATAAGCGCTATAGAGTAGAAACATCTACTAAAGGCACCGCGATATCTCGAAGTAAACTATAATTACTATTGTTACTATAAAATAGCTATTGTTTAGCTACTATAACAATAGCGCTTAGAACATTTAGTTCTAAACTCGTAACGCGCCTAATAAGGAATCTTTAAGCGCTATGTAACTTAACTAATAACATTAATTTTCGTTGGCGTCGGAAATTAGTAACATCTATCTTCTATAAAAGACGACCTACCGTTTATTTAACTACTTTATCTCTAGACCTGTCGAAAATTAATTAACTTAACATCTCGACCTATCGTTTAGCGCTCTACCTTAAGTCTCTACGAGTAGTAACACTATCTACAATAACTTAAGACCTACCGTTTATCTATCTACTACAATAACATAGCTACTACCTAAGATACCCCTAAGAAGCTAGGAGCTAAGGTTACTAAGAGTAAGAAGACTACTAATACTAGCACTATTAAGAAGACTTAGGTTTATAAGGGCGGCTATCCTAAGAAGATCCTTACTAAAGATAAGAAGAAGGTAAAGGAACTAAAGAAAAAGGAGGACTAGAAGAAGGTAAATAATCTCTATAAGGATAAACGTTAGGCATACGAACTACGCGAACGCATTATCTCTAGTTTATGTATAGTCGCTAAAAGCACTACCTACGTAAAGGCTAAGGGCGACTATATCGTTACTAACAGAAATCTCGCCTATATCGACGACATTCTAGTTTATATCTCTACTAGAAAGGACTACTATCCTATAGACTATCTTTAGGATGTCGATAACATTACGTAGATAGTTAAGAATAACTAATAGCCTAAGGTTATAGCTGCCGTATAGGATCTTTATAAGAGCTTCTATAGTTATAGAGAGATTAAGTAGTACCTCCTTATTAGCGAAAAGAATAAGCCTAAGTTAGTTAAAGGATAGGGAAAGAGTAATAGTACTACCTTAACTAAGGAACAGTTATCTACCGTTGCTAAGGTCCTAAAGAAGAACCGTAAACTACTTAAGCTCTCTAACGATTAGATTTAGGGACTAATAGACTAGATTAATAGAGTTAAGGAAGAGTGATCTACTACAACTCTAGGGGGTGTATTAATAGCCCTATTAGCCTATGCCTTATTGTACATTAGATAATTAGCTTACGTAACAAGCGTTATAGTATTTAAGCTAATACCGTAGTGAAAATTCTAATACCATGGTTTTTCTTACTAGTCTATTGGATACCTGTGATTTAATATAGGTAATCTCTTTTCATGGTACGCTTATGTAGGAACCGGGTAGGCTGAACTATGTATACGCCCCCATTTTCTGTCGAACAAACCTTATAAATCTTAAGCTTACTGCTTAAAAAGGGTTTGGAGAACATACACAAGATATGTCTCACTGTATAGGGTCTAGCTTCTGCCTTACAGGTTTCAAGGTGCATCAGGGACGTTGACGTCAAGGATAACCGTGACAGAGCATAAAACGAAGTTTGAATTCAAGAGCTATCGACAATAACATGATCAAAATGACTGCGATGCAAAATATTGCGATGACGCTAAGGGAGTGCCTACTTTGACAAGCCACAAGTGTTGAAAATCTCCCGCACCGAAGATCCTGCATGCCCGTTTGACTAGCTTCTGGCAACTTCAACCACTCGTCACGAACGCGACTTTCACGCTCTTGTCGATGCCGGAAGCTATGCCTGTGCCGTGGTATGCCAGCTCTTAGTCTTGTTTACTGACATGGACTGAACTTTTTATCAAGTGCCGGATGTCGAGCCCGCGGATCGCTCCGATGCCCATCATTACCATCGCATCGTTCTAAGACGCTTCTTGTTGTGTCTCTCCTTAAGCCCCTACCAGCCATGTCACAATACAGAAGCCATTCAGAGTTCGTACGGCCATCGTATCGCAAGAGCTTGGAAGAGAAAACCGACGACGTGGCTGCGGGAGCCTCAACGCTATCCGTCGCTCGGTTCGGACTACACTACACCCAAGGTCGCCGGAGTCAGTCACACTTTTACACCTCGGCATGATAGATCATCCCTCTGGCATACCATCTCTTGTAGGTTCCTGCATGCATGCTTAGCGTACACAAGCTCAGTTGCTCGCGAAGGGAGATGATCCGTGCGTGGTTGGCTCCATCTATACCGGCTAATTCCTACTGGACAATGAGTAGTAATGTACCACACTTACCAGCCTGTGATCATGAGATGGTATGTTATGACGTGAACTGAGCAAGCCGTTGGACTCCTGGTTCATGAACAAGAGTTGACTATACACCAAGCTTCGCTAGAGTGCTCGGGTAGACCGTCCTTACTACCTTGTGAGCACGATCGTGGTATGGGCTTCGAGGATAGGAATCGAAGTTTCCAGCTCTCAATGCTGGAAGGGAATAGATCAGAACTCATAAAAGCCCCTTGTGCCTGCTGAATTGTTTATTCGACAACCTCAGGCACTACTCGATTTGGTATACTGAAGACTTTCGGAAGCATGCGTCTTACACTCGTTTTTCCAGGCTTTGCAGCCGTGGCTTTGGCAATGCCCGCCCCTCTGCCTCAGGAGATCGATGTTGGTATGGTCCTCGCTGCTCCTGAGCCGATTACCTATGACCCAGTTGTCGGGGCTACTGCTCAGGTTGTCTCCTACGATTTCACCTCCATGCTTGCCCAAGCCACGGCTCCGGCCACCTCAGTCGCTACCGACGCCGCTGCCACCGCTACTGCCATTGAGAAGAGAGGTGCTGCCTGCACTTCCCTGGCTGCTGGCGCTTCTGGAGCACCTGCCTATTCTCCTGACACCCCTGCTGCATTTGCCTCGAACTCGGACTTCGCTTCTGTGGCTATCAATGCCCCTGTTCCTACTGGTTACAGCAATACATTCACCAACGCCAATGCTTCTAACAGGTATGTCTATCTAATCAGTATTGGCAAATTCGAAACTTACTGTTACAGTGCCTACGGTTATCTTGGATTCACGACCCTGAGTACTTTTGATACAGCGAAGTGTGCTGCTAAGTGCGGTAAGCTAGGACTGTAGATCATAGTTTGAAGATCCTGCTGATTAGTTTGTTCCAGATGCTATTCGCGGATGCCTTTCATTCAACCTCTACTTCGAAAGGGACCCTAGTGTCGACCCTGGCTCTGGAGCATCTGGCTGCGAGAACCCTGCCAGTGTCACGTACATAAAATGCGTATTTTGGGGAGGTTACGTTTCAAATGCAAATGCCAACAACTATGGGTAAGATTTATCAATGTTTTCATCATCCAAATATCCTGACTCAACATAGACAGTACCGCAACAAGTTTCAGGTCCTGATCGCTGGATCCAACGGCTACACTAATAACACCTTGGCCGCCCCTGCTGGCTACTCTGATGCCATATATTATGGTACCCGTGCTATTGATGCCCCTCTTGATGCTCAGGGCTTCAACACCTTCATTACCAGCAAGATCTTTTCCGGCCCCTTTGATGCTAGACTTTGTGCCGCAGCCTGTGATGCTCAGACTCAGTACGCTATCGACCACCCGTCTGCTGATGGTACACCGGCGAAAAAGTGCCAGTTCTTCAACACTTACATTCTCAACCTGAACGACAACAAGCATCCTCAGGGCCAATACTGTACCCTGTACACTGAGGCTTGGCCTACTAAGTACGCCACTTCGACCGGATCTACTACCAGCAGGTTAGTTTAGTCGATATCAAATTGCACTTGCAAGAGACTGACTTGGCTCCAGCGGCGACAAACTCATCATCGAGTACAGCTACGGCTATGTCAGCACGTCAGCTACAGGGATTGATCCTACTAAGGGTGACCGCAATGGTGCCATCTACCAGGCAGCTGGTGAGATGAAGTCTGATTCTGCCCGACTGAGCTCGGTCTTCCAGCCTTTCTGCTCATCTTACCTTGGCTACTCGACACTCTTGACAACTGTCACCGCAACCACAACAACCGCCCCTGTTGCTACATCCACTGCCTACGCCACCATCACCGCTCCCGCTATGCACAAACGTGACGAGTCTGAGGATTTCCCTGGTTTGACCACGAACTCGACAAACGCCGTCCCAGCTGTCTTCGACTCCAACAACAACCAGACTTGGTACCTTCCTCTCGAGTCCATCACCGCTGACGCTGATGCAAGCGCCACCGATGCACCCGCCAAGCGTGATATTTCCACCCCTGCTGCCTTGACCAAGTATCCTGTGACTGTCATCTCTGCTGCTTGCTCAATGGCAGCTAGCCAGGTCACCGTGGCTTCGACCATCACTATCAACCAGACTATCACTGCCGCTACCTCGACTACTGTTACCACGATTGTGTCTACCACCACAGCTAGTGCCGTCCCCACTAGTTCATCAACTTCATCTTCTTCTTCGTCGTCGACCTCATTGTCTTCTTCATCCTCTTCTTCATCGTCGGCTTCGTCTTCGACCGCATCGTCTACCTCATCTTCATCTTCGTCTTCGTCTGCTTCGTCTTTGACCGCATCGGCGACTTCATCTTCTACCTTATTATCAGCTGCATCATCCACCGCCAAAGCTTCAGCCACACCCGTAGCTGACCTCAGACTCCGCATCTCCTCATCCGGCACAAGCGCCGACGGCCAGGAAATCGAGTTTGATTCGGCGACCGCACCCCAGGGTTACTCCAACGCCTACGTCAACTACTATACTTACTCCACCTTCCTCCATGGCCAAGCCACCACTCCCAACTTCGTCCTCGATCCTTCTACCGGCTATCTTAAGGACAAGAAATACGGATACATCATGTCTGTCTACAACAGCAACTTCCCTGGGGTTGGCTTGGCTTACACCGTCATGTTCTTCCCTGCCAACAAGGTCAAGGCTAATGGTTATATCCCTGTCACTTGCAAGGGCACCAATGTACTTACATGTTCGGCCAAGAACTCTTGGGGCACCGTTCTGAGCAACGTGTTTGTGCATCCTCAATTGGCATTGACAGGAGAGGCTTTCTGGTCACTCAGGATGGGAGATTCGTGGTACAATCCTCTTATTGGCGACGTTGCTGCCAAGATTGGCTTCCAATAATTGCGCCATCTAGGAGTTCGTCATTTACAGAAGTTTATATACACATTCGTGTTGCTTCTTCCGGATGAGACAGCATGTCACTTTACATTTCTGTCGTCATCTTCGTTCTGGCTCTTTGGCATGGATTGTTCTCTTTGTTATACACTCCGAGTAATGTCTCTAATTTAACAAGTGAGAAGTTTTGTTTATTCTTGGTTGTCGCATTTTTTGCTTTGGTCGATAGTTTGGACCTCGTGGTGTTTGTGGTGACGGGTGAACTTGAGATTTTGAGACAGGGTCGTGTCTCTCGCATGCTATATCTAGATGCGTATTGCCGCTTCGTACTTGTACTTGGTGGTTTCTTGTTGGAAAGATGTGGTGTATGCTCTATCGGATTGGAATGTGTTTGTCCAGTATTGAGAGGTTCTCGACTTACCATCTCATGTCGTAATTTCAGAATCCGCAATTCACCTTGGGACTCGCGTGCAACCAGATGTCGTCAATGTCAACCATGACCATCTTTTGTGATAACGAGGCATTCGGTATAACTCTTTCCTTGTTAGCTCACTTATAGCGCTGCCACTCTATACAACACACCATCCAGGAATACCTACCTATCGAATGTCACATCCTCGACACAAGTTCTATGTTGCAATCACCGAAAGCAACGACTCCGCATCTGTAACGTAACTTCCGAGTCATCGGAAACATGCTTTAGAGGCTCGAAACGTTGCCATCTCCGCAAGCTTCCGAAAGAATGTTAAAGGCAACTTAAATAGAAGCAAACCAACGCAGTTATATTCGAATTAGAATTGATTACAAAGGCCATTCGGTATAGTTAAGGAAGACAGGTTTTGACGAATTGATAGGTATCCACTCTCTAGGCAGGGATGACATTAACTCAACAGACGTAGCATCACACTGGATGCCGTTGTAGAGAGACGGGAAATTTGTGCCCACCAATTGTGGGCTCATCCGTTTTTCGAGCGAAGTCGTTGAAGTGATAAGCTTGCGTGTACTCCACATCTTCCATTCTTTGTAACACTCGATTGAGGGAGTAATGCCCAGCTCTAACACACGCTGGTCCAGTCTCGCTTTATAGTGTCTATTAGAGCTCTCTTCGGCCTCAGCTAGAACAGCCAAGTCGGGCACTGCATTTGCTACAAGCACGTCAAAGAGATCCGTGTAGTTGGCAACAATACACGATCGGAGAATCTGAGGCACCATCGTAGGCTGTCGGCGAGCGAGCTCAAGGTATGTAGATGGCGCTGCGATCGTTGGGTACCAGATAAGGTATGGCAGGTCTATCGGGCTAGTCTCCGGGGTGATGGTTGCCAGCACGTTGTTCATGATGAGACGGGCATTTACGGCCATGACTAGGTATTTCGAGCTTGGTTGCTGTTGGGACCACCAGAGCGCGAACTGTGTATTGTGATAAATTCCGTGCACGCAGCATTCGATTTCGTTGAGAATCCTCTCAGGCCTCCGAAGACGGGCATAACGATCGATATCACCATAGTATGCGGCCATAAGGATGAGCAGATCTTTCTCTACTGTTGGAAGGTGGAGTGGTAGAGGCATGGAGAGCAAGCTGGTGACGTCGAAGCGAAACTCCTTATCAGATTGAAAGTCGTCGATGCTCATATCCTCGGTGATGTTGAAGTCGTTTTCGAAGTAACCCTGACTCCCAAACCCTAGGTGCTCCTCTTCATTATAAGGATCAGCTGTCGTGAACTTTTGCTTACTGTCCAGAGACCAGCAAACAGCCGTGTCTCCATTGAGACAGGTCTTTTCGGGGTTTTCCAAGTTGACTAAGCGAAGGTAGTCATTCATGACGTTGTATTGGGCGGGCTCAGCCATGACATGATCGAAGATGTCCAGATTTCCACACTCTCGCGCCTCTTCGGCGATGTGAGCGTCAGGGAGGATGGCGAGCTCGCGATATAGGCTTGTGTAGCCAGCGACGGCACAGGCTCGGCCGACATGGTATCTCATGTGTGGATAGCAGGCGACCAGTTGGCGATAGGTCGACTCGGAAGCAGTTTGGGGATGCCAGATGCAGTAGGGCACCTCATTGGGGTTCTGGATATCTGGCACGACATTGCTCATGATCCTTCGTGCGTTGAGCGCGCGAGTGAAAAGCGGGTCAAGCCCGTACAACTCTTCTGCGAAGCCAGGATGATATCGAATCCCACGGACGACGCAGAGACGGACAAGGGGTAGGCCCAAGGCCATAGGCACCCGTTGTCCGTGGATAGCCGCGAGACAGTCCTCCTTGTCGTACTTTTGGACCAAGAGTCGGTCCATGGTCGATGGCGTTGTCGGTCGTGGCATGTTGCAATGGAAGTCGGAAAGGAATGAGATTGGCGGGATGGAAGAAATCGTTTAGGTCGTGTTTACCTCGGGCGGTATTTCGGTCGAATTGAGGGGTATTCGGATTGCTGAATTGCTTTTGGGCGTGGTGTTTACTTCGAGAAAGAGAATTGCTCTATTTTGGTGGTATTCGGACAGTTCCTCTTTCTAAATAGCAAAGTTCTGCCTAGTGTTTACCTCGAGGGGTTTAAATGTCGAAATACCGGTGTATTCGTCGAATACCTGCTAAGGGAAGCATAATTAGCGTTAAAAAGCGAAGTGGCACTAAATCTTAATCTAACCTTACCCTCTTTAACGACAGTAATATACATACGCCATGGATGACCTTATTATTAATGCCGTAGTTGCCTAAGCGGTAGGAATTATCGAAGCGGCTATACTTATAGTCTTTAAAGCATATACGCGTGCGTAGCGGCCTAGTCTAAGGACCTTATACGTACGAGAGATAGAGGGCTTGTTTATAACTATAGAGTTCCTAGATCGAAGGCCTTAAGAGTATGTTAATATATTACGCATATAGTAGAGCACCTTTAGAGCACTAATTAGTCGCTTAGAGGGACTTAGACTAACTAGTAATAAGAACTTTATAACACTAGTAGAGAAGGTAGTAATCTTCCTATTTATCTATAGTTAAGATGCTTCTTAAAGACTAGCGGCGAACTACTTCTAACATAGCACGAGGACTATATTAAAAGCTATATACGAGGTGCTCCGATGCTACCTTACTCTATATCGCGAGGTTGTTAAAATTAGAGACCTTAATCTAGATAAGTTATACGATGCGAAGTTTAGACTATTTGCTAGTATAGTTAGCGTAGTCGATAGGACCTTAATAAATGTTAGGATACCTATATTTAAGCATAAGACATAGCGTATAAGGAAATAGACCATTACGTAGAATGTTATAGTCTACGTCGACTTCTAGGAACAATTTACCTACGTCCTTACTAGATAGTAAGGGTTAGCATACGATAGTAAGGTGTTCGATAATGCGTATAAGAAGGGAATAAAGCTACTAGTAGGGACTTACTTCCTTAGAGATGCTAGAATCGCTATATTAGGAGTAGTTCTAAACCTGTATAGAAGTGTACGATATTATCTTTAAGAGTAGTTAACTAGCAATAGGCGACCTCGTAATGCGAAGGAACTCTTTAATCTACGTTATAGTCATCTACGCAACGTTATTAAAAGGACTATTAGTTAGCCTAAGAGGAAGTTCAAAATATTAAGGAAACTAGTAGAGTACTTGCTCTAATTCTAGGTCGGGTTAGTGTACGCGCTAACTACTATTTATAACTTCCTTAAGCTAGAGGACGATCCTTATGTCGATAAACAAGAGGATAACGATAGCAAGGACGGTGTTAGAAGTAATAGAAATAGTAGAAATAACCTTAGTAAGGAAGATTAGGAATTAGAGGCGGAATCTAACTACGAGGGCGGCGGCGAGGGCTCTAATCTCTATAGCAATACGAAGAAGGAAATAATAAAGAGGAGAGATAGGATAGCTAATAGGCTCTAGTAGCAATATATAGAGATCCTACGCATTAAGGGCACCTTAGATGTTAAGAGTTAGTTAATGTTGTTGTTTTAAGAACTTTAATGTTAATAGCTCTAAAATTCCATGGATTCTTAGAGTTCTATATAGCACTAGCTTCCTTAGTAACCTCCTCTAATTCATTAATAACATTAAGGCCTACGCGCCTCTATATTACCCTTATCTACTAGACTTAGTCCTCCTTCGACATATTAAGAAACGACCTTACCTTCCGCTCGTCCTCGAGGACCTTAAAAACCGCTAACTTTGCTTTAAACGAGGCCCTAGAGTTCATGTCTTTAAAGACTTTCTAGGCCTTATTCTATTTACGACCTTGCGCGCGCGTAATAGTATATAGAGCGTTATAAAGGCCATTAGTTATGCCGCCGAGACGGTTAATAGCTTAGTTTAAAGCGCCTCCTCTTACTCTTCTTTACTAACCTCTAGTAGTAGTCTAGACCTACGATTGTTATCGTTTAGTAGTCCTTATTCTTTAAGAAGATGTAGTAGTAGCATTAAGACTAATAGGTGCTATAGGTGTATTGCCGTTACTAAGGACATCGTCGTCGTCTTTAGTAGTATCTCTACCTCCTTCGATAATGTTATCGATAGCCCTATTAAGTGTCTCGTCACTACCTATATCGTTACCTATATTATTATCTATCTTACTAGTAACATCCGTTGTTATTATCTTATCTATGCCTTAATCCTTACTCTAACTCTCTACGCCGAGTTATCCTACCGCACTAGCGAGGTTACTTATACCTAAGGTTAATTACTAGGTAGCATTACTTTAAAGGGCTAGGTCGATTATGTCTAGGTTATCCTCTTCTATGTTTATCGCATTAATTATATGCTAAGCAAGCTTATTAGCTGCCTCCTCATTAATAGTAAGTATATCCTCTTCTAATGCTATAAGTAGTTTATTAACCGTCTACGCCGCCTCTCCCCTTATAGTCGTACTAGACTAAAGTTAATAATAGAATTGCTTATAGGGCATAGGTCCTTAGAAGAGGATCTTAGACTTTAGATGCCGCTTAATATACGCCTTCTCTTTAGACTTCCGTAGGTCGAAACCCTTATTAAC